AAAAAAAAAAAAAACACATATATTTAATTATTTATTGTAGATACCAATACCATCTACCCATCTCTAGAAAATATTAGAACTACCAGAAATTTGATTGTGATAAAATACGTTACCTCAGCAAAGAGGTCCTTATACACATGTAGGCCGTTTGGCAACCAGTTCTCAATGTCCAAAAGACCTCTCAATGAGGCAAGGACTGCCAATTTAATACTGAATGAGACTGGAACTGATTCTAAGACAACAGAGAGAATCTGAAACAAATAAGTGACCCCTGATTAGTTTAAAGACACAGAGAGGCTGTTGTAACGGGAAAAAAAACGAAAAAGAAAAACATTATAATGAGAAAAATTGAGCCACTGTCACGTATTTTCAATACAACAAATTCACCTTCAGCTCATGGCAGATTTCAACTATCCGGAGCATGCTGTCCGCTTTAAGATTTTGGGCATCTAAAATCCCCCACAGAAAGAGTTCTGCATTCTGATGCCAGATATTAAGGATAAAACCACTATCCTGGGAATTCGTTACTATCACTGGAAAAATAGCAGAAACCACTTCACGCTGGATGAGATTATAAGCAGTCTGCATCAAGAGGATTGACATACTTAGCAAATCAAAAAGGTAATATTACAAGCATATATCACCAAAGACCAGTCATGGGAAATTACTTTGATGTGTGTCATGCCAAGGAGCAAGGTCCTAGGACAATGCGTGAGTGGATACTGGAGCAACGAACTAACAAAAGCAGCATGACCTCTCTCGGCCAATTGGCATAGCACATCCAAAAGATCCAGCGACAGCCATGCATGATTGGATAGTCCTAACTGTTGATCGTGGCTGTGCATGTTATCATTATATACCTGGAGGACAGTTGGTCAGAATAGTGACAGCATTAAGGAAAGCAGCTTAGAACACAGATGTGCGGTGTCTCACCAACTTCCTTGGAGAATGCATAAAGGTGAAAAGTTCTGGTGGGGCAGAAATTGCATGCTTAAGAAAGGATAATTGACCTTCCATATTTTTCCAGACAGAAGTGCATACAGCATCAAGAGGAAATAGTTCCTGCAAGAATAAGATTAACAACCTCAAAAATAAACAAAAAATGAAATAAACATATTTTTAGACAGACAAATTAGCCCTTATTAGAACACACCTCGCAAGCAGTTTTATAGAACCGCATCAAAAACGAGAAAGACTCCATATTAGGGATGTCAAATCCATCATGATCAAGATTCTCGATTACTTTCCTCCAGCTTGTGCCAGGAGCCTGCTTTCAATAAAATCATAAGATCATGAACCAAAATAACACTTGACAGATAAGCTAGATGTGTCTTCACAAATCCATCAATTAAAGAAAGCAAATCATACACGATAGTCTCGAATAAAAAGAGATAGATACAAAGGCTAAACTGAAATTTCTGAAACAATAGTGACACTAATTAGACAAAGTAATAGTGTTTAAGATAACTCACAAGCAGTTTGATTGTATCAACCAGAATATCAACATTCCATGACTTTGGCGTGGGAAGTTCAGAAGGACTGCAGCAACCAAGGGCTAAACTGAATGTTGAAAAGGTGGTGTGGTTGTCGTCAAGATCAGCACATGTCCGAGCAACATTGACAAGAATTCTAGAGATAGTAGCCTCTGTTAACGGTGCAAAACTCGACAAGATCTCTTTGCATTGTTGGGCATCAGCAGTTAATCCACAACCTAATTCTCCCATGAGATCTCCAACACCAATTTCTTTGTCGATTTCAGCTAAGATAGCATCAAACTCATTTTCAGCAGAATCACTGTGAAAATCCATGCTCCTACAGCAGAAGGGAAAACCGTCAAGGGTCACATTCAGGAGATATGAACAAAAAAAAAAAGGAAAAACAGATGAAAGCAACTCATAAGCAGCACCTGAATACATCAGCTTCATGAACTTCAGAGAAGATTGGTGATAGAGCAAAAGAGAATTCATCACTAGGATGAGCAGAGTTGGACAAAATCTGTATGAAGGAATCCAAATGCCTGGACAAATCCTCATACTTCTGGAGAAACAAAAGAACATTCTGAATTTGCTCAGTAGAACCAATCTGGCCAGTATTGGCACAGAGTTCCTCAATCTCAGCCAATAATAAGTTCCGTCCTGGAAAAGGAAAAGACCAAAACGCAATGATAAGAAAGATAAGCCTAAGAGATGAAAGATGAAGGACACGGGAAGAGTCAGGATTACCAGTTGTCTTTGCATCCAATCTTTCAAAATCGGTCAGGGCGAGAGCAAAGCTAATTTTGTCAGAGGTTGAAAATTCCAATGTATTAGTCAAATCATCCACAAATACTTGAGTGAGCTCAACATCTTTCAGGGCGTGAGAGAGCAGGGTTCCAAGATTAGACAATTTCATCACACGTTTAAAAACCAATGATACTACTTTCTCAAGCTGTAACGTATTTGGCTGGCTTTTCCGGACGGTGAAGCAATCTAAGCAGGTCTTGAGAACAGGAACACTAGTCTCGACTCCAAAATCAAACAACTGGGATTTGAACCAAAAAAAAGAGAGAAAATCAGAAAAGGAACAAGCAAACCAAACAAACAAACCCCCCCCCCCCAACATTCATCTTAATTAGAATTTATCCAGGATGGAAGTCTGCTGATCTAGGAACAAGTAGAGAACCCTTTTACAGCTGGGTACAAAGTGGAAAACCCACAGAGACACCGGCGTGTGTAAGAAAAGGAAAAACAACGATCAGAGAGAATATAAGAAGAACCTGAGAAAGGTCTTGGGCGATGGAGTCGACATCGGAATCATGAAGGTTCTGGAGCAGGAACCGGGTATGACCGGCGACCTTGGACGGACTCATCAGCATGGCAATCCGAGATCCGAAATGCTAGGGTGCCAGGAAACAAGACAAGAGGGGTCTTCTTCTAGGGTTTCAAGGGTGAGCGGGGAGAGATCCAAGAGAGAAGAGTAGCTAGGGATTAAGGAAGGCTCGCTCTCGGACTCGGAGAGATTCGGATTGATCGTAACTAGTCTCTCTTCAAGTTGGCGTCTTTGTTTTGGGTTTGTGCTTCGTTGATGCTCTGGTTTTTTTCGTTCGGCCCTTTCCTAACCAAGCAAGATAATATATATGCGCCAAACCACCGCCGCTGCTTAAATCAGCCCATTCCTTTCCTTAATGGGCCTTTATAGGATTTACGGCCCAAATTACTAGCCTGCTATATACAGTATGTAACCTGGATAAGAAAAGCAAATCATACAACATTTTACATACTGTATATGATTCGACTGACTTGATGATAGAATACAGATAAAAATATTATCGAATCGAAGCTTCCACTCCCAAGACCAAGAGCATCATCAAAAATATACTCCGGTCGATGGGAAGCTGACTAAACCCATTAGCTAAGTGACTTTCGTGGACTAGAAGAAACTTAACATTAAAAAAGGTGAACTAACTTAACATTAATGTCCTGGTTTCTTGATTGCCCACTAACGTCGTAACTCGTGATCATGATAGAACATCATCATGATTTTCACTCAACAAAAGCATCTTCTCTCTAGTCTTTCTTCATCTTCATTATTGGCTTCTTTTCACATATACGATCATCATCATTTTTATTCCAAAACTTTTAACAATATCAGTACATCGAAAAGCTAAAAGTGGATGAAAGGTAGGGTTGTCCACTTGTCTCGAATAATTTATATTAATTATTTATCAGACCATCCGATACTCTTAATTCTTTCTTTCTTTCTTTCTTTTGTTAAAATTCGATACTATTCTACTATATATAATCTGCTATATTTCTCTTCTTTCAAATTGTATATTTAACTTACTGCTTTTATGACTACTAATTGAAGTAATTGACTCTCTTACTAATACAAAATTTTTATTAAAAATAAAAAATATATGTGTTTACCTTTTTTTCTTACGAAAACATATATACTTATAATTGTAAATTTGTAATTACAACTTCATCACGAATGACGACACAGCAAGTCATCTTATTTATTAGTTAGACTAATTAATGAATTGGGAAAAGAAAAAAGAAAAAATTTTGAAGTTGGAAAGAGATCAGTAGTGAGTTAACAAGGGGGAAGAAGAATGATGAACAAAAAGAATATTTTTTAAAAAAAAAAAAATTGATCAAGAACAGGACTAATTAAATAAATCATGGGAAGCGCACTACACACAACCAAGTACACAAGGCAAGGATCAGTTCAGTTGGGTTTTGTTTTTTCCACGAACAAAAGTAGACGACATGCAGTATCTAGAAATATTAACGTACGTACGTAGTTTGTTAATTAGAGAGACGAGCTCAGCTATATATATATAGGCGACAACCTGATGAATATATATATTCTGATTAAGGATTTGGCACACCGAAGTTGCCTACAATATGCATGCTCGAAAAGCTCATATATATATAATAGATTGCGTTACGTACGTAACAAAAAAATGAAATTAGGAGAAGTTTTAATGAAAGTTGGAATAAAGCAACATTATAGGGGATATCTTACACCCCTTAAGTATTTTATAGTTGAAACAATAAACATACGAAAAACGTAACATGCAATAATTAAAAAGGGAAATAATACCAATACTAATATAATTAATGTTAGCTAAAAAAGATGTCAACCTCAACAAAACGCATTTGTGAGTGAGTAGATGAAACGACACAAGCGTCCTTAAATTTGCGATTTTTGCTGGTGCACATGTTCACACTTGCGCTCTTTCAGGCGAGCAGTTGCGTCACGTCAACGTAAGATCATTGCAAAGAACATATTGATGGGTGGATGGAGTTCTAATTCACAGTGAAATCGACATGAAATCATATACGTACACGTGTATTAATAAATGATGGGATGAGTACTTAGAAAGAGAAGCTCGTAAAAGTTACTATGTATGTAGGTTGTTCCGCAGGCGTGGGCGTGGAGATGGATGGATGGATCCATCGCCTACAAATACTGAAATACACTCGAAGAAGAGGATGAGATAAAATGATCACAATGGAAGGACAGATCTGTCATTTTACAAAACTCCTCGTTTTTAAGGTTGGCTCTCTCTCTCTCTCTCAAAGTCTAAACTACGTACTGTGAAAACGACTGCAAGCAAAGCGCTCTGGTCTACCTGTACATTTACTAGCACGCATAGGCATAGTTGTGTAATATTTAATACTTTTTCTTTTTTCTTTCTTTGTATCATTCAGAGGCCTTTGCTGGTGGGGAATCTATATATATCACCGCCTTAATTCATCCTATTCAATAAATTAAAACCTTTTAATATTAATACTCATCTTTCTCTCTCTCTCTCTATATATATATATATATACACAGAAGGCGGATTTAGAAACAAAATAACAAAGAGATTGTGAAGATAATGGAGAGGGTGTGTTGCATGTGCGGCGACGTTGGTTTTTCCGACAAGCTTTTCAGATGCGGTCACTGCCGCAGTCGCTTCCAACACTCGTAACCTTCTTTTATACCATTAGTATATAGCCAGACACCTCCATTACATTCACAGCTAGCTAATTATTTTTTAATGGCCTTCTTGAATTGATCATATATCTATAATATAGTCGACTAGTCGTACGTTTATGGCACATTCCTTAAATCTCTCTACAGTTATTGCAGCAACTACTACAGCGAGCTTGCGGAGGCTACCGAAATTTGCGACTGGTGCCGGAGCGACGACCGGAAGCTAGGCAAGGTTGCTATACATGGAGGTTCTTCTTCTTCAATATCCCTAAACAATTATGAAAATGACGATGATAATCAGTACTTCACAAACCGATCGGAATATTCGTCCGGCGGCGGGATCAAGCATAGCAATAACCGTCACGATCAAGTGGCCAAAAGCGTTGTCGGAGCTGGAGGCGGAGCGCCGTCGCCTAGGACGGCGACACGAAGGTACAAGCTTCTCAAAGATGTCATGTGTTAATCACTTAATTTATCAGTGATTATATATAATTTCTATATATATATATATATGTATAATTAGCCACTACCGAGGGAACCAAAGAAAAAAAGAAACGCCATCTTCATCCTTTTCACCTTTGTACTAGCTACTATTTTTTTTTTTTTCTTCTCGACTCAAAGCTACTATTTGTTTACAATAAAATATGTGTGTGTGTTTAGCGTGAGTTTGTGTTTAATTCTTAATCAGCGAAGTTAGCACCTATATAATATATATATATATATATATAGCTGTATATGGTCGACAACAAAAAATAATAAAGTCATTAATTATAAAAATCTGACAAAAATCTGATCGCTTCCTCTCGTAGAAGTCGTTTAGTAAACATCGACGTACGTTCGCTCATAAGTATTTGGTAGATAGAGAGGTGAGGCTTTCTTAATTGTACGTAATTAAATACCGTCATTAAATGGGAGTATATATATATACTAAGTCAGCAAAGCATGATATATATATATATATGTCTGCAAACCCTTTAGATTAATGTTGGGTGTCATAGACTACGCGTGCGCCCGTGTGTGCGTCAGTACATATATACTACTAGCTTACCGGTACGGACGTGAATGACAATTTGGTATGACAATTAATTAATGTGTGTCGACAAATGGAATTAGATATATATAATTTACAAATGGTGGGGGAAGATATATACATAGAATAGAATGGAAATAACAGTGACTACTAGCTACAACTCCAAGTACTTAGCACATGTTCCAAGGTCCGTCCGTCCAATTTATACATATCCTTCCTTTTGTTGTATTGTATACCGACGACTACGAAAAGTACGTATCATGTCTAATCATTTATGTTTTAAGGTTATTTTTCACCCATGTCTATCGTGGCGTTTTTATACGAAAACACTCCAAAGTACTAGTATGATGGAAACAAAACAATCATCACTAAATAATGATACAGATCGTGCAATTTTTCTTCTTTCTATGATTCCCTAACAGGCGATGATGATAAACATAACGGGAATATCATCGTAGCATTAAAAGACATCTGATCTGGCTCTTTAATTTAGGCGGTTAAAATTTAAATATATACACATCCACGTAACAACAAATATATGTATAGCCAATGACGATGAAGTTGCAATGGGCTCGAAAGGACCCTGTTTGGGCTCGTTAACTCTGATACTGATCCATAAATCACACAATGCACAATCTTAATTTCTTGCATCAGTTTTAAATTTGTTTTGTAAACTACACTTTAAGTCCCTGTGAAATTATCGGTTGTATCTCTTGTATTTAACTTACTTCTTCTTTCTTTCTTTTTTTAATTATTAATTAAAGTTAACGCAAGCACGTACGTACCTTGTTCTAAAGCCCTTGGATGATGAAAAAAATAATTCAACATCCTCCACTTTTTTTTTAGTAAATCATTGAATTTTAAGCACCATAACTTTTTATTATTATTAATTTTGTCTCAAAAATTAAATAAATATAAGTTGGTAAAAACCAATTAACCTAATAGATAAAAAAAAAAAAAAGCGGGACATGTGTTGCAACAAATAAATTACACGGTTATGGGAAGTCCGATTCTTGTCACGTAAAGAGTTACAAAACTGAATTAATTATATGGCACATACATATATGCATGTAACATTTAGAGAAATATATACAGTATGTATGAATGTATGTACAGAAAATCTGGAAAAAAATAAACTAGAGTAAGGAAATAAAACAAGTGGATGTGGCGCCGGTGCGGTCCATGAAAGATAAAAGAGAACCCAATAAGCTTGCTTTAGTCGTGTGGGAAATATAGAAGAGAATAGTGTCTGTATGAATGATGATTGATGATGATCATATTTAATTTGTGCCCGTGTCCAAAAAAGAGAAAAAAAAAGAAAAGAGTAATGAAGTTAAGGAAGGAACAATGAAGTTAATTAAATGGTTGGGCCAGATGGGCTTTTAGATTTATCCCCACCACCACAGCGGACGGTTAGAGAGAGAGAGAGAGAGAGAGAGAGAGAGATCACGTGTGTGCTGGAAAATTAGCTCGCGCAACCACTTTTTGTCCTAATCCAACCCAGATATGACACGTTCGTAAACGATGTCCCACCCAGCTGGAATCAGGGGAACCAAATTCAATGATCACATTGGCAAACATACCCCTCCAATACTATACCTATCCTTACCATGCATCATCTTCTTTACCCTTAAACTAGTCATTAGGTTATGCAAACCAAACACTAGTCCAATATATATATATCTTTTACTAATCAATCTAATTTTTGGGGGTGCAAATCACGTGGCTAATTAAATCTAACCAAGTTTTTATTTTTAGCTTCAAAACGGGAGACAACGAGTTGAGACCAGCTGATCATCTCTCTCAATCTTTTCTTTCTTTCTTTCTTTCTTTTTTTTCTCTCAAATATTTAAAGTTAGTTGTTATTCAAAATATCGTAAAAAAAGGGGAAACCACGTGGCCCGGGATCGATCAGTCACTTTCTAATATATTGGTTCGCTGTAAGTTATCTAGGAACAAATCAATGAGCACCATCCATCCATCCATCCATATCATCATCATTCATCATTCATCATTCATCATCAGACATATGACGACAGAGTCAAATAATTCAGTTCCCCGAAATGAATAAACGATGAACGAACCACCATGCACCAGTACTCTCCCCGGTCTTTGCTTTTACCAGCAATAATTAATTTATTATACAATACTGCTATATATATATATATATATATATATATATCCCTATTCCATCATTTCACACCTTTCGTTTTTCTTTTACACACTACTACACTAGCTAGTTGATAATTTATTTATGGGTTTAGCTGCTACTACTATATATATATATATATATATGCTTAAATCAATTAAAGTTTTTTTATGAATTAATTAAAACCTCTACTAATTAGTAAACACAGATTTAAAACATTACGACAAAGGAAAAACATTACGACAAAGGAAAAACATATGGAGAAGAAGAACAATATTACATTATCAGACTAATAATATTTTAAAATGATGATAGCTAGCTAGCCAGCGCGACTACTAGTTTAAGCTCGTAATTAATTAAGCATTGACATACTAATTAATTTTAAAAAAACGTACGGTACGGATAGGTAAATTAAAGCTATCCGCTTGAGAAAAACATTGAATTGGAGGATGAAGACGCTGACGTGGAGGACGAATTAGCTGTCGTCGTTTGGAACTGCCTTTGCCGGAAACACTCCAATGATATCGTCGGCGTTGCCTTGCCCGGTGACGACGATTTCATGATACCCGATTCATTCGGTGACCCTGATCATCATCATCATCATCATCATCATCAACATCATCATCGTATCATTCCCAATTAATAATTTAAGTTGTGAGCACACTACACAAACATATGAGTTACTAGCCGCTAATTAACTAATTAATAAATTAGCTAGCTAGAGAGAGAAAGAGGGAGAGAGAGAGAGAGAGAGATTAAATAAAAACTGTAAGAGGAATTATATATGAGAGAAAAGTAGTTAGTAGTATACTTGGAGTTGGCTTGCCAGTGTCGTGGGCGGCGGCGGCGGCAGCAGCGGAGACTGACTGGTGACATTTACGCCGGCGCCGGTTATGGTCAGCAAGTCGCTTACGGCAGCTACGTTTCCCGTTGTCGAATTCCGACAACAAATGGAATCTGCAGTACGTAATTAGATACGTACAGATCATATATAAATATATGTGTACATAGATAGATAGTTTGTGTAAACTGAATCAGATGAGACAACTACTAAGCTAAGATAGAATTTGAAAAAGGACAAGAAAGCCATATATATATATATCGGGATATATCCCACACACAGGTACGAACTCTCTCAACACTGAAGATCCTCCACGCTAGTTCACAATTCTTTTCATGTATATATATATATATATATATTATTTTTTGTATATTTTTAAAAGAAGAAGAAGCTAATTAAAAAATATAATAATAGATCTTATCTATATACATAAACTCTATATATACAGTATTATCTAAAAAAAACAAAGATGGAACTAACTAGGCATAGAGAACAACATTAACATGTATATGGGGGTGTGTGTACGGAGGAATGTGATGCCCCCACTCCTATGGGGATGGATGATATAGTACGGTGAAATAAAGGGATCAAAGTGATGGATATATCACTAATAATAATAATAATAATATATGAATTATATGGGTGGAGTACTGAAATTAAGGTTGGAACTTTAGGGAGCAGAAACAAAGTAAACCTGCTGCATTGCTGGCAAAAGCGCTGGCTAAGTCCGGCAGCCACCACGGTGGATGCTTTAGAGTGGAATTCGCACACTTTGTGCCTGCGGTGATAGTGTTTGGCGTGGCTCAGATCGGCGCTGCAACCCTCAGCTTGACACCGGGGAGTGCTCAGCGGCGAGTTCCCCATGCCAGGCTCGCCGGGGCGGGAGCGCCTGTAAAGCCTGCTGACGAAGTCGTCGTCGGCGGCGGAGAAGTAAGTGCGGCCGCCGAGGTTGAGGCCGATCCGGTTGGAGGTGAAGTCGACTTCGGTCTTGGGGATGAGGAAGTTGTAGGAGGAGGAGGAGGCGGCGGGTGCGTGGAGGTCGTAGGAGAAGAGGGGGGCAGGAGCGGAAGAGTGGGGGTGGTAGATGGGATCGGAGGGGTAAGGGGAAGGGGAAGGGGAAGGGGAGCGTGGGTCGTAGAAGGCTTGGTGATGAAAGTGGTTGGTGTGAGCGTAGACGGAGGTGTGAGGAGGAGTAAGATGATGATGATGATGATGATGATGGTTAGAAGAGAAGAGGGGAGGAGAAAGGGTAATGTGACGGTCGTTGTTGAAATGAGAGGGGTCGAAAAAGGAGAGGGGGCGGGTCGGGTCGACAGAGCCCGGGTTTCGGTCATCCCCGGAGAGAACAAGGGAAGAAGGATTCTCCCATTCGTAGTCCAACATGTTTGCTTTGCAATCCCGAGGAAGATCTCTCCTCTCTTTTCTTTTATTTTCTTTACTTTAAGAAACAAAATATAAAGAAAGAGAAAGAGAGAGTAGTAGTAGTAGTAGTGAAAGAGAGAGAGAGAGAGGCTAATAAAGGAAGAAGGGGAGAGGAGACATGTCGGTGCGGAATAGGTTATGGAGTGGTTTTAATGGACTGAAAGCAAAGCGACGTACTACTCCTCTATTAGAATTTTACAGTCTCTCTCTCTCTCTTTCTTTCTTTCTTTCTTTCCCATAAACCCTAACTTTCTATTTGTAGGAGGACGAGCAGCTCCATCCTTCTCTCTCTCTCTCTCAATGATTTTTCTACTGATTTTTTTAAATGATTTTTATTTATTTATTAGGAAACAAATAATATCCTAGAGGTGTCTTGGATTGAACTTAGAAGAAATAAAAAAGAAAAAAAAAAGAAAAGAAAGAGGGAAGCTGTCTTGTCCTCTACTTATATATATACCACAAAAAAATAAAAACAAGGAGAGTGGGAAAATGGAGAAAAAGAAAGAAAGGAACTCACATCACATGGGTCGGGGGGGGGGGAAGCAGAGTGTGTGTGTGTGTGAGTGTCTGTGCCCATTTTTTTTTTACTATATAAAACAATCAATCATCAATAATCCTCCTTATGTTGTTCTTCTTTTGTTTACTGCGCTCTACGAGTGATATGTTACAATTTCATTTGCTTGGATTATATATTAGAAGAACCAACAAAAAAAAAAAAGAAAAAAAAAAGAGTAAAAATTCTGTAATGGGGGAAGGAGTTGGTTTGTGTAAAATATTGGGTGGGGGGGGGGGGTAAATTAAAATATTTCTTCTTTCTTTATATTAGATATAATATGGAAGGGTGTGGAGTGTGGAGGGAAAACGCCAAAAAAGAAAGAAAGAAAGAAAAAGGGGGAAAGAGGTGTGTGTTGGGGTTTATAAAGACAGGATGGCAAAATATGGTAAATAGAGGCCAACTACAAGGTTGATCGTTTACGGGAAGACAAGAGTGACCGATCGTATGCTCTCTCTCTCTCTCTCTCTCTATATTTTGCTCAACCAATTATGAAATAAATTTGATTCTTTCTTTTTCAGTAATAAAATAATAAAAAACCCACAAAGACACTCTCTCACACTCACTCACGCGCTGACTGCTGGCGGGAATCGACGGTCCACGATCCGCTGGTACATGAGTCAGAGGCGCACAGGGCGAGCGATAGAGAGAGAGATAGAGAGACTATACATATCGAGTGGATGGGGTAAATGGAGTCAGTCCAAACTCCCAAAGTCTCAACCCAAAATTTTCAAAAAATTGGGGGAAAAGAGAAAGAGAGAGAGAGGAGAGGGAGTGTAGGCCACCACCACCCCCTCCCTTTAGGTGCTCAAAAGGCTGCCATCGACGTTGACCCCCTTCTACCCCCGTACGGACTCTCTCTCTATTATCCATCCCCTTTCTCTCTTTCTTTTACAAAGTGCTGCCCCTTCCTTCCTTCTTCTTCTTATTTTTATGTCTGTACAGAGCGACATAATACCTACACTTATATTATAATAAGAGACAATTGATCCTAGTATACGATTTTTTTTTTTTTTTAATTTGTTTTTCATTTCATTCCACACCAATAAAAGGACACTAAAACTAACTAAGTAATTCCTCCTAATTTAATTGAATGAAGTTCTCTCCTCCTAACAACGACGTTTCACACATGTCGTATGGTGTCCTAATTCCCTTTCCCTACTCTTATGTTTCATACTTCCAGACACATTATATATAATATACACTCGCACAATAAAAGTTACTATTGTAATTTTTTTTCATTATTTAATTACGAGTAACCAAAAAAAAATAAAAAGTCTTTCTTACTTTTTTTTTTTTTTTTTTCTTTTAAGGGTGGTGGTGGGGGTAAAGAAAGAAAGAATGTGCATAAGAATAGAGAAAAAGGCAAATCAAAAAAAAGAGAGACAAGGATCATTCATGCTACCACCAAACTTGTTGCCTTGTCACCATCTCTGTAAACACGATTTCTTCACTGTAAAATAACTGCACCACAGTCATCCTTTCTTCTTCCATCTCTCTGTTTGGGCCTTCACATTTGTAACCTTTCCTGTTTGCCCCAATTAAGCCCATTGGGTCATCTTTATTATTTTGGGCTTTTCAGTTCGAAAGGTTCGACGTCGGGACGTTCCTAAAACCTGCCGCCGGCACAATCAAGGTCTTCGAGCGGTGGTCGTCGTCTCCTCGCCACACTTATTTCCCGGCTTCAATGGTTTCTTCTGTCCCTAGAAAACTCCATGCCTTGTTTCTCTCCAACTCTCAGCCAGTCACCCTGGCCAAACTTACCTCTACCAAATCAAAACTCGCCAGGTCCTTGGCGCGTGCTGTCAATTCTGACCCTTCCTCCAGCGAACTCGAGTCTTCACTCTCGTCTCTTCATCCTTCTCAACCCCTCTCCAGAACCGCCGTTCTCCAAACCCTACGCCGCATCAAGGTCCCTGCCCATGCTCTTCGCTTCTTTGACTGGGTCTCCAACAACGGCTTCTCTCACAAAGAGCACTCTTTCTTCCTCATGTTAGAGCTCCTTGGCCGAGCTCGCAACCTCAACATCGCTCGCAATTTCTTGTTCTCCATCGAGAAAAGGTCTAATGGCTGCGTTAAGCTCCACGATCGCTACTTCAACAGCTTGATTAGGAGCTACGGGAACGCTGGCCTCTTCCAGGAGTCCGTTAAGCTGTTCCAGACCATGAAGAAGATGGGCATCTCGCCTTCCGTCGTCACCTTCAACATCCTTCTCTCTATTTTGCTTAAGCGTGGCAGAACTGCCATGGCCCATGACCTGTTCGACGAAATGCGTCGTACCTACGGGGTTTCCCCTGATTCGTTCACTTTTAATATTTTGATCAGTGGGTTTTGTAAGAATTCCATGGTGGATGAAGCCTTTAGGGTTTTTAAGGAAATGGAGCTGTATCATTGCGATCCTGATGTTGTGACATATAACACCATCATCGATGGGTTATGCAGAGCCGGCAAGGTCAGGATTGCACACAATGTTTTGAATGGAATGATGAAGAAAGCTACGCACGTGCATCCCAACATTGTTAGTTACACTACTCTCGTGCGAGGGTATTGTATGAAGCAGGATCTTGATGAAGCATTGCTTGTGTTCCATCAAATGCTCTGCAGAGGGCTCAAACCCAATGCTGTTACTTACAATACTCTGATCAAGGGGCTCTCGGTGGCTCAGAGGTATGACGAAATCAAAGTAATTTTGAATGGAGGGGGGGACGCGTTTACCAGTTTCGCTCCAGATGCCTGCACTTTTAATATCTTGATCAAAGTTCACTGCGATTCTGGGCATCTGGATGCAGCGATGAAGGTGTTCCAAGAAATGGTTAATATCAAGTTGCATCCTGATTCAGCTTCATATAGTGTTCTCATTCGTACTTTGTGCCTGAGAAATGAATTTGACAGAGCCGAGTTGTTGTTCAAAGAGTTATTTGACAAGCAAGTCTTGTTAGGCAAGGATGGATGCAAGCCTCTTTCTGCAGCTTACAATCCGATGTTTGAATACTTATGTGCCAATGGGAAAACAAAGCAAGCTGAGAAAATTTTCAGGCAGCTGATGAAAAGAGGTGCGCAAGATCCACCCTCTTACAGGACTTTGATCATGGGTCACTGCAGAGAAGGTCAATTTAAGGCTGCTTACGAGCTCTTGGTTCTAATGCTCAGGCGAGACTTTGTACCTGATCCTGAAACCTACGAGTTATTGATTGATGGGCTATTGAAGATAGGTGAAGCTCTTCTTGCTCATGATACCCTGCAAAGGATGCTAAGGAGCTCTTATCTTCCGGTTGCAACCGTTTTCCATTCCGTACTCTCAGAACTTGTGAAAAGGAAATTTGCTAATGAGTCTTTCGGCTTGGTAACACTAATGTTGGAAAAACGAATAAGACAGAACATTGATCTTTCAACGTATGCTGTCCGATTGCTTTTTAGCAGTGCTCAAAAGGAGAAGGCATTTCTGATTGTTAGGTTGCTTTATGATAACGGGTATTTGGTCAAGATGGAGGAATTACTTGATTTCCTATGCGAGAATAGAAAACTTCTTGATGCGTGCACACTTGTTCTGTTTTGTCTGGAAAAGAGTCACATGGTACATATCAACACATGCAACACGGTCATAGAAGGACTCTGTAAGCATAAGAGGCACTCTGAAGCGTTTAGTTTATACAATGAATTAGTAGAACTAGGAAACGACCAGCAGCTTAGCTGCCATGTGATTTTAAGAAATGCCTTAGAGGCTGCTGGAAAGTGGGAAGAATTTCAGTTTGTGTCAAAGAGGATGGCAACAATGAGTATATCAGATGATTGCTCTGGATTAGAACAAAAGATACCCACTTAAATCTTCTTGAGCTGGAGGTAATACCGTGCATCTGGTTTCTGGTAAAAGAGCTTCTTTCTCTTTATTTCCGTTTTCAATTTTAGTCTCTAAAATTATCCATTGGCAAATGTAAAATTCTTTCCCTCAGCAATTTAACAAGTTTGTATTAATTCATTGTCTCTGTTACAGGTCTCTACGGGCGTTGCAACTCTCTATTCCTAATTTTCACCTTCATGGTACCTATTACCAAGCAGATTAGGCTTTTATTACTTGTGCCGGGAAAATAGGTTTCATGGTGTTTTTTGCATTTCTAACCAACACAGGCCAAAGATTAACCAAACCCTAATAAAATAACCAATTCTCTCTTTCCATGATCTTCACTCTTCTGCACCAAACTCTCCCCAAGAAAACCATCAAGCCTTCCTTTATAATCCTTTGCTTTTGCTGATATTCTGCATCCACCATCTTTCTTTTCAAAATTGAGTTTCAATTCCTTCTACACTTGGAAAGAGATGTCGAATTCTAGGATGAATGGTGTTGAGAAGTTAAGCAGCACATCTACAAGGCGTGTCGCAAATCCCGGGAAGGCAACAGTGCTTGCTCTTGGCAAAGCCTTCCCAAGCCAAGTCGTTCCTCAGGAGAATCTAGTGGAAGGATTTCTACGAGACACCAAATGTGATGATGCCTTTATCAAAGAGAAGCTGGAACACTTGTGTAAGCCACAGTCTCTTTATAATTTTTTATTTATTTTTTTATCTCACACAGCTATACTCTGTTTTGAAATGTTAAAATCTTGCTAATGTTTCGTGCTGTTGTTTAGGCAAAACCACAACCGTGAAGACACGCTATACGGTATTGTCGCGAGAGATATTGGATAAATACCCTGAGCTAACAACAGAGGGTTCACCAACAATCAAGCAAAGACTTGAAATTGCAAACGAGGCGGTTGTGGAAATGGCATTGGAAGCCAGTTTAGGTTGCATCAAGGAATGGGGAAGGCCAGTGGAAGACATCACTCACATCGTCTACGTTTCCTCGAGCGAGATCCGATTACCTGGTGGTGACCTCTACCTCTCAGCAAAGCTAGGCCTAAAGAATGACGTAAACAGAGTGATGCTGTATTTTCTGGGATGCTACGGAGGTGTGACTGGCCTCCGTGTGGCCAAAGACATTGCTGAGAACAACCCGGGAAGCCGTGTTCTGCTCACAACCTCTGAAACCACCATTCTCGGGTTTCGCCCACCAAACAAAGCTCGTCCTTACGATTTAGTTGGAGCTGCCCTGTTTGGAGATGGTGCAGCTGCTGTGATCATCGGAGCTGACCCGAAAGAGTGTGAAGCTCCTTTCATGGAGCTGCACTATGCTGTTCAGCAGTTCTTGCCAGGGACACAGAACGTGATCGACGGGAGGTTGACAGAGGAAGGCATAAACTTCAAGCTAGGAAGAGACCTCCCGCAGAAGATAGAGGAGAACATAGAAGAGTTCTGCAAGAAGCTGATGGGAAAGGCAGGTGATGAGTCGATGGAGTTCAATGACATGTTCTGGGCTGTTCATCCAGGAGGACCTGCGATTCTGAACCGTCTGGAGACAAAACTAAAGCTGGAGAGAGAGAAGCTGGAGAGCAGCAGAAGGGCGTTGGTGGATTACGGGAACGTGAGCAGCAACACGATACTGTATGTGATGGAGTATATGAGAGATGAGCTGAAGAAGAAAGGCGAGGCCGCACAAGAGTGGGGACTTGGCTTAGCTTTTGGACCTGGAATCACCTTCGAAGGCCTTCTCATCCGCAGCCTCACCTCTCCCTAATTAAGTGTCACGAGGAAAAAGAAGAGAAAAAAATATATGTAATTTTACATTACATTTGGGTTATACAAAAACTTATTGTAAGCATGAAATGAGTATTCAGTATTGTTAAAACAAGGATTGCATGTGACTAGGAATGTTGGAAAAGGTCAAAAAGCTGCAACACGTGTCATTAAAGAAAGTACTCAGCTACTTGGAACCACAAAAACAAGAAGACACCAAACCCGTTACTTCCACTAAAAACAAGGGCTTTCTCCTTTTTAATTCACACACAAAACACTTTGCAGAGAGACATGGACGAACCATGAACTCATCATGCATTGATTTCGTCATGTTCAGTCGCGGACAACACGACGAGGACAGCAACATGTCACGTCGTCCATGGAAGAGGCCGGAGAGATCGATATCCACTAGTAGTAGTCATCATAATAATCATCTAAACTTGTCCCCAAACGAAGACGAAGAGCTTGCCAACTGTCTTGTGTTGTTGTCCAATTCAGGGGATCATAATAAACATAGACACGGCAAGGGCAAGAACGTCAAAAAGCAGAAAACCGCTCAGGTATTCCAATGCAAAGCTTGCAAGAAGGTGTTTACGTCGCATCAGGCATTGGGCGGGCACAGGGCGAGCCATAAGAAAGTGAAGGGTTGTTTCGCCTCTCAAGATAAAGAAGAGGAAGACGAAGAGGAATACAAAGAGGACGATGACGAGGAGGAAGAGGACGAAGATGAGGAGGAGGAGGAGGAAGATGTAGACAAATCTACGGCACATATCGCAAGAAAGAGATCCAACGCTCACGAATGCACCATCTGCCATCGCGTCTTCTCTTCGGGACAGGCCTTAGGAGGCCACAAGAGATGCCATTGGCTGACCCCTTCCAATTATCTTCGTATGACGTCGTCGTCGTCGTCGTCGGTACTCCACGATCATCACCATTCCGCCGTCGGCAGGCCTCAGCCGTTAGATCAACCGTCTCTCGATCTCAACTTATCTTGCCAGGAGTATTCCGGTGATCCTACGGCCATGACCGTAGGGGTGATTCAGAGAGATGGCGGTGGCAGTAATCACAACGCTACTTCATCGTCATGGTTAAAACTCGCAAGTGGTGACTGGTCTTGACGACTGACTAATTTATTTTAAGTTGCTAATTAATTTTTTAATTTTTTTTTTACTTTCATTCGTTTATATGATGATCTTTACATACAATTTAAGTCAGTGCATCAATTTATATATACACTTGTATGGATTTTATATGATTTACACTTTATATACCACATCTGCAGTGCCCTTGACTTATGTAGTTGTGCTCTATCCCGAATTAAGAAAATAAGTAGTACAAGTTTAATACACGACAGAACATCCTATACATATATCATTAATTGTACCTGCCTTTAGGAAAGAAAACACAAGTTGTGGTATTTAAATAGTGATATGATTAGTTAGGTATATTAATTACACCTTTTCAGATAGAGAGAGATACTTGTGGGCAAATATGCAAAAGTTGTTCTCCAACTCGACAAGGAGCGAGAGAGAGATAAAAGCAGAGTTTTATGGAAGCGAACAAAGTTCAGATAGGGAATGGGCTTCGTTATAATGGGCCTACCTACAGTTTGTATGAATCGGCCTCAAACCGGTTCATGACTCAACCGGGCCGGTACAAGGATCCTCCTCTGGTAGGAAACGCTGCTGCTAATGGTATCGAGAGAAGAAGAAGGCAAAGTATGATAAGGTGGAGGAGCTTGGCCTCTTCGGCCTCTCTTATCTCAATCCCGGCTCAGAGAACAAGTGCCATGGCCTTCTCTTGCTCTTGCTCTTCCTCTTCGCTTCAATTGGTTCTCGAGTACCACAACCAGACGAAGCACTCCTTCAACGGTTACGCGAGAGGCCCCCGAGGTCTGGACTGGGCCAATCAGCCTAACCCCTTCCGCCGTTACCTCTCTGCTCCTCTTCTTCCTCTCCAACACCCCGACGACCCTCTTCAGTCCTCCTACGCTTCTCTGTTCGACTCGCCTCCTCCGCCCAAACCCGTCTCTCTCTCCACCATCTCCGACCTTTTCTACCATTCTCTCGCTCTCTCCGCCTGGAAGACCACCGGAGTCTCCACCTGGCCCCTCCGCGTCAACCCCAGCAGCGGTAACCTGCACCCCACGGAGGCTTATCTCATCGCTCCACCCATCGATTCACTCTCCGAATCCGCTTTCGTGGCCCACTATGCTCCCAGAGAGCACTCGTTGGAGGTTAGAGCTCCCACCATCCCCTCTTCCTTTTTCCCTTCCTTTTTCCCTGCCAATTCCTTTCTCATCGGCCTTTCTTCCATCTTCTGGCGCGAAGCTTGGAAGTACGGGGAGCGAGCCTTCAGGTACTGTAACCACGACGTCGGCCACGCCATTGCCTCTCTCTCCATCGCTGCCGCTGAGCTCGGCTGGCACTTGAAGCTTCTCGACGCCTTCGGAGCTGATGATCTCAAGAGGCTTATGGGGCTCCCTGATTTTCACTTTCCCTCTGCTAAAGGTAAAGGTCACCTCCCTGAGATTGAATTCGAGCATCCTGACTGCTTGCTCCTCGTTTTCCCCTACGGAACTGGAGATATCCACTTAGACTACCTCGGAATTTGCTCTGCCATTAGAGATTTCCCTACTCTAGATTGGATTGGGAAGCCCAATGTTCTGAGTAGAGAGCATTTGTGCTGGGATGTCATCTACACGACTGCCAAGGCAGTAGAAAAGCCTTCTTCGATCCCCGCCTCTTCTTCCATTGATGATACTTCCTTCAGGAGCAGCGCTCTGTTTAGCCAGGGTTCATATAACGATTTAACGGCCAGGCAAGTTGTGAGGAAGAGAAGAAGTGCTGTTGATATGGACGCTGTTACTTTTATAGACAAGTCTTCGTTTTTCCAGATGTTGATGCACTGTCTTCCCTCCGGCTCTACCAGAGGTGAGCCCCAGAGAGAGCAACTTGCACTGCCGTTTCGAGCTCTTCCTTGGGATACTGCTGAGGTTCATCTTGCTTTGTTTGTGCACAGAGTTTCTGGTTTGCCAAAGGGTTTTTATTTCCTAGTCAGAAACGAGGATCATCTCAGCGATCTCAAGACAGCTACGAGGCCTGAATTTGAGTGGAAGAAACCAGATGGGTGCCCTGATGATCTTCCTCTGTACAAGCTCGCCCAGGGTGATTGCCAAAAGCTGGCAAAAGGACTATCATGTCATCAGGTACTAATTTGGATTACAGCTGCGATTCAGTATCTCTAGCATTGCCTAGTTAAATTGAATCATGGTGGTTGATGCAGGACATTGCAGGGGATGGATGCTTCAGCCTAGGCATGGTAGCTCGGTTTGAACCAGCACTGCGGGAGAAGGGCTCATGGATGTATCCTCGTCTGTTTTGGGAGACGGGTGTTGTTGGGCAAGTTTTGTACCTGGAAGCACATGCAATGGGGATCTCAGCAACGGGGATTGGGTGCTATTTCGATGATCCAGTTCATGAGATCCTGGGGATGAAAGACTCCAGCTTTCAGAGTCTGTACCATTTCACGGTGGGAGGTCCGGTTGTAGACAAGCGGATCATGACTCTTCCTGCTTATCCTGGTCCGACCACCACCGATGCCTAGATCATACATACTCTTACTCTTGAACAGCTTCGATTTTTGTGGTGGTGTAATAAACTAGTAGTTATTGGTAGATATCAATATCTTGAGCCACTTTTAGATCCATAATAACGAGTAAGCTTATGTGACATGTGCTTTGATAAATTACCACGGAAAGTTAGCTTGAATTTGTTCTCGCAGCAACAAGATTATGGGTTCTTGAATGTGCCAAAAAATGCAAATAATGATCGTATAGCTATGGACATCAAGAAGATACTTATAGTAATCTCTTCCACTGACGATCTTCAAATGATTCACTCCAACCCTATTTTTGGTGTCACTGTCTCAGTGATGCGCATCAAGTTATTTCTATGCCTAAAAGTAAAACGAAACCCTTTTGTGCTTTCTATCATGATCTCAAACGTAACAGCACAAGACAAGTGGCTTACCAAGAGGTCTTACTATGATGACTGTGACTGTCGGAGTCCGGGCTTCAAGAACATGTTTGACTATGCTTATTTTCGCAATCACATCGAGAATATATCGTCTCTGAAAAGCCTTGCTTTAGACCATAATCATTCCAAAAAGTTATCGACAATGATTTTTATTATTAGTTTATGCTCCATCATAGCTTTTGCTTTTTCTTGTCCAAAACTTCTCGAGGATTATGTTGTATGCTTTAAATGAATTAAAGCATGACAAAATCTTTCGCCAACTCGAGGATTGCTATATAAACCGAAAAATAATAAACTAACAGCAGAAGATACAAATGATAGCCAAAAGTTTAAACAAATTCTTCACTTTTTTTTTACATTAAGTCGACGTAGAGACTAACATATAGAGTTTGATTGTGACACAAAACTATATAGAGTAGGATCCAAATGGAAAAGTAAAAATAAAGAAAATAAGCAAAAGGTGAGGGAATGGGACGAAAAAAAAAAAAAAAAAGTCTTCCCTCAACGCTTCTACTAACCTGATCCAAGTCTTGTCTCTGAACAAGTGTATGCTGGTTTACTTTTCTACTCTTCTTTCAATTGCAACAATATTAGCTTCTTTGTTTTTTCTCCTAAAAACATTCTGAGACTCAAGCCGTGTCAAATTCACCAGTATTGTGGTTTGAAGGGCTGAGCAGGTGCCCCTGTTAAGTCTTTTTCCGACAGCAATTTCAGCTTCTGCGACGACATTTAAAACAGTTGGAAGAATATTTTCGATATGAGGGTGTTTTATTTTTTGCCTTAAGCCAATCATCAACTGTTAAAAGGGATATGGGTTTCATTGTGTTACCGTGATGTACTGTGGGGGATCGTCGAAACTAGTGGAGCCTAGTACCACTTCTCTCCTCAAACTGCTTGTCAACTTGTGGCAAACTCGGAGCTGTCAAAAATTTATGTTCACTTTCTTTTTGTCTAATGTTAACACAATATTTGATCAAGAAAACATAGCATTCACTACTTAGGTTGGATTTGTTTGACTGTATACCTCGGATCGAGTTGCCCCGCCAATAATGAATACAAAGATGCGTTGCCCCAACTTCTTGAAGTCCGTTGAAGCACTTTTCAACACTGATTCACTGAATAAGAAGAAAGATATGTCCTACTCTTAGAACAACCAAGCTCCTCTAAAGTGGACAAAAAGAAAAACAATATGTAAAATAGAATGGTTTGAGTGCGTGCCTGGAATATCCATCGTCAGAAGACTGAGGACGCGCCCAAGTTGCAGTTCTTCTTGACCTCATAGAATGAGGGGTGGCTTTTCGCTCTGGAACCGCTGTAGGAGCAGAACTCTTCCTTACTGATCCTGTTCTTGGTTCATTTTCCTCCTTATGACTTGATTGGTTCATACATAGATAGTCGCTATTAGATAGATCGCCTTTCACGAGTTTCTCAAGCAGCTCCTGCAACAACAACAACATAACAAAGATTTATCTCAGCCACTTCAAAATTACATAGTGAATATGTAACTGATAATCCGAGGTGTGCATCTACCTCGATCATGGGATAAAACCGGAACAGTTGCCATGTTTCTTCTTCACCAGATCGGTCTTTTCTGTTTGCTTGTTTTGTCTATACCAAAAGAGTGTTATTAAATGATCTTCGTCTTCTTTTCTTTAACTAGCTAGTGTGTATTTTTCATTTATCTAAACTGAATATTTTACCTTTCCAGCGTCAAATTTGAGGGAGAAACTACCGGATTTAGCCTTGTTGTCTGGAGATCCAGCTATCAATTGCATGTTGCTTATAACCTTCATATCCACAGGTGATAATCTAGCAAGCTGATAGCGTAAAATGCATTATTTATTAGCAAGCTGTTCCATGCATTAAAAGGGTTTCTCTATCACACAAAAGACTACCTGCATTAGCTTTACACCCTTGTCACCTTCAAACTTCTCGGGGTACTCTGTTGCATAAATCATCAATAGCCGTAATTTGTTTTCTGGGTTTGTGTCCTGTATTTTTAATATATGATGTGTCACGTTAAACACTAAATCAATGCGGCTATGTAGTTTCTTGTCATGTTTCAAACTTATTCACCTGATTTGTCCTCAGAAAGTTGATAACGTCCTTGGCACCTGCGTCTCCAAAAACAAGATCTTGTTCCAGCTGCCCAAGATCCCGAAGTCCTGTGTCTCTGATTATTCTGTTAATTTTTCCGGCTAGCTGAGTTTGATTATTGAAAAAAAAAGTCAGCAACCAAAACAATGGTAGTTTGAGATAAATTAATGGTGAGACAAACCTCTACGTGAGTGGAGAGTTTGTCAACTTGTTCTCCATATTGTGGCAAAGCTTGAACTATTTTCTGCAGATCTCGTGTAGACAACTCGCTACCGTCCCTGCGTCACATTAGGCTAAGATGTTAACTATACATATCAATCAACAACTCGCTACCGTCCCTGCGTCACATTAGGCTAAGATGTTAACTATACATATCAATCAAGTCCGTGCTGAATAATACACATCAGGCAACCGGATCAAGGATAACAAGAAACTGAATTCTTCAAGATATCAAACTGTTCCATTGTCTAAGCACTGTGAAAATCGGCTAAGAAAGAAAGATAAATTCTTAGCGCTGACCTTGATCTCATTTGTGCGGCTTTGTTCTTTGAAGCAAAGTTGGTCATTTTCTCATGCAAACGCTCGCTAGCCTATTTATTATAAACAAAAAAATGATGGTATCAACCAACATGGTGAACTATTCAATGAAATATAGAAGTTTACAATTGTGTTATACATCTGCTATGTGTGTGTGTCGAAGCTCAAGCCACACTGGATCATGATCTTCAAGCACTATCTCCTTTTTCTCTGGAGGCCCACCAGTTTTACTAGGAACCTAGCATATGGTAGAAAAGTTATAACGAGGGAAATAGAGAGAAAAGCGAAGTAGATAGAAAAAATAGAATTACCTCAATGACATGTTTATTCCCATCCATGTCAAGCAAATCATGGCACATAGCATCATAGGTCCATTCATGTATGATAGGCGCGATCTACAGTACAGTTACACCTCACTCGTTTTAGAAACAAATTATCAATATGGACTCTAAGGGGTATTTGTAGTAGATGAGCCTTAAAACCTGATCCACAGATCTATCCACAATGAGCAGCTCACATGTTTCGGTCTGGGGAAAGTTGGGAATGGCTTTATATTTTGAGATACAATCCCAAATAGCAGCAGCAAGCTTTGAGGGAACCAAGTCACGCGTAGCCGTAGACTTAGCAGCTCGATACCGAACAAAGGGTAATTCCTAAAAACACACAAAGAAGAAGATGATAAAGAAGAGAGAGATATATTGGCAAAGATTGAGTTTCCTAAATCATTATCCCTTTGGTGAATTGTGAAGAAGATGATTTATATACCTTCAACGAAGCAAATACGGTAGCAATTCTAGTAGCCATCATATTCAAACAAATATTAAAGTGGCGTGAATTCTCAGCATCTTCAGCATAGAGAGTTTCCAATGCTTGCTCATGATCAGTTAGAAATCCCTGAGTAAGAGGTAAGATCATCAGCGAAATAACTATACTTTGGTTTACATGTATTCGAGGAAAAACATATTTGTTAATACTTGAGATCAGATGGTTCAAAATCCGGTCAACAAAAAGAAAAGAATAGTACCTACCTGGTTATCTATGGGGAAATACTCCATGTTCATCTGCGTATTAAAAGTAGTAAGAAAATGTAGGATCAGCAGAAGAAAATGATTAAAAAACAAAAAGGGGTACAAGAGTAATAAAGGGAAGGGATGATATATAGGAGTAACCTCTCTTAATGCACCAATGCGTGGCAATACACTTGAATCACTTTTGATGTGATTGACCAATTCTTTGGGGATAGTGGAGCTGAAAAAGATAAATGCCCTGAAGAAAAAAAGAAAAAAGGGGGAAAAGAAATCACATTGAATGAGTGATTGAAGAAGAGAAGGATGAAATAAAGATCAGAAGAGGAAAGAGGCTTGTGGTAGTTACTTCCTATACAAAGGTTCCCTGCCAGACATGTCGGATAGAAACATAACAATGCTGCAAGGAGAGCGGGGAGCAAGAGTCAGAAAACAGAAAGGGAGGGGGAGAAAAGAAAAAGGATGTTACTTCTCTTTGGTAGGTTGGATAAAGTAGATAGCGTCCATGCCAGGCATTGGTTCCCTCCTCTTAAAAAGTTCTTCAACCACTGATGGATGAGAAGTAGTAGGTATCAACAAACATTGGAAAATGAGAATGAGTAAGGAATAAAAGGAGGACGAGGATGGTAATTACAGGAAATGCCTTGATCAGTGATATCTGCCATCTTGCAAGACTGAGACATTACTTTGACCGTAACTCTATCCATTATTAGTATCTGCAGAGTATGAATGTATCCCTCAAATCGATGTATTGAAGTAAGATCCTCATGAGAGAAATGAGAGATATGAGAGAGAGAGAGAGAGAGACCTTCCAAGCTTTAGAATCCCCGGTTTTGGTAGATCCAAGCATCTCGTGTAGCAATCCTGAAACCCACCCATTTCATTATTATAGCCTATCGTTCATCGTCACCAAACAACATCTATATATATATATATATATATATATGTAAAGGAAACACACAAGGAAGGCGAAAGTGATGGTTGGGATAACGTACGATCGCGGCTGATCTGACGAAAGAACTTGTAGGAATCTCCCCCATGAGAGGATGACTCTGAATCGGAGAAGGACATTGGTAATCAAATAAGAGCGCAGTAGATGATGATGATGATGAGGATGATGATGAAGATGAGGATGAAGAGGAGACGGGAGTGATTTCATTTCCATGATAGGGAGAAGGGAGAAATTGATTTGTGAATTGTATGGCTCAGCATACAATTTGGGACAAGAGAAGAGACACTCTCTCTCTCTCACTCACTATTATTAGTTCTTCTCTCTCTCTCTTTCTCTTAAATTAGCTCCTTCTTCTTCATTGTTTAAACCCTTAGTAATAGTAATGGGCCATTAGAAATGGGCCCCCATGAATCAGATTGAATGAAGACTTTTTTACTTGGAATTTGTTTCGGATTTGCAAAGGAAGGAGGGAGGGAGGAAATTGGGGGTTTAGGGTTCTTGTATCTGAATTTGTCGAGATAACAACCAAAAGAAAGAAAGAAAGAAAGAAAGAAATGGGGAGTCTTGTAAAGGTGTATTGCCACAACAGCATCCCCTTTCACCATTACCGACCTTCCAACCTTCAGACCCATATTTCCCTCTTCGCCATCACTTGTCCTTCCGTTTCTTCACCTGACCCTCCTCCTCACACCATCAAACATCCCCTCCAATTCGGCGGCCACTTGGTCATCCCCACCATCGCTGTCGCCGCCTCCGCCTGGTTCTTCTTCCGCCTCCACCAATACCCTCCGATCATCACCTCCCCCGTTGATTTTCAGCTCGAACTGGAGGAAGACGGTGCTATCAGAGAGCTTCCCCTTGACCACAAGCCTTCTTCTGTCAAAGCTCTCCACTTTTACAAAGTCAAGCCAGGTACGGTCTTGAAACTCCTGGACGTTTACGACTCCCATAACTACGACTCCTTGAAAGCCCGGATTCGTTTATCCGCCGAGTGGTTGGAAGCTGCCAGGAGACAACTGGAAGAGCTGGTCGAGAGGGACCCCGGTCGGGTCATGGAGTATTCCCAGGTGGTCGATGACCTCATGGAGATCCTCAGGGATATGGACCTTTACATCGATAAGTGCCAAAAGGACAACGTCAAGGGTTACCTTCGCTCCTGCAACCGATTGCTTGCTCGTGTTAGGAGAATGGAAGCTCAGATTCTCAATGTCCTCAAAGAGTTTCACCAGGACCAAGGTGGTGGACAAGACCCTTAACTCTTTTTAATGCTCTTTTGCTTCTCTGTTCTATATCTAATGCTCGATTACAATGGTAAATATCTAAACTCTCCAATTTCTTATGCTTGTCTTCTGACCCCGAGATTTTGCTTGGTTTTCCATAATTCATAACGTGAGCTATGTTTTAGTGTTAGTGGACAAATTGTTCTTATCACAAATATCATGATTCAAGCCCACTGTTTTTGTTTAGTTACCTTGTTGTAATGAATCTTGCATACATCCATTGATGTCTGAGACAGCTTTTGTTTCAAACAGAAAAACAAAGACTCTGCTCTCTCAGCCAAAACATAGTTCTTGTCTGATCTCTCTGTATTTGACATTAGATCTTTCACCATATTCCATGAAGACTTTGCATTGTTTAGACAAGCTTTGCGTCCCCATGAATTGTATACGTATATATGATAAAAATAACAGTTTTAGTTCAATAATGTTAACTAACAAATACCACTAGTATTCTCTCGTTCATAGGAGAGACAACCACTTTGTCTCTCCTTCTAGAAAATTAGGAGTCGTTTATACATACTGCTCGATGTCTTTATTAGATTGGTAATGTTGCAAAAAGTTCTAACGCAGCTACTAGATATGATTTGTAATTAAATAGAACTTGGCTTTAAAAGACGAAATCTTGTAACTAGAATTAACTTAGAGGAAATCAGTGATATATACACAAAGAGACTGCGCAGTGAAACATGAAGGTAAGATCCGACGAGTCCTTTTTTTTTTTTTTTTTGGTGGATTACCAAAAGTTCTCCTTTCTTTTAGGATCGGAGTCATTTATATATATATTGTTTGATTTTATTTTTCTACTAGATAACTTCATTATTATTAATTAGAAGGACTGTTGCTGATTCTTCTTCTCTCACACTTGCCCTTATTTCCATGAACAAAATAATAAGGAAGAATCCAAGAATTCCACAAAATTCAGACAATGGGCGTCCTATTCCACCTACAAAACCATACACGATTCCTGTTATCATGGTGTACACATGGTTTGGTTTAAAATCTTCTATCGGCCAAGAGAGGCACACGATTAGACCCATCGCGCCTATAGGGTGAGCGCCACAAAAAAGGACCCACGGTCCTCTTGTGGCCAAGTCTTGAAAACTATATGAGATGCAAAACATATATATCATCACGGCCAAGAAGATGTGAAACCTTCCTTCTGCTCCTAGTTGATATGTTTGCACTGGAGCTTCGTCTTTCCACCAGATTCTTATTAGCATACCAAGGTACACTATATTCCAAGCACTGAATATTGCGCACATAATCCTGATGAATACATCTTTCAAATCATTAATAATTAATTATCCGATATTATATATAACAACGATTTTCTTACCAGCGTTCCATCAAGAACTCCACACACAAGACTGCTGACGTAAAGATGCCAGCGAGTGACATACTAAAAGCCATAGCCATATACTGCCGTTGTAAACGAGGGGGACGACCCCTCCCTGCTTCTATGGCTTCTCTATACTCACCATTCATTTTGTTACGATTATTCGGTTAATTGGATGAATGCACTTACAATACAATCCTTCCCTATCTTTATATATATAAGGTGACAAAATCTCTCCCATCAAACTTTGATATTTTTTACCTATTAGACCTATCATAATTTCTAAAATTTAAACTCTGTATATATAAACAAATAGTTAGCTAGTATTTAAATCACTATTTAACAGAATCAATATCATATACATAATTATTTAAAATCAAATATCCATAGATAGTATAAAAAACAGTAAAAATCTTGACACATCAAATATCATTATTTAATCAATCCACTCAATTAATTACTCCCAAATTTATTTATAAGATATATATGCAATTTGAATCCAAAATCCAACACGTAGCAGACTGCAAACATCAATAAAAGCAGATCGTTGAACTCTATGGTTCAGATCAGGTCTTCCGGAGTATGTCTTTGGTTCGCCGATGTGTGTTGAGACACAAATCTTCACGTGTCCTTTAGTCACGAAAAAGGTAATCTTTTCTTTTCTCATAAGAAATTTTATTGATATTATACAACATACAGTACAAACTTAGCCCCAAGAACCGAGGATACATCAGCCCGATAACATGATTCCGGATAAGAAAACAAACTTAAGCCTACGATTATGGAATATCTAAATTTCTTACAACCTTCACTTACAGTTGCTTTCCAAAGACTTGAAAAATATAATCGCCAAGAAACCATCAATTTCATATCGGATTCTCAAGTCTTCTTGTCTTCACTTGATAATAAGTCGGCAATGAACACTTTTGCTTCCTGAATTGGCATAACGGAACCTCGACTGAGGCGAACTGAAACCGTCTAAAAAAGCCATGGCCGGTTTTATCGAACGAAACGACATCAATGGTGAGGAAACAAATAAATATCCAGATATCGATCAATCTGGTTGAAAATTCTATTGGAAGAGACTACGCGAGGAGCCACCCAAACGGCAACACCAAAGCAAAACACACAACTTGTGAATGGCGGTGGATCGAACTGAAACAGAGCCAAAGAAAGCATTATGAAGGATGGAAGAAGAAATTTGTTAAACCATAATCCAGCAAAACCACAAACACATCGAAGTTTTATTTATTAGCGCCAATAAGTAAGCGACGGCAAGTCTGGCACACACCGGTAACATAAGCTCGAAGATCGAGACGGCAAAACACGCCGAAAAATTCCGTACAAACAAAAGCCAGAATCATTCGAAATCAATTCCTCAAACGAAAGAATCGATAGTTCGAAGATCTGGAGACTAAAGCCGTATTGATGTTGGAGCTATGAGAGCCTCCAAACATCGATCTGAAACAAAAACAGCAAAAACTTTGATTGACCTGCTTTGAGAGAGAAATAGAGCTTTCTTGTTCGGGAAAAAGGTAATCTAAATATATATATATATATATATATGCGAAAAATCATCATCTTTTTATTACTTCTTTTCAATGGTTTTTTGTGTGTGTATAAAATTATACTTTTATTAGCTATACATATGTACTCACTAAATACTAGCATGCAGAGATACTAAATTGTTAAAAAAAAGTTGATGTGTAAATTATATGTAAATTAGTGATATGAAACGGCTTATTCATTAGTTGATTTTCTTATGTTCACGTAACTTCTTCTTCATCATCCTTTTAACGAATCAATAATTAGGTATTTGTGATATCTGCAAGATGGCATTGACACACGATCGATCAGTTATTTATATATATATATATATATATATATATATATATTTCCAAATATTAACAATTATGCGTGTATAACTCAATTACTTTCGAGAAAATTGACTCTCTTTTTTTTCTCTCTCGTTTTTTTTTTTGTGTGTAGATGAAATATTAAAGATGAAAAAATCTGAAATTGAGTAGTATGATTACCACATAAAATAACAGTTTTAATTAATTAGTCTGTTGGCATGGCGGTGCTAATTGCGGCCATGAGAGTAATACTGTTCGATTTTATTTTTCTACTAGATAACTTCATTATTAGTATTAACTAGAAGGACTGTTGCTGGTTCGTTTTCTCTCACACTTGCCCATATTTCTATGAACAAATGAATAAGGAAGAATCCAAGACTTAGACAAAACCCAGACAATGAGAGTTCTATTCCAACCAAAAAACCATAAGCGACTCCTGTCATGATGGTCCAGTAGATATGGATTGGTGTAACATCTTCTATCGGCCAACAGACGGAGACGATTAGACCCATCGGGCCTATAGGGTAAAAACCATAAATAAGGACCCACGGTCCTCTTGTTGTGGCCAAGTCTTGATTACTATATAAGACGCAAAACATATATATCATCATGGCCACGAAGATGCGAAATCTCCCCTCTGCTCCTAGTCGATATGCTTGCGCTGGAGCTTTGTCTTCCCACCTGATTCTTATTATCGCACCAAGGTACGCTATATTCCAAACACCGAATATTGCGCACGTAATCCTGATGGATACATCTCTTTCAAATCATTAATAATAATTAACTATCCGATATTATAAATAACAACGATTTCCTTACCAGTGTTCCTTTAAGAACGCCACACACAAGAATGCTAACATGAAGAAGCCAGTGAATGACATACAATAGGCGAGACACTTCACTACGCGCATATACTGCAATTGTAAATGAGGGGGACGACCCCTCCCTGCTTCCATGGCTTCTATATACTCACCATTCATTTTGTTACGATTAGTCGGTTAATTGGATGAATGCACTTACAATACAATCCCTCCCTATCTTTATATATATATGTATAGGTGACAAAATCTATCCCATCAAAGTTTGATAAGTTTTACCAATTAGACCTATCATAATTTCTAAAATTTAAACTCTATATATATATATATATATATATATATATAGTTAGCTAGTATTTAAACCACTATCTAACAGAATCAATATCATATAAATAATTATTTAGATTCAAAAGATCCATAAATAGTATAAAATCCAGTAAAAATCTTGACACATCAAATATCATTATCTAATCTATCCATCAATTAATATAATTACTCCCAAATTTATTTATAAGAGATATATGCAATTTGAATCCAAATTCCAACACGTAGCAGACTACAAACATCAATACATATATAGTTACAAAGAAAAAATTATAAATAGTGGTATGAATTTGGATTTTTGACTTATTTCCTTTGAACTTAATCCAATGATAAGTCAATTGAAACAGTTTCCTTCTTCTTCTCTTTTTTTTTTTTTTTTGGTATGTTCACCTAACTTCATTCTTTTAACCAATATTTATGTTCACATGACTATGCTGTGTTTTTTTTTGTAATGTTCTTAGATGAAATATTAAAAATGAGAAAATCTGAAATTGGAAAAATGTTAACTAATCGGTATAGATAAAATCATATCTTATGATCCAAATGAGTTTATTATATTCCAAAATTTATAAATTACAGAACCTTTATGCTTTGTTAACATAAGCAAATGTAAGTATTACAAACAAAAGGATATTGCCAAACTTTCACAGTAAAAATTCCTAAAAAGAGACCCAAAAAAGTCAATGTAACAAGCTCACAAAGATAGGTCAAATCACAAGGCCCAGCTTAGTAACTTGCAAACTCAAGCAAATTCAACACACACATGGTAAAACAGAGTTATATACGTACGCAATCACCAGCTGAAACTGATAGATTCAAAATGAAGATTCTCAGCCAAACCAGAGGAACATATCTCCGCAACCTTTTGTCTCATCTTCTTCAGACCACACACTAGAACTCGCACACTCGAACCTTCCACATCAAGTAGAAGTTCTGCTCATATCAAACCAAACAGAGAGAACATGTGTTTAGATTGAAAGAAGGTTATGTGTATATAAGCCCAGCAAGCAGCATATATTATTTAACAATTTCAGGCATCATTTACAAAAAAAATTATGTGGTGTAGTGGTTAGATGCTATGTGGTTTCTCTCTTGTATGAGGTTCAAATCCTGGCCGACTCTGTGTATATTACTCTAGAGATTAGAGGTCTTTCTCCGAAATGCAGGTTGGTGCGTTGCACGAGCGATTCTTGTGGGGTGCTTTCGATTTCTCTCACGGAATTGTAACCCCAAGAAGTAGGAGAAGATGTTGGAGATGGAATGTCGACGTTTTGGACCTGTTTCTTTTCAACGTTACCGTACTTTTTCTTATTCCAAAATATAGCTGCACTAGAAGTCGCCATGATGCTCACGCAGATGACAAAAAAATGTCTCAAGTTCTACATTAATAAATCCCTTAAACAAGAGCTACCATACCCTTAAACCAGTGGTCGGGTTAAAGAGTCATCTTTCAAAATAGCAACAACACCAAAGGCGATTAAAATGAAAAGAGTCCAAAACACAAGTGATGATGATGCCCCGACGAGAAAAAACACTAAAATCAAATCCTCTTGGGAAAAATCCCGTACCTCACGCTTTAACCATCAATCAATAGATCATAATAATAATGACTATATATGGATAGGAATAATAGCTGAAATTCAGGAATCAATAACAATCCTACTATAAATACTATACCTACTAATTAAACACGTACACAAGGGAAAAAGAACAAGACCAAAGAGAGAACAAGAGAGTTTCGTTTCCGGTAACAAATATAAATGAAGCTCTCTTGTTTTGTCTTTCTCATATCCTTCTTATTCGTTTCTAGTTCCATTGCCACGGCTCCGCCCAACCCTATCTATGACAGCTTTCTCCAATGTTTCAGCAACCACACAGGCGCTCCTCCGGAGAAGTTATGCGACGTCGTTCTCCCACAAAGCAGTGCCAGCTTCACCCCGACACTACGCGCCTACATCCGAAACGCGCGTTTCAACACTTCCGCGTCTCCCAAACCTTTGATAGTTATCGCGGCTCGTTCTGAGAGCCACGTCCAGGCCACCGTCATCTGCACCAAATCTCTCAACTTCCAGCTCAAAACTCGCAGCGGCGGCCATGACTACGACGGCGTTTCCTACATCTCTAACCGCCCTTTCTTCGTACTCGACATGTCCTATCTCCGTGACATCACCGTCGACATGGCCGACGACGACGGCTCTGCTTGGGTTGGAGCCGGCGCTACCCTGGGCGAGGTTTATTACAGCATTTGGCAGAAGAGCAAAACTCACGGATTTCCCGCCGGAATATGTTCCACAGTAGGCGCGGGAGGTCACATCAGCGGCGGAGGGTACGGCAACATGATCAGAAAATACGGACTTTCAGTTGATTACGTCACGGACGCCAAGATCGTAGACGTGAAGGGATGTGTCCTCGATAGGAAATCGATGGGAGAGGAATTGTTTTGGGCGATTCGAGGAGGCGGAGGGTCGAGCTTCGGCGTCATCCTATCTTTCAAGATAAAACTCGTGCCTGTCCCTCCGAGGGTGACTGTTTTCAGAGTGGAGAAAACCCTCGAAGAAAACGCACTTGACATGGTCCATAAATGGCAGTTTGTTGCCCCCGAGACAAGCCCGGATCTCTTCATGAGGCTAATGATGCATCCCGTGACGAGGAACGCTACTCAGACGCTTCGAGCGTCGGTGGTGGCTCTCTTCTTGGGAAAACAGAGCGACCTCATGTCTCTGCTGACCACAGAGTTTCCCGAGCTTGGTCTGAAGCCGGAGAACTGCACGGAGATGACGTGGATACAGTCGGTGATGTGGTGGGACAACAAGGACAACGCCACGATGATTGCACCGGAGATCCTGCTGGATCGAAACCCGGATTCGGCGTCCTTCTTGAAAAGGAAATCGGATTACGTGGAGACAGAGATCAGCAAAGACGGTTTAGGTTTCCTGTTTAAGAAGCTCATGGAGGCTGGGAAGCTAGGGCTAGTGTTCAATCCGTACGGAGGGAGAATGAGCGAGGTGCCTACGACGGCGACTCCGTTCCCGCACCGGAAGAGGCTTTTCAAGGTCCAGCATTCGATTAACTGGAAAGACCCCGGCACCGAAGCGGAGAGCAGTTTCATGGAAAGGACGAGAAGCTTCTACAGCTACATGGCTCCTTTCGTCACCAAGAATCCAAGACACACGTATCTCAACTACAGGGATCTTGATATCGGGATCAACACCCATGGCCCAAACAGTTACAGAGAAGCTGAGCTTTACGGCCGAAAGTATTTCGGTGATAATTTTGATCGGTTGGTCAAAGTCAAAACAGCCGTCGATCCTCTTAACTTTTTCAGGGATGAGCAGAGCATACCTACCAAGCCATCCACAAGCTAAATAGCTGTCTAGGGATCATTTATATCGTAGTAGCTAATTTATACAGCTTGTATTTTATCAAAGTACATGCTACGACCAACCAAGTCAGACAAATTTGCGGCACAAATTGCTAGACATACAATAACTGACAATATATTTATTTTTTGAAAAAACTGTGGTGTCTTTAATACTATATATTTTTTAATAAATATAGTTTTTAAGTCTCTAAGTTTAGTCTTGCAATTCCAATTTAATAATTCCGTCCGTATAATGTTTTTGGCAACGGAATCTGTATAGATCAGAAGGTAGTACATTATACGCCGTGTCTAATATATATATATATATACGTACAAAAACGACAAAATGCAAATGAGAAAACGACATGCTGTTTTGGTGGACTGACAAAACAATAAGCAGTGCAGTCTCTCGTCACAGAAATAGCAACTTGAAGCATGATGAAGCCCACACATCTTAGAGGGGTCGAGACTGGCTAGATGAAAACTCCCTAAGAACTAATTCAACTTCTTCAACAACACCAAGCTTCTTAAACCACTGAGCCAACACAGCAGAAGCTTCTTTCTCAACCATTACAGACTCTTTCTCAAGCTCAACCAAGAACCCCAATGCTTCATTTAGCTTTTCTTCCTTCTCATATGCAGCCAGTACAAGAGCCACACACTTATCAGTAGCTTTGATTCCCGCTTTTCTCATATTCTCAAACGCCAAACGCGCATTTTGGCTCTGGCCCAAGACACTGTATGCGTTTATGAGCAGTCCACATAGCTTTACATCAGGAGTAATCCCCGCGATTTGAACTGCATCAAAAACCCGCTTGGCTCCTTCCGCATCCCCACTCATAGAGTAGGCTCTCAACAATGCCTTGTAAACCTCTCTTCCCGCACAGATTTCTTGGGAATCCATTTCTCTGAGTAAGGCCTCTCCTTTCTCGGGTGCTCCAGCCCTAATGTAGGCCATGACCATGGAACCATATGATCGATTATCTAGTGGTTCCCCAAGCAATTTGATTTCGTTGAAAGTTTCTTCAGCCAATTTATGATAGCCTGCCTTGCTATACAACTGAACCATTGCAGTAAGGGTCACCTGATCAATGGGAAAGAGTCGATTTTTCATGGCAAGAAGAGTTCTTTCAGCTTCTTCCACTTGGTTTAGCTTCCCATAGAAATGGATGATCTTGGTATAATCACGGGCATTCGCTTCAAAGGAATCTTCGAGCAGCGAGAATTCAGCCACCTAAGGATATTGGAAAGGAGCAAGATTGAATGATTCAAACTTAAAAAGAAAAAGAAAATGATGACAGATTCAAATCAGTCCGGTGCTAGATGGGAAAAACACCAATAAGAGATTTGGAAGAAGACATGCTGAGAAAGTACCTTGATATAAAAAGGAGAGTCAAGATCCTTCAACTCTTTAAGAAGAGAAAGCCAGTCAGCTCTAATGGGGCTCATCCTCCTAACCCAAGCACCCAACAAATCACAAAAACTCCCTTTGTCGCTGGAGAAGCAAATAATCTGCCTCATAAGCGCTTGACAACGTTTTGACATCTTGACAGGAATCCGAGTAATCGCCTCATCTTGTTCTTCTGTCAGATTCAGACCGGCATCAGCCCAATTAAACCTAGGGGTATCTTCCTTCTCTACTACAACGGCCACACGCGCGGCACTACATCTGCAACTACAGCGCCTATTTTCTACTAGTATTGGGATGCGGTGGTATATCCGCCGCCTATGGCTATGGCTTCCAGTTATAACTAATGGACATTTCAATCCGAAGCTCAACAACACTGCTTCGCAGCTATAAATTCCCATTACAGAAAATTTTGGCAACAACTTGGAAGACGGAAACAATTCATGTACCTCACAAAAGAAGTAAAGGCTGCTTCCGCCTTAGGATCATAGAAATATAACAGAACTGAGCTTCTCTGATTACTTACAAATTAATCCAACTGGAGAGATGCCCAAAAGCAAAGTTCGTAGACAGAGCAGAGTTAGAGTTAGAGTTAGAGTTGGTGGATAAATTAGAGCGGTGGAGAAGAAGAGAAGAGAAGACAAGACAAGGACTTCGTTGTAGCTTTGCTCTGCTCTACTAGAGACCACAAATGCCTGCTGCTTCCCTATGGGCCTTTATTGATCTTGGGCCTCCATTATAATTATGGCCCGTGATCTTTTTTCCCGGAATGATAACATACATGCTGCAGTGTACCAGCAATTTTGTACTAGCAAAGCATTATTATGAGAGACGAGTTTGCAATGTCAATACATAGTTTAAGAGCGATGATTAATTATTATTTCAATATTGAAAGTGTCTTCTTTTTGTTCATTACTTGCAAAATAAAATATACGTGCTTTTTGAGAATTAATTATTGATTCATACGTGTTTCGATATCACTCTAATATATATCCCAAAAGAAAGTTTTACAGTATTTTTGATAAATGAAAGACGTAAACACCATTGTTGATTAAAAGTTAAAACGATAGAACCATGACCGGGAGTCCACCGGGACGGTCAACAGAGAGATTTTAAAGATTTCCTCATTTACAAAGTTCCAAATTTGCCCTCAAATGCGCTGCTTTAAGTAAAAAGAAGGGAACAAACATAGCGCCACTGTTGAAGGATATTTAAGTAATTTATTGTATAGTAGGAGAGGAGGGCGATCCAAATCTGGTTCTCTGGGTTTTTTTTTTTTTTTTTTTTTTTTTTTTTTTTTTTTTAATTGTTGGTTGTTACTTCACTGAAGCTCACTTTTTTTTTCTTTTTGTTTTGGGTCTCGTCTTCTTCTTCTTCTTCTTCTTCTTCCCCTTTCGTAGATGTTGCTGAGTCGACGAGACGATACGACTCGCCATCCCTGATACGACGTTTGCTTTGGTTCGATCGCAGAGGAGGAGACAGACTTTGTTGTTCTCTCTGGCTGGCTACATACTCACCACTCTTCTTATAGATCTGAATTGGTGATTCTTCGTTGAACTCTCCACCAAATCTGGAATGGCTTCTACGGAAGTCGATTCCCGCTTAGCTCGAGTTGTGATCCCAGCTTTGGACAAGGTCATTAAGAACGCATCCTGGCGTAAGCACTCCAAGCTCGCTCACGAGTGCAAATCCGTCATCGAGCGCCTCAGATCGCCTGATAATTCTTCTCCTGTTGCCGACTCTGATTCTGGATCTTCCATTCCCGGTCCCCTTCACGACGGTGGAGCCGCTGAATACTCTCTCGCCGAGTCTGAGATCATCCTCAGCCCTCTCATTAACGCCTCCTCCACCGCCGTTCTTAAGATTGTCGATCCGGCCGTTGATTGCATCCAGAAGCTTATTGCACATGGCTACGTTCGCGGTGAGGCGGATCCCACCGGCGGACCTGAGGCCCTACTCCTTTCCAAGCTCATTGAAACCATCTGCAAGTGTCACGAGCTCGACGATGAAGGACTCGAGTTGCTCGTGCTTAAGACGCTCCTAACTGCTGTAACTTCAATTTCCCTCAGGATCCATGGAGATTCTTTGCTACAGATCGTGAGGACTTGTTATGGCATCTACTTAGGAAGCAGAAACGTGGTTAATCAGGCCACGGCTAAAGCCTCGCTCGTGCAGATGTCTGTTATCGTGTTCAGAAGAATGGAGGCTGATTCATCTACAGTCCCGATTCAGCCCATCGTTGTAGCCGAGCTGATGGAGCCAACGGACAAATCTGAATCTGACCCATCGACCACGCAGTCCGTTCAAGGTTTCATTACCAAAATTATGCAGGATATCGACGGAGTTTTCAATTCAGCTAACGCCAAGGGCACATTCGGCGGCCATGACGGAGCCTTCGAGACTTCATTGCCTGGGACTGCAAATCCTACAGATTTGTTGGATTCAACAGATAAGGATATGTTGGATGCCAAGTACTGGGAGATCAGTATGTATAAGTCGGCCCTCGAAGGAAGGAAAGGGGAGCTGGCCGATGGAGAAGTGGAGAAAGACGATGATTCTGAGGTTCAGATTGGGAATAAGCTGAGAAGAGACGCCTTCTTGGTTTTCAGGGCACTTTGCAAGCTGTCCATGAAGACGCCTCCAAAGGAAGATCCTGAGTTGATGAGAGGAAAGATTGTGGCTCTCGAGCTATTGAAGATTCTGCTGGAGAATGCTGGTGCTGTCTTTAGAACCAGCGATAGGTTTGCTTTACTTATCTTCTTGCAGTTTTTTAATCCACATTAGGTAGTTTGCTATGCTATCACTAGTTTCAACTTTTTTTTTTTTTTCTAAGCTTGCAACATCTGAGATTGCTAGTTTATCTCATTATCTCCATCTGCTTGATAGCTGCTTTACGCAGAATGTTATTTAGGTATTGGTGTTTCTTTTGAATATTTAGCATCAATTCATTATGAATCAGGTTCTTAGGCGCCATCAAGCAGTATCTCTGTCTCTCCTTGCTGAAGAACAGTGCTTCAAATCTTATGATCATTTTCCAGCTTTCCTGCTCGATTTTACTTAGTTTGGTTTCAAGATTTCGTGCTGGGCTGAAGGCAGAGATTGGGGTGTTCTTCCCCATGATTGTTCTAAGAGTGTTAGAGAATGTTGCTCAACCTGATTTTCAACAGAAGATGATAGTGCTACGGTTCTTGGACAAGCTCTGCATTGACTCACAGATTTTGGTAGATATCTTTATCAACTACGATTGCGATGTCAACTCATCCAATATATTTGAGAGGTATGAATTGATATGTTATTTTGGCTTATCTATGTTTTTATGTCCTGAATCTGTTTATTTTTGTGGTTTAAGAAATGGGATCAATAACTAGTGCGATCCAGTATTTTTTCTGGTATTGAAAGTGACATTTATTTCCGTATTTGTTATCTTATACCTTATTTTAGGATGGTCAATGGTCTCCTAAAGACTGCTCAAGGAGTGCCTCCTGGTACAGTTACCACCTTGTTGCCACCTCAGGAGGCAGCCATGAAGCTTGAAGCCATGAAATGCTTAGTTGCTGTTTTAAGGTCTATGGGAGACTGGGTTAATAAGCAGTTGCGTCTTCCAGATCCTTATTCTGCAAAGTTGCTAGAAATTGATGATAGAAATCTTGAAGAAGGAAGTCATCCGGTGGAAAATGGTAAGGGGGATGCAGGCCATGGGGGTTTTGAAAGATCAGAATCCCAGTCTGAACTGTCCAGTGGGACTTCTGATGCCTTAGCAATAGAGCAACGCCGAGCTTACAAGCTTGAACTTCAGGTTAAAGTTTTCCTAAGTTACCTAAAGTTTGATTCGGCGCTCATTGACTTTTGTCTCAGTCTGTCAGCTAAAACCTGATTTGGTTTTATTTATGGCAGGAAGGTATTTCTATTTTCAACCAGAAACCTAAGAAAGGCATTGAATTTCTAATCAAGGCAAACAAGGTGGGGGATTCACCAGAGGAAATAGCAGCTTTTCTCAAAGATGCATCCGGGTTGAACAAGACTTTGGTAGGGGATTATTTGGGGGAAAGGGAGGACCTATCTCTTAAAGTTATGCATGCATATGTGGATTCTTTCGAATTCCAAGGGATGGAATTTGATGAGGCAATTCGAGCCTTTCTCCGGGGATTTAGGCTGCCAGGAGAAGCCCAAAAAATCGATCGTATCATGGAAAAGTTTGCTGAGCGTTACTGTAAATGCAATCCAAAGGCTTTTTCTAGCGCTGATACGGCATATGTCCTCGCTTACTCTGTTATATTGCTCAACACAGATGCACATAACCCTATGGTGAAGAGCAAGGTACATATTTAAGAGGGTTTCGTAGAAAAGTTTACTGAAATCCCTGTTGAGGAAGTCCAATCTTGTTTGAAGCTTGTGTAATTGTCAAACAAGTCAACTCATTACTTAATTTTATTAATTACAACTTGCAGATGACAGCTGATGGTTTCATTAGAAATAATCGTGGTATAGATGATGAAAAAGATTTGCCTGAGGACTATCTACGTGCATTGTATGAAAGGATATCTAGAAATGAGATAAAGATGAAGGACGATGGTTTGGGTCCACAACAGAAGCAGCCAACAAACTCAAGTAGATTACTTGGCTTAGATACTATCTTAAATATTGTTGTTCCTAGGCGTGGTGATGATATGTACATGGAGACCAGTGATGATCTTATTAGGCATATGCAAGAGAGGTTTAAAGAAAAAGCTCGCAAATCTGAGTAAGAAGCTTCCGTTATTGTGCATTTTTGTTTTCCACACTCTTGTGCAGTGGTCTGCTTCACCCATGTTGATTTTGTTTCCATTCTTTCCTCTTTTGGGCATCTTTAACTTACATTCTGATAATCAATCTTTGGGAGTCAGTAGTTGGTCAGGTCAACACTACTGGCTTGTGGTCTTATTATCACTTCTATTTTGCTATGATTTTCATTCTTGGAATTACCTGAAAAAGCGTATGTCCTGGTTTCTGATTTTTGTTTTCCATTGTAGGTCAGTTTATTATGCAGCCTCGGATGTGGTTATACTCAGATTTATGGTTGAGGTGTGTTGGGCTCCTATGTTAGCAGCTTTCAGTGTTCCACTTGATCAGAGCGATGATGCAGTAGTTACAGCATTATGTCTGGAGGGTTTCCACCATGCCATCCATGTCACTTCTGTAATGTCCTTAAGAACGCATAGAGATGCCTTTGTGACTTCGCTAGCAAAATTTACGTCCCTCCACTCTCCTGCTGATATCAAGCAAAAAAACATTGAAGCCATAAAGGTTTGTATTTTTTTCTCATCTTCCTACCTTATATTCCAGGTACAAAACGATATAGGAAAACTCATTTAGTTTTAATTTTCATTCTATGCTGGATTAGCATTCACATTCTGCGTCTGAAATTTATGGGAAAAAATAAATATACTTTTTTGGTTTCTTTTGGCACTTTTCTTCTTTCTAGGAAATGGTAATCAAGTTAGCTGTTTCTTTGTAGAAATGAGTTGGGTTAGCTTGCAATTAATCATTAAAACACCAATGGATGATAAGCAGTGGTTTCTATGGATTAAGTTTTTTGGCTGTATACTGATAGGCAATAGTAAAACTGGCGGAGGAAGAAGGGAACTATCTACAAGATGCTTGGGAGCATATATTGACTTGTGTTTCACGGTTTGAGCATCTTCATCTGTTGGGGGAAGGAGCTCCTCCTGATGCCACTTTCTTTGCATTTCCGCAAACGGAGTCAGGAAACTCTCCACTGGCTAAGCCAAATTCCGTACCTGCAATTAAAGAAAGAGCACCTGGAAAACTTCAGTATGCTGCATCTGCTGTGATAAGGGGTTCCTACGATGGTTCCGGTGTTGCTGGCAAGGCTTCTAATACAGTGACGACTGAACAGATGAACAACCTGATATCTAATCTGAACTTGCTAGAACAAGTTGGTGACATGAGTCGGATATTTACTCGTAGTCAAAGATTAAACAGTGAAGCCATAATCGACTTTGTTAAAGCCCTCTGCAAAGTTTCCATGGATGAGTTACGATCTCCATCTGATCCACGGGTCTTCAGCCTAACAAAGATTGTGGAAATAGCGTAAGTTTCGTCAATCTTTTCTTTACAATAATGATATGTTTAGCTCAAACTCTCTTATTAATACTCTCTTGATTGTAATGACAGGCACTATAACATGAACCGCATAAGACTTGTCTGGTCGAGCATCTGGCTTGTGCTCTCTGATTTCTTTGTGACTATTGGCTGTTCTGATAACCTCTCCATTGCAATTTTTGCAATGGATTCTTTGCGCCAGCTGTCTATGAAGTTCTTAGAGAGGGAAGAGTTGGCGAATTATAACTTCCAAAATGAGTTTATGAAACCTTTTGTTGTTGTCATGCGCAAAAGTGGGGCTGTTGAGATCAGGGAATTGATTATACGATGTGTCTCACAGATGGTTTTATCTCGTGTTGACAATGTCAAGTCGGGATGGAAGAGTATGTTCATGGTATTTGATCCATCAAACTTCCATATATGTTGTTGTCTCTCTCAGTTCCTGGTGACAGATATACGTACTGAGCTCTGTTTGTTCTTGCAGATTTTCACGACAGCGGCACATGATGCACATAAAAATATTGTGTTCCTGTCTTTTGAAATGGTTGAGAAGATTATCCGAGACTACTTCCCACACATCACAGAGACAGAGACAACCACATTCACAGACTGTGTGAATTGCCTTGTTGCGTTCACCAATAGTAAATTTGAGAAAGATATTAGTCTACAAGCTATTGCTTTCCTTCAATATTGCGCAAGAAAGCTTGCTGAAGGCTCTGTTGGTTCATCATTGAGGAGGAACCCTCCATCATCTCCTCAGGGTGGAAAAGGTGGAAAACAAGATAGTGGAAAATTTCTAGAAAGTGATGAACATTTGTATTCTTGGTTTCCATTGTTAGCCGGTAAGCCAAATTCACTCTTGTTGTCATAAGTTTTTTACTTCTTAAATCAACAGAATCATGACCTTGACAGTTTTGGCTTTCTTTTCCGCGCAGGTTTATCTGAACTTAGTTTCGACCCAAGAGCAGAAATTAGGAAGGTTGCATTGAAAGTCCTGTTTGATACTCTGCGGAACCATGGTGACCATTTCAGTCTATCGTTATGGGAACGGGTTTTTGAGTCTGTTTTATTTCGGATATTCGACTATGTGCGTCATGACGTTGACCCATCTGGCGAGGATTCAGCAGATCAGAGAGGATACAGTGGTGAAGTCGGCCAAGAGTCTTGGCTTTATGAGACATGCTCATTGGCTTTACAGCTAGTTGTAGACCTCTTTGTGAATTTCTACAAGACAGTTAATCCTCTTCTCAAGAAGGTACTGATGTTATTTGTAAGCTTGATAAAACGTCCACATCAAAGTCTTGCTGGTGCGGGTATTGCTGCGCTTGTCCGTCTGATGAGAGACGTCGGTCATCAATTCTCAGACGAACAATGGCTCGAGGTTGTGTCATGTATCAAAGAAGCAGCAGATGCTACATCCCCTGACTTCTCATACGTTACTACTGAAGATTTGACGGAGGATGTAAGCAATGAGGACGAAACAAATGATAATTCCAACGATGCATTGAGAAGAAGAAACAGACAGCTTCATGCTGCCGTCGCAGATGCCAAATCCAAAGCTTCAGTTCAGATTTTTGTGATTCAGGTTAGTCAAGTCTTAGTCTGGTAAAGAAGCATGGATATATCGCACTTGATCAGTCTCATCAGTATGTGTATGTTTGTGCACTTGTTCTTTATTTGCAGGCGGTAACAGATATCTATGACATGTACCGTACGTCTCTCACAGCCAATCACATGTTGATGCTCTTCGACGCTATGCATGGCATAGCATCCAACGCTCACAAAATCAATGCCGATCCACTCCTACGTTCCAAGCTTCAGGAGCTCGGGTCGTCCCCTGAATCTCAAGAAGCTCCTCTGCTGCGCCTGGAGAACGAATCATTCCAAACATGTATGACCTTCTTAGACAACCTCATCTCAGACCAGCCTGTGGGTTATGACGAGTCGAAAATAGAAACCCACCTTATAAGCCTCTGCAGAGAGGTGTTAGAGTTTTACATAGACATTTCGTGTTCGAAGGAGCAGTCGTCTAGATGGGCGGTTCCCTCAGGGTCAGGAAAACGGAAAGAGCTAACGGCGCGGGCACCACTAGTGGTGGCTGCAATCCAGACACTGGGAAACATGGGAGAGTCACTGTTCAAGAAGAACTTGCCAGAGTTGTTTCCGTTGATAGCGACGTTGATAAGCTGTGAACATGGGTCAGGGGAGGTGCAAGTTGCTCTTAGTGATATGCTTCAGACATCAATGGGACCTGTTCTCCTCCGCTCCTGCTGCTAATGTCATCTTTCTATTTCTCCCTCGATTTTCTTCTATATTATTCTGATTGGTTCTTCTCTTTTGAGTTTTTTCTATATGTTTTTTGAATCAGAAAATTACGTTTGCTTCATTGATTGGTAGCAGCCATGGGAAGAGGTTAGCGTTCACGAGGTGTTTATTTTCTTATAATGTAAATTGTAAAATATTAGACAGTCTGTGTTTTTGACACATTGTTTCATAATAAGTCTAGCGAACCTTCTTTTTATTTCAGAGGTTGGATGAATCACAAAACGTGATTTCGTAAGGCGTTTATACAAAATTTAAAAAGTGAATGAGAAAAGCAAAGAGAAACAAAAAAGTTAAGTGTGTAAACATGATCATATAAAATATATATATAGAAAGAATACAGATGATGGTGTGTTTGAGAGCTGATAATTATATGTTACAAACATAGAACAAGTCAAAACTGGATGCCGAGCCGACGGATCTCAGAACGGAAGACGGGACTGGAAGAGAGAGTACGATGAGCCAAACTTCGAATGTCTTCTCTTGAACATTCCTTTGATATTCGCACCAACTCCCACAACGCTCCTCCGCTTATCATCTCCTTCGCATTCACCTCTGCCCCCACCAAACAATACCCAAAACACCAATGAACATGATGAACCACAACACAAGGATCATAAGTACCACAAAGAAAAGTCAAGGATCGCACTAACCATGCTGGGCCAAATGGCATAAAGCTAGCTCTATGTGGCGCCTGATTGGCGCAGCTTCATCATTAGCATGTTGTACAATCCACGGAAGAGCTCCATCTTCTATTAGTAGTGATCTTCCACTCTTCACACCTTCATACACTCTTCACATTAATCCACCGAAACAAGTAATGTCTCTACACACTGGATGACCTTGATGGAAAACTGGAAGGGATTTTTACCTTGAGTGGTTGCTCGGGACTCGCACTTAGCAAAGTTCGCAATTCCACGAGCCACCTGAGCAAGAACATCTGGATGTCCGCATCTAACCATTCCTAACAACGCTTTTATTCCACCATCCGACCAAAGTCTTGCTTGAAGTTTGTCTGCCAAACAACAAAAAAGCATTTCAGAAATTGCTCAGTGTCTTGTTCAAAAGAAATTGACGTTGAAGACGTTATTTTACCGTTGCCACAGAGATTAGCAATAGCTCCAGCTACCATGCGTAAAGTCTGTGGGTCCTCTGCATCTGCAGCTGTTAGAGATAGCAAGCTGATTCCACCTTGGTCCACTATCAATTGTTGACTCACTTCTGTTACCACAAATACAAAATTAAAACACATGAGCACATACTGTCCCATTAAGTGACGACAAGCCATATAATTCGTCTCTTTCTGCTTTCACTGTCTGTTTAACCTCCAATTATTAATCAGTATCCATAAGGGTTTACCGTTCATTGCCAGATTGGCGAGCGCACCAGCGGCGACTCTTCGGACAGTTTCATCTTCGTAGCTTCTGAGAAGCATTAACAATGATGTCAGCCCTCCAGCTTCAACGATCTTTTCTTGATTTGCTTCTGCTTATCAAACCCAAAGAAAGTAGGGGAACTGTGAGACCTATAGCAACAAAAAATCTGAACCTCTAGAGATGATCATATATGTCAGTGAGTGAGCAAAGGTTACCTTCAGCTGCAAGATTTGCCACAACTTTCACAGCATGAATCCTTATGTTTGCATCATCTGACTCAAGCAATTGCAAGATCTTTTGAAGTCCCACTGTTTCAAAGAGGATGGAAAGTTATAAGAACCATAAAGACAGTTGTACACACTCCGGCTCAAACATTTTAGAAGAAATTCCTATTACCTTGCTCGCATAGTGTAGCAAACGGTGCCTTCTGTCCGTTCACAGATTCTCTTGCTTGGGAATGCCGTGAGGGTAACGAGTCCGTGCCAGAAAATGAATTTCCTGGGGCACCTCTGTCCAAGCACCGTCTCATCTGGAAAAATAAGACTCAATTATCAGATAACAAATTTATGAGACTCAAGGTTGACCCAAAATCATTACCAAGACATTTGTTATCAAGTACAAGAAGCAGGTTAATAGGTGATTGTGAAAATGTGCCTCATATTGGTTATAGCGAGACTGAAGGAACTCTAACCGTGCTTGTACATTTTTCCAAGTGTTACAAACTACAAAGTATATTCAATGAGTACAAACGATAAAGACTAATCCTTGATTTGATGTATAAAAACAGTTGCGTTACAGCAATTAAAGGAGATACCTTCACACACTAAATTCGTAAACTTCGTACCTGGTCAGCTTCAAAAGTAAGCTGCACAAGTTGACTTCGTAATATAGTGACCTCTTCTTCAAGTTTCTTTTTCTGAAGAGCCTCATCCTCCAGCAGTTTTTGTAGTCTTGATATTCCAGCATCTTCGCCTTCCTAAAACACCAGAGAGCTTGGTTAAATAATATCTAAGATGCTAAATCATTTGAGAGGAGGAAAGAGATAGAAAGAGCCAAAGAGAAGTTAAAGACTGAGTACCCCTGATCTTGTCTTCAGTGTTGACTGGCTTTTTACTTTGCTAACTTCCTCTTCAGCTGTCTTCCTTAACCTTATTTCGTTCTCAAGTGATTCTTTTAACCTTGTGAATTCACTAGCTGTAATAACCCCATTGACCTGCAAAATAATATTTACTGGTAAAAGATTTGTACACTCCCATCACCTGAAAAGAAAATAAGAGTTCTGCTAGCAAGTACCTCTCCGTTGCGTTTACCATTCTCATGGTTCCGCTGGCTCGATATCAGCTTTTCTTCAAGCTTTTTAACTGACTCCATATACTCCATTTGACACTTTAGTTTCTCCTTCTATAAATAGAAAATTGAAAAAAAGAAATACTCAGATTTCAAAATGTACTGAAACAAAACACGGATATGAAACCATTTTCCTTTTTATTACAGACTTTTTTGGGTATATGCCAAGGACTAATGAGTGCCTCACTGGATTTTGCATAAACTAACCTCTAAGGCCTCAGCAAAGCTCTTTTCAACTTCTGATATACGATTTTGTGCTTGTCGATTTATTCTCTCCACATCATCATCAAATGCTTTCAGCTGCCTTTCATTTTCAGCAATCACCTTATCCAGTTGGACCTCAAGTTTCTTGGATAAACTCTTGTAATCAAATTCTTCCTTTATCTTTAACATATTCTCCACCTTCATTGCCTGCCCAATAAAACACTTACGGTTTTGAAAGCTTTCAATAGACTTCTACATTACAGGTTGGGTAAGGTAGTGAAATCCCACCCTTTGACCAAATAATATAGTACTCGTTGTCTCTCCTCTATGACGTGGCGAGGGACCAATGGTCACAATTAGGGATGTTCTTGCAGTGCCTGAAATGCAAATAACATATGTATAAGCGACTGATAAATCAGAAAAGTCCAGTTATTAGGAATTCAGAATTCAAGACACCAGGAATTAGCATATGAGCAATAAGAAAACTAACCACCAAATGAATCTCTCAATAAGCGAGTAAGTTTTGAATCGCGAAGTGGAACATGAGGGCTATTCTCAGCTATTGCATTGATGCATTTCCCTAAGGCACTAAGTGAAAGATTAATGGATTTAGCTTCCTCCAGCATGTGCCCTTCGCTGCCTGCATTGCAAGAAAGAAGGTGATAATGAGTGCGCCCATAAGGTGGAATCTTACACAGCATCAAAGGAAAAAAAGGAAATGTGTTAGTAAAGAAGTTTCCTGATACAGTTTTTTCATAGAGGAAAAAACAAAGAAATGAGAGAATCTGCTTATTGCAAGAGCTTTGACAAGCTATCTCATTTGATTGTCAGAGGTTTATACCCGACTTGTGAACACGTTCAGAACCAGCAAGATCAACTAGAACTAGCTTGCTTCTCCTAACCAATGGTTTTGATGGTCTGACAAAGTGAGAAGAGTTGTCCATTTCATTTGAGACTGGATCCTCATTATCAACCACCGACCTCTTGACATGTACCTGAACTATTGATCATGCATCAACTCAAGATAAAAATAGAGATGAAGGTAAAGGTATATGTAAGTCTGATGCCTAGGAAGTTTGAGAAGGGTAAACAGAAGTGGATTACCATGAGAATTGCATGACTTCGAGAAGATTCAGTATTCAATTTTGTATTGGCTGCAACCCTATGTGTTTCCCCAAGCTGAAGGAGCTCAAGGAAATTTTGTTGGTTCCTAATTTCTACATGGGTTGCCCCTGGCAAGGAGACATCTCCAGTTTTGGGGTCTTCGACAATAGCAATGTTGTCATTAGATGGGTCAAGGAGATCTTGGATGGTCTCCATATAAAGCTGGAGAAAGTGATAAAAAAGTTACTAAAGTGAAAAAAGAAAATGCAAAGAAGAAGTTAGTGAGGAATAAAGGAAACCTGTAAATATGAGACAGAGACAGAATCAGTGTCTAGAGAAGTGGCAGCAATGATATCTTCCATGGATCGAACCATGATACCACGAGCAGCAGTATCTTCATCTCCTAACCTTCCAAGGGTAAAAGTTTTGCCAGTACCGGTCTGACCATAAGCCATGACAGTTCCGTTGTAACCCTCAAGAACACTCTACATATATATAGTAAAAAAGAAAAGAGAGAGAGAGAGAGAGAGAAATTGAGTGGGGAAGATGAATAGAAAGGGTCGATAATGATGAAGGAGAGAAAAAAGGGACCTCAACAACAGGCTTGGCAACGACTTCATAGACTCGCTTCTGGGAAGCAGCTTCGGTAAGGACCTCATCGAACTCATAGGTTTCTGTATCCCAATTGTTTTTCCTGAGTTTCAACCTTTTAAGCTGGAAGATTAGAAAACAAGGGAAACAAATGAGAGGTCAAAGACATAAAATGTAATATTGAAGAGGAAGGAAGGAAGGAAGAGGAGAGAAACCTCAGGTTGCAACTCAACACAATCAGCAAAATCAGCATCAGCGACGGACTCATCTGCATTTCGAGGTCGTAATCTAACAGCGACTCGAACTCTCCCAGGCACTGTTACCACAAGCAAAAACATGGGTGCCACTTGAGAAGATATAATAAATAAATCCTATCTAAAAGGCGCGATTAAGGGACCAGCAAGACCGATAGAAATGATGGTTGGAAATTGAAATCGCATCTCAGTAAGTAATAGGAGAGAGAGAGAGAGAGAGAGAGAGAGAGAGAGAGAGAGAGGGACCTCCATTGTCTCCGAGAGAAGCAGAGGTGGAGCTGCGACGGGGAGCAGGCGCGGAGGAAGGAATCCTGGATTTGAAGGAAGACGATCTGAGATTGGAGCCGGAGGAGGGTCTCATGGATCCTCTAACAGCGCCATTTCTGGAAGAAGCCATAGCCATCCCACTATTATATATATACTTGCTAATACTATTCTTCTTCTTCTTCTTCTCTACTGTGACGACTGAGTTTATACAAACAGAAGAGTCAAATAAAATAAAATTCAAAAGAAGAGACGAATAGAGGAGACGAAAGAGAAGAGAGGACGAGAGTCTGGTTTTTATTTGTTTTCTTCAATTTTGTCTCTTCAATTTTTTTTTTATTTTTTTTATTTTTAATTGTGTGTGTTGTTTATACGTACAAGTATTAAAGAAGAAAAAAAACAGCAGAGTGATGGAGGAGGAAGAGGAGGTTGGCGGGGCCCACAAGAGTGAGTATATGAATGAAGACAGAGACAGTCTCGTTGTGTTTACTTTTACGGGTGGTTCCCACTTTGTCAAAAGAGAGAGAGACTATTATATTTGTTTTTTTCCTTTTTTACCCCTCCTACTGATTCGTGTTTTTTTGTCTTGCATCTGTGCTGTCATGTTTGGCTGAGCCCATTTGTTTGCCTTTTTTTTTTTTTAATAATTTGATGGCCCAACAAGCAGAATCCTATCTTCTTCAAATGACACGGATCGCTACTAATTATGGTGATACTGAGACCGTGCGTTTGTGTCAACTGAGGAGGCTCTATATATTAGACTAGACACAAAACACAACCCCTTTCAACGTACACTTAGCAATTGTTGTTCAATCCAGTACAAACTCAACTCTTTCACATGTCAAACCATCACTTCTGCATCATGTCTCTCAGCTTATATCAAGTCCACAACAATCGAGCTAACCAGCAAGTGGATTGGCGTGGATCGTCACTCGGTTTAGCCTTATCTCTGCAAGCGGCCTATCTCCTGGCCCTGTTTGAGTCTGCAAACAGATCATCCAATATCACTTTACATCAAGATAACACACACTTTGTAACAAGGGAAGATAACAACACAAGGGAAAAATTCCAACACTAGTATACTTGGGAGGAGTAAACAAAAACAAAAACAGACCTTTTCCATTATGTCAAGCACCTCGAAGCCATGGATGACTTTGCCAAATATGGTGTACGATCCATTGAGATGTGGTTGTTTTGCGTAGGTTATGAAGAACTGGCTTCCGTTGGTGTTTGGGCCACTGTTTGCCATTGAGAGCATACCTCTTGCATTGTGCTACATAAGAGAATGGAACCAGGTAAATCATCAACAAGGAGCATATCAAGATACTGGCATATAATGGAGATTGTCACCTCACTAATCATCAAGACAATTAATTACCACAAGTATATATATCCTTGGCGCAAGATGAATAAAAGAATCAAGGGAAACAAGAGATGATAATTACCTTAAGGGAGTCACGGATCTCATCATTGAATTTCTTGCCCCAGATGCTAGTTCCTCCTTTGCCGGTGCCATTAGGGTCTCCTCCTTGAATCATGAACCCTTTGATATTTCTATGAAATATGGTACCATCGTAGTAGCCACTTGCACATAACGCCAAAAAGTTCTGCATCAAAAACCCTAATCAAGGTTATACGCTGAAGAAATAACTAAATCCTAACCCCTCTATTATTATAACATCATCCTCGTCATAACGAGATTCTAATAACCCTAATTTTCGATTTTGAAGGAGCAGAAAGAATCCACCAGAGATGATAACATCAATTTATAATAAACAATCGAGAACAAAGTCAAAATCGAAAGCGAGAATCATGTGAAGAACTAACCTCGGCACTCTTTGGAACCTCGTCGCAGAAGATCTCACACTTTATATCACCCAGATTCGTGTGCAAAGTTACTGACTGCCAAATTTATTTGTTCACCACAGAGTCCAAAAATTATACATATGGAAAACAAAATAGCAAGAACAAACGATGAATCGACGTCTCACCATTGAAACGCCAAACTAGCAGCTAGCAGAGGCTTTTTCCCACTTCCTCGAGTCGCGTCGATGCTTTTGCCGCTTCTCCATCGCTAGTTCCACTATACTAGTACTAGTGACTAGAGAGATTCTCTGACGTCGCCGCATTGTCGTATTGGGCCTTATATGGGCCATCATTATAAAGATTGTGGATAACGAAACGGGCCGTTTTATCTTTCTTTGTAAACAATATGATCATGTATGTATGTTTCTTTCAAAATCAATCTTGTATTGTGGGCGTATCTCTCTTCTAATGGCGACCGCCGGTGCCACCGCCCGTGAGATTGGAAACTCAGACAATAAACAGCCTCGATCGATATTTGACTTGACGGCGGATTTCTTTGACTCGTGTCGGTTATCCAATCCTTCGGAGACTCTATCTACGTATCTCCGGTCCAGACCACCGGCTTTCGATCCGGAGGAGGCGGCTTCCAAGGACGGCGTGATTCTGGATAGATGGACCTGTAATACTTGTAAAATTGACTTCTCTTCTCTTCAAGATCAGCGCTCCCACTTCAAGTCCGATATTCATCGCCTTAACGTAACCATTTATCTCATTCCAGTTTCCAACTAGTGTAGTAGGATGATCCGAAAAAGTATTTCATGTTTCGTTTCTCTCCCATGGCTTAATCCTGTTGTTCCTGTGATTGCAGATCAAGCTGAGTGTTGCTGGCAAGGCTATTTTGAGAGAAGAAGATGTTGATGAGTTGACGTCTGAGTCAGTCCAAGACTACGATGTCTCTAGTATATCAGGATCAGAGGACGAAGCTGAGACTAGACCCTCACTCCACTTTGATCCTCAAAAGGGTATTGATAAAAAGAAGCTTTTTATCCGTCTTCAAACTGGTGACAAAGTTTCCATCTGGAAAAGCTTAATCATGGACGACGCTGAGAGGGTTTCCTTCCAGAATGACGGAGGAGATGATTGTGGGATCTTGGGCGACATTGAAGTGACTGAGAGGCTCACAAATTTGATTCCGGAGAATACGGATCATGGGCTAATGTGTGTCGTGTTGCTCGCTAGTGGTGGCCACTTTGCCGGTACTGTCTTTAGTGGAAAGTCCGTTGTGGCTCATAAGACATTCCACAGGTATGTTTTTTCTTCACATTTTCTCTCTATTCATGTTTGTGTCTCTGCTTGTTGATTCTTTCTTCACTTCAGAATCCCGTCGACTCTATTTTCACTTATGATAAATCTATATATTTCATATCATTTGGTCTGGAAACATGATAGAATATTGATATATTCAGCATTTAGCTTCTCTTAATCTTGTGAAATGGGTCTTCCCTAGCCTCTTCTTGTCCTCTTATTCCCTTTCCCATGTTTAGATATGTTGTAAGAGCCAAGGCTGGTAAAAAGCAGTCCACAAAAGATGGAAGCGGAAGGAGTATACACTCGGCAGGTGCCTCACTTCGTCGTTACAACGAACTTGCTTTAAAAAAGGTTTGTCTTTGAACATGTTTTGCTACTGTTTCCTTCTTCTTTCAGAAAAGTTCGTTGATTTTTTTTTATTAACAAATGCAAAGGTGCTTAGCAGATGGTTCTGTTATTTGTCTTAGAACTTTCTTGGCCAACTTGCTCCTGTTAATGTTTTCTCTTGACACGTTTTTAGTTTACCATTTTCGTAAAACCTTATTTTAAGCTCATAAAATAACTATAAAACATTAAAGAATACAAAGCCCCTTAAATAATAGTATCTGCGGCTCTGCTCCTTTGTAAAAGCAAATCTGAACTTGGAACTGTGGTATATAGTTTTGTAAACATGATGTAGTTCTCTTAAACGGGTCGAAACATTTGCCACCTTCACGATGGTTGTCAACTGGGATCAGGAATCAGGTTCATAGGCAGGAAAACATTACAAATTTTGTTCATATATTTCTTAACCCCAAAGAAAAATAACAGGATCATAGCCTTGAAGTGTAATTTTTTTATTACTTTCTCTAAATCCTTAGGATATTCAAGAGCTACTTGCTAGCTGGAAGCCTTATTTTGATGGTGCTGCTTGTGTTTTTGTCCATGCTCCCTCAAGTAGTAGGCAATTACTCTTCAATGGAGGCAAACCGTACTTTAGCAATCAAAACTGTGCTGTACGAAACGTTCCATTTACTATTCGACGGCCAACCTTCAAGGAATCACAGCGGATATATAATCAGTTGACGCAGATTGCATATGTAACTGAGCAGATTTTTGTTAATCAACCAGAAGACACCAAAGCCAATACAGTGGTGCAGACCCATTATGAGGATTCTGGGGAAACCTCAAGAAAGGACGAGCGCGATGAAACGTCTTCTACTACCATAATCTTAGAGGAACCAAATCGTATGGAAGAAAATCTCGGGGATGGAGTGACTGGTACGTCAACACCTTTACATGAAGCAGCTAAATCTGGTGATTCTGAAAGAGTTCTGGAGTTATTGGATGAGGGTATGGATCCTTGTGCTAAGGATGAAAGAGGCAGAACGCCATACTTGCTTGCAAATGAGAAGGAAGTGAGAAACACTTTTAGACGGTTTATGGCGTCAAACCTTGAAAAGTGGAATTGGCATGATGCTAACGTACCCAGCCCGCTCACCAAAGAGATGGAGGAATCGCAAGCTGCCAAGCAGGTACTTTGCATTGATTTGTAATTTGTTTGACTTCAAAAGTTTGGTTAAGGATTACGAATGAGGCAAAATAGGACTAGTGCAGAACTCCTTAGTCCTTTATTTGCGCACCGGGTTTTTATGGATATATATGATCATGTGTTAAGGTCCGATATCTGCCAAAAACTATATTACATGGTGATGCATATAAATTATGCTTTTGTTGTCGCATGATTTGGTATATGATTTTCAAAGACATCTGGTTTCATATGGGATTCTGAGTCCAGCATCTACCTAACTTGATCTGTGACCGTGATTGTTGTTCAGGCAGAAAAAGACGCCAAGCAGAAAGCAAGAGCAAAAGAGTTGAAGAAATTACGGAAAGCCCGAGAAAAGAAGGCTCAAGTAATGTTTTAACCAGTGTCTTATTCCAACCAAAACTCGGATTAGTAGAGATTCAGGAATCGGGAGACGCAGCTAGCTTCTTATCTAACCCTCCTTGTGTTTGCAGGCAGAAGCTGCGCAGGCTGAGAAGGAGAAGCCAATCTCTAAAGTGGTTAGCTTAACATAACCACCCCCCCAATTTGTATAGTCTGATCTCAGTCTGATAATTTAAGAAGAAGCCACGTCAACACACTTGCTTTCTCTTTTGTGTAAATCTTCTGGTAATAGGAGGAAGTGAGGAGAGCAATGGCAGCCCAGAGGGAAAAGAGAGCAGCCGCTGCAGAAAGACGGATGGCATCACTTAGCATTCAGAGCAGTTCAACGACAATGTAATTTCCAAGAAAGTTTTGAGTGAGATTAGGTAAAGAGGAGAAAAGTTTGAAAAACTAGAAAAACAAGAAGAAGTGAGAGTATCAAAATTACCGACTCAATTATTGATTGGGTCACAAATTTGTTTCTAAAAGGCCCGTTTAGACCACAAACCGACTCCTGAATATTTCGATATATACAGTATATGCTTGTAGCTTTTCTTTTCATATCAGAGTGGTTGCAGAATCGATATGAAACCGCAAAGAAGAAAGAGTAGCGGCACCGCTGGCCGGAGGACGAAGGAAGGTGAAGGCGATAATATTGGTTTCGATTTCAACTCCGTCACTGCTGAAGGTGAAGGCGATAGTAGTTGTTTCAATCTCAGTTCCGTAAAGCTAGCAATTAACGATGTCGATTCTTTACAATAATTGTATACTCGGATTACAATAATAAAAACGCTTTCTTCATATTATAATGAGAAGTTGTCACAAACAGACCAACCCTTTGATGTAATATAATAATACTAAGATAATATTAGTCGATGCTCAGAGATGAGAGTGCTAGGTGAAGGGCATGCTCTGCCTCCTTCAAGAACATTCTTGTTAGCTGCTTCTGTCCTCTACGGTACACTACACTTGACCACTTGTTTCTGTTCATCCTTCTCTCATCCGAGTCCCTACCATCACAACACATATTTTAAAAACATTCTCTCCAAATCTAAAACATGTCCAGAGATTTTGGACATCGTACCTAGGCTCTTCATGTCTCTCTAAGACGCATGCCTCCTCAAGGAGCCTAGCATCTTGTTCTTCAGTGCCCGAATTCTCTTCAAGTTTCAACATCCTGTCAATAAATAAATAAAAACGCATTGAGGACTGTAATTTTCTTCTGATCCTGCTGATAAACATCTTACTTAGCTCTTAATATCATGTCACGGGTAACAAATTCAATTGCTTACTTTGCATTAAGGAGATCCACAAGTAACTGCAAAGCTCCAGAATCCCCGCATGCTTCCCATATGGCCATCCTGACCTCAGTTTCAGAAGGTTGCCCGTCTGGTCTCGACTCTACAAGCTTTCAGGAATATAATATTTGCGCCTCAATATCGAATGAAAGACAAACTGTGGATATTTATTTGACTCTGTTCCCCAACTCACTACTCTCAGCGATTGGATCTTTCATGTAAGATATGTGTTTAAGTTGAAAAGATGTCAGAAGAAAGAGAAAGGGTGATCATACCTCTTCCAGCATAGCTGAGACCTTGTAAATCTCTTCTTCTTGCATGGCAATGGTCCTTAAGCCAGTCATCAAATCTTCTGGGAAAACTAGTTTCTTCATATACGAGGGCATCTTACGCTTCCCAGACCAACTGAAATTACAGGATCTCACTCTTTCCTTCTCATCACTTTCTCTAATTTTTGATGTGGTTTGTGGGAAAAACCCATGATTCAGGACCGATTTTGGCAGGAGACACCGGAGTTGAGCTTTCTGCAATGAGAATTTCCAGAGTTCAACAGGTACATATCAAAAAGAAAAATAAAAAAAAATGTACACTGCTAACCTGAGCTTCAAGAAGCTGCCCTTTGGAATCAGAAAAAGGGATACTCGGAATCGCCTCAACAGGATAATGAACCTGGAATAAATCCAAGGTCATGACTAACAACAGACGAGAAAACAAAATTGACAAGTATCTTCTTGCTCTTCAAAGTTATGTTTCTCGTCAACATCCTCAAGACTAATATAATACATTACAGGTTGAAAAGTAAAGAATTCTTCAAAGTGGAAGCAAATCTTACCATGAGATAATCATCTGGATTATTCTCTATCACAAATCCATACAGGTAAAGAAGCTCCTGCGTACAACAAGGCACATCACTCAAACAAAGGCCTAGACATGATAATTTGCAAACACACCTGTCCTCACTTGAAAACCTAAACCGTTATGCAAGACGAAACAAAATATTTGACTGGAACAGGACCACTCAATATAATTGTTCATTGAAGCTGTCAGGAACTGCATAATATTTTACCTCATTTCCTTTGTTACCATAGCTGATCGAGACCTCCTTGTCTGGGATACAAGGTTGTGCAACTGTTCAATTTACAGAATTGTGGCACTTAGTTTCGAAATACATATAACAAAGAAGTGAGCAAATGGATTTTTTCATAGTTTGATAGATATTTGTAGCTAGTGAGAGGTAACTCAAGCAAATATTAACTAACCCGAGAGAAGGTACATGGAGAAAGGAACCCTAGATACCAATCCGGTCCCATCAACTTCCCAAGTAGCTACAGGCTTCAAATCTATACAACCATAACTATAGTACATCATATCAAATCACACTAGGATATACTCATTAACCATATCAGCATTATGGAACAGAGTGAAACTGAAAATAGAGCCTCTTTAAAGTATTTTGTAATTAAAAAAAAATTGGCATACCATGGTTGCAAAAGTCAATGCCGGGAACAAGTCCCTCAACCCACACAGTATCTCCGGGTCCGGCAGATGTAGCGCTAGGGACTTGAGCCTGAATATCTACCCATCAGAAAAGGAAGAAACTGATGAAGTTTTAATTACAGGAGAGAAGGATAAAAGAAAAGGCATTTCACATAGACTTCAGCAAACTGACGTAAATGACTTGCCTTTTTCCCCATTTGAATTAACTAGGTCCGTTTCAGGTGTATGACTTGTTGATGGGTCATCTTCCTGGCTTTGTGGAAACACAAAAGAATGTGGAAGAGGAATGTTCAAGGCACGACTCCAGAATACAGAATTTGCCCTGGCGTAATGGAAAAGGTCTCAAGATCACTCAGCAGCCCTTTACAGAACAAAACTCTGGTTCTACTAACAAGAGATAACACTACTAGCCAACATACCAGAGGAAATGTTCAAAAGAGACCTCGCTGCACCAAAAGACAAAATAAAGATGGTTGATTCAAGCACCAATGAACAGAAGATTTATCTATTGTAGTAGCGTAAATATGTTAGGTATGTTAACCTTTCGGAATCACCATCCAAAAGAAGAAGTTTTTTCACCAGGGCCTCCACTTTCTCATGGTAAAGCGACATCAGCTTCTTCTTCTGAAAAGGCAGTACATCAAACGAAAAATGAATTCATGATGGTCATTTTCGATAAATATGTTTAATCACTGGAAGGAGAAATTTTTTAAAGATATAGACCTGTAACTCGGTTGCATGATATAAGTTTGTCCCCTTGAGCTCAAGGATCTCATCATCAGAAAACCAAAGAGGATTGCCGAATCGAGAAGGAAGCATATCAAGATACCTATCATGTCATTTATACACAGATGAATCCCCTTAAAACTTAGGAAAAATATGTGGTAAGAGTTGCAAACTTACGGCTTCCACGTAGAATTGATTCGAAGACGCTCAAGAGTGAGGAACAAAATCATAAGAAAGCGATCATCAACTTCTCCTTCTTGGAACATTTTCTGACACTCTGGGCCGAGGAGAGGGTCCTGAAGAACTCTCATAGGGGTAATGGCCAAACCAAGCGGCACAATAAGCAAGACATCTGAAATATTCCAAAGCTGATATCAATCAGAAAGAAGAGAAAAAACAAACTACTTAACAGAGGGGTGTTTCTTAGGGAGATAGATACATACAGAGGTGATAAGCTCAATGTTCCATAAATTTTCCATGAAAATAAACAAAACAATCTGAATCTATCATAAGTCTTCTTGGCATTGTCAATAATAATATTACCATCAGATGCTTGAGTGGAGGCGAATATGCCAAATCCTTTTTGTGAGTCAGAATATTTGATATTGCAGCCTCTTAATTCAGCTCCATTCACCTGAAATTAAAAATCAAACAAAGATGGAAACTCAAAATGTCATACAAAAACGAACAAGTGACATTATAATTTAGCAATTTAGCTGACTGAAAATAAGACAAAACAGGGGGGGGGGGGGGGGATCTAACCTGAAGCCATTCTAGGAACCTTTCGAGTTTGGCTTCTTCTTCTGAAACCGTCATATCTTCCGGCGAAGATCAAAACGCCGGAGACGGGTTTAAGGGAACGGTCAAACCAGACAGAGGGTTTTCAATCGTCTATAACCAGAAAGAGGAGTTCAAAGACAAAGACGATGTCGTTACGATCCTCGTCTCTGTGGGCTTTTCACAAAAGCCTGATGATACTGGGCTAAACCGAATAAACGTGAGTTTGACACTTAACCAGAAAACCGAAAAAATTGAACCGGGCGTTAAGTCGCTCTCTCTCTCTCTCTAGCACTAGCAGTAGTAGTTAAACTCTTGCATAAGCCAACCAAATTATCACAGAAGGTTTCCTTTAGATTGGTAACTAAGAGAAGAGAAGGACGGCGAAGGAAACAATCACAATGGCGGCGGATATGCCGGAGGCCACAGTACAGAACATTCTCGACCAAGATTCTCTTAAATGGGTTTTCGTCGGAGGCAAAGGAGGTGTGGGGAAGACGACATGCAGTTCAATTCTCGCAATTTGTCTCGCCAGTGTTCGATCCTCCGTCCTCATCATCTCCACCGACCCTGCTCACAATCTTAGTGATGCGTTTCAGCAACGCTTCACTAAATCGCCCACTTTGGTTCAAGGTTTCTCTAATCTCTTTGCCATGGTAAGCTTTCTCCGATTTTTTTTAACTTTTCTAGATCGTGGTGGATTTTACAGGGAGTTTGGTTGTTTTCCTCCGTGATTTCGATCTTATCGGGAATTAGGGTTCTCTTAAATCAAATTTCAATCTCAATCTGCGTCTTCTTTAGCTGAATCCGCTCGATTGTTAGGATCAGTTTTGATGTTGATTGAGATTGATCCCCAAAACTGTTTGAGGGTTTGTAATTTGCATATGACCACTCTAATTTTGGGATTAGGTTTGGAATTTGGATATACCAACTTGGAGGCCAATTTGTATTCTTGGTATCGGTTCTTCTTTCTGCCTAATAGAGCTTTATAAGGAAAATTTTATGTCCCTAAATCTAATTAAACTCTGGCCATGATGGATAGTTAAAATCCTAGCCTGGTTATCCCTAATTCAATGTCAATTTGAAACAGTGTTTTCCCAAAATTGCTGTTTTTTTTTGGTGGTTCTGGATCCCCTCTTATACACAATGCTTGATCATGAGCTTATGGCTAATCTTCTAAGCTTTGAAGCTCTTAGCTGTGTCTATGTATAAAAAAATGTTGATAGTGAGTGAATCTTGTTGCTTTTCTCAGGAGGTAGATCCTACCGTTGAAACTGATGACTTGGCTGGTCCAGAAGGGATGGATGGCTTATTTTCTGATCTGGCTAATGCGATTCCTGGAATCGATGAGGCCATGAGTTTTGCTGAGATGTTGAAGTAAATTATTACACTCCAAGCCATTTGGTTCTTCTAAAAGTTGTCTGCCATAAATGATAATTTTTTACATGTTTATATTCCCTAGGTTGGTGCAAACAATGGATTATGCAACTATTGTGTTTGACACAGCTCCAACTGGACATACTCTCCGCCTGTTACAGTTTCCAGCCACACTAGAAAAGGGACTTTCAAAGTTGATGTCATTAAAGAGTAGATTTGGTGGCTTGATGACTCAGGCATGTCTATAAGCTTGTGAACCTCTGTTTGCTTGGCCATTGATATTACTCTTTGATTTCTTCTTTAGCTAATTTTTTCATGGAACTGGTTGGTAATGCAGATGAGCCGTATGTTTGGCATAGAGGATGAGTTTGGAGAGGATGCTCTGTTGGGAAGACTTGAGGGTTTGAAAGAAGTGATTGAGCAAGTAAATCGGCAATTCAAAGACCCGGTAAAATTTTCTCAACTGCTTAAGTTCTTTCCTATTTTCAGTACTCATTGACTGTTTTCTTAACTCTGTTCGTTATTTGTAGTTTTAGATGCATGATATTATTGCTCGGTATCATAGAATTTGATAGCATTCATCAGCGTTAGTGAAAAATCTGATACATATTTGACAAACTTTGCATTTTAAGATAAGAAATTGACATGTGTGGCTCTTTTATGCAGGATATGACAACGTTTGTTTGTGTCTGCATCCCCGAGTTTTTGTCTCTCTATGAAACAGAGAGACTTGTTCAGGAACTTGCCAAGTTTGAGATTGACACGCATAACATTATCATCAACCAAGTACTATATGACGACGAAGGTGCCTATTTTTTGTAGCTGTATCTGTCTCCCCGTTTCGGACTTGTTTTTGATACAACTTTAACTATTATTGTTACATGACTCTTCTCTAGATGTGGAATCCAAGTTGCTCAGAGCAAGGATGCGGATGCAACAGAAGTATCTTGATCAATTTTATATGCTATACGATGACTTCAATATCACAAAACTTCCTCTGCTTCCGGAAGAGGTAAACACGCATGACATTTGTTATAGATTAGAAGGAACATAGTTGAAGCGGTCTAAAAGAAAAAGAAAACGAAACCAAAGGCTAACATCCTGAGATTTGTGGATGTTTTGATCACAGGTGACAGGGGTTGAAGCCTTAAAGGCGTTTTCACATAAGTTCTTGACGCCTTACCATCCGACGACTAGCAGAAGCAATGTAGAAGAGCTGGAGCGGAAAGTACACACATTGCGTTTGCAGTTGAAAACAGCTGAAGAAGAACTTGAACGGACCAAGAGTGGCTAAAGAAGAGGCTTTGTTCTTCCCTTTAATTGTAAGTTTCTTTCCTCACGAGATTCTCGGGGAACTGACTTGCTTTCTACATGGGCTGTCTTCTAAATCTGGATCTCTGGGTTTTCATTTGGGTTTCTTGTTGATTATGTTTTGAACAATTTATAGGTGGAAAAATTAGAACTGAATCTTTTTCTCTTTTTATGATTATTTTCATCTGGCAACGACTCTTTGTAGGGAACAGAAACATCTTTTACGTTTTGCTTTATTCGTTATGCATTGGATTTATTATTCAGTTGTAATAAATCAAACAAGTTGATGGGTCTGCGTGACTTGTTGAGGGGTCTTCGAGCAAAATTAAATATATAGAGAAAAAGACCTAATAACTGGTCTTTTTACAAAAGGAAACAAATACAGTAAACGCGGGGGTTGTTCTAAAAGATATATAGGGGGTTTTTGATTTGCTTACAAGTAAGCTTTTGTTCAATAAAGAAGATTTTTTGTTTCTTTGGTATAAAATAGAAATGGAAAGGAAAACTTTATCCCCACGCCACGGCGATAGGGCTTCTGACCTTGTACTTGTCGTCACATATCCAAACCAAAGCTCCAAAGGAAGCAGAAGATGTCGAAGAAGCTTGTGCAACAAACGTGACCGTGTAACTCAGCCTCTCTCTCACCTTCTGGAACTTGAGAACTTTCGGCTCCACACTCACCTTCACACCTCTAGGTTCCTCAACGTGAGCCATATACTCACACGTCTGTGACCCAACGTTCGTCACAGTCCTCTTATATCTCGCCGTTGTGGCTCCATCGACGAAGTTGACCGCGAGCGAGGGATAGTTCAAATCACCGGGACTCAAAACGACGCCGTCAGTGCGACACGTGTATCTCGTCCCAGAGAACATGAATATCCTCTCGCTCGTGTAATTCAAGCTGCACAAGTAGTTGAGATAATCGACGGTGGATGTATCGTATACCAGCCCTGGATCTACCGCTCTCGTTGGGTCCACGTGTCCAGCTCCAATCGCAAACGCTGTGGCCGCCGTAACAGGTCCCGCTCCCATATCTCCAATCGGTCGGTTCCTATTGTCGGTAATCCTTGCCGTCGTCATGATTGCCGATTTAATCATCGCCGGTGACCAGTCCCCGTGAACGGACTTGATTAGAGCGGCGATTCCGCTCACGTGTGGACAAGCCATGGATGTTCCAGATATGATATTGAACTGGACTCGCCTTGGGTCGGACCTGAGGAGGCTAGGTCCTGAGAACGGCGACCAACCGGCGAGGATATTCAAACCGGGAGCCGCAATGTCCGGTTTAGAAATTTCCGGTCCGGCGACGCTAGGTCCTCTTGATGAGAACGCGGCCACGACCGGGGCGGTTGCACCGTACGTGGTTCCTCTGAATCGAATAGACGCGGTGGCGTTTGCTGCGCGGGAGAGATAACTCAGTAGGGTCTTACCGTCGGAAGAACCGATTGAAACGGCGGGTAAAACGTGAGGATCAGCTAGAAGCTCCTCTCCTTCGGCCTCTGTGCTCACCAGAAGCATCGCTGCTCCTCCGCTCCGTTTCACCTCCTCACCTTTGGCCGTTCTCCCGCTGGCTCCTCTCAAGCAAATGACGATTTTACCCTCGACGAGTTCTCTCTTGAGCGAGTCCCGAATACAGAACTCGGCGCCCCTTCCTCCTCCAGCTGTTGTGTTAAACGCTAACGACAGATTCTTTAAGCTTTTCCCTTTGTACAAGGACGATCCAACTATCTTTTTACGGTTCCCGATACGGACAATCGCCGGAAATGTCCGGTCTGTATAACTCGCAGCGACAGTCATCAACCACGGAGCTCCATTACTCACTGTGGATGCACTTGGACCTGAATTACCCGCCGAGCATGAAACGAATATGTTCTTCTGCATCGCTCCGAACCCAGCGATCGCGATTGGGTCCACGTAAAACGGGCGTGACGACCCACCTAGCGACAGAGAGATCACATCCACACCGTCTGAAATGGCTTTGTCTATGGCTGCGATTACGTCCGTGTTGGCACATCCTATCGCCCAACAAGCTTTGTAAGCAGCGATCCTCGAAGTAAACCTCATCCCCGTAGCCAAACCTTTGGCTTGCCCGAAATAACTCGCTTTCCGAACCATGTCTCCTGCAGCAGTCGAGGCTGTATGCGTCCCGTGTCCTTGTGCGTCTCGAGCCGACCTATGCAACCAAATCATTGTCACGTTTTTTTTCCTTTTTGCTTCTTATACTATGGTTGATCAAATTTTTAATGACAACCATTTTAACCAAATTAAGAGTTAAATGTACGTTACTGTATGGATCTTGATCAGAACAATTCGTTAGTTACACACAAGAATATAGCTTACGTTTTCAGGTAAAGTTAACTACAAACGAAAAACAAAACAAAAATCTAGTTATTTACTACATAGATAAAAAAAAAAAACACAAATTATGTTATCCCGTTATGGAACTAGACAACGTTTTTAACTAAAGTTTAAAGTTTGTGTTGTTGTTGGTCTAATCGAGTTCTACATGCAAAGTTGGAATTGTTTTTCTTCACATTTACTCCCATTGGCAAGTTAGGGACTAAACAATATAATGAGAGCGTTATCACCATTAGCTGTCTAACCTGAAGTCGGTGGTTTCATTGATTTTGCCGACGATGGATTCGTAGCCTTTGTAAAAGGCGCTAGCGCCAATGATCTTCTTGTTACAAGATGAAGAAGAGAAGTTTGTGCCTTGGTCGCAGGAACCTCTCCATCTAGAGGGGACCGGAGTCATGTGCGTGTCTCGGAAGCTGACATGGTCTGGCGAGATCCCTGTGTCCACAAGGCCGATGATGACGTCCGAAGATAGGCTGGTCTCGTTCCAAAGCCCGATCCCATATTCGAGACCAAGAAACTCGTGAGAGTATGTCGTGTGTAGAGATAAGAGCTCGTCTGGATAAGCGGAGATAAAGCCTTTAGTGTTCTTAACCGTCTGGAGCTGGTCGTCGGTGAGAGTCGCGGAGAAACCGGACATGGCATTTTCGTAAATGTAGTGAATCTCGGGGAGAGAAAAATCATCGTCGTGAATATTCTCAGTTTGGAGGGAAGTGAAAAGCGAAGTGACGATGTCTTTGGTAGTGGCTGTGAAAGTGTGGATCACGTAGGTTTGTTTGCGGGGGGAAGCAATAACATTTGATGTGAAGAAGAAGAAAATGAGAAAGAATAATGATCTGAAGAACATCATCGGACGGTTGTGGTTAGAGGGAGATAAGAGCATTAAAAGAAAGCGATGTAACAACAACCAAAGTATATATGATTCTTAGGACTCATCTATCTCTGGGTATATAACACATAAAAGAAAGAAGAGAAAGAAAGAAAGATATAGGTGACGTGTGAATACTGTGAGCTGTGAGCTGAGGAAAATGTGACTAGAAAAAGAGTAACATTTCCCCTTTTTTCTTAAGAAAATGTTATATGTGATGTGTTTGTAACTGTCGCTATTGTGTGGTTCTTGTGCGGTCCCGTCTGTTACTTTTAATGTAGCTTTTTTTTTGTTTTTGTTTTTTGGAGTCGTGGTTTCATTTCATTTACAGTATATTATTCTACCAATAAAAATGAGCAAAATGATAATTTAGAGTGAAGCATAAGGAAGAAGTCTTCTAGCCCTTAGATGCGCACGATAGTTGGGTAATTCTGCATGTGTGTTTTTTTGACCCATCAGCTTTGTGTAGAGTTGTAACTTGTATTATGTTCAGTCATTGTTGCGATCAAAATTCTATCCCATTGCACATGATTAATTCAAGTAATCCAATTTTAGAAAATTTGAACTAATAAAAAAAAAGAAAAAGAAAAAAGAAGTCAGATGAAAGAAGGATCCGACTTAGCTAGAAACATTGATCATAGAAGAAAAAGAAAACAGGTGGTAGTTCGGAATTAGGACGGGGGACGCAGCTTCCACCGCCGGTATAGGTAGGTGACATTAAATGAGGAGACAACGCAACAATAATTGGGGCGTGACTTAACATTACTCATATCATGAGAATCTGATCACTAAAGTTTGTTTTCTTTCTCTATCTTGTACTATTACCTTCCTATGATTCAAATCATTGCTTGTTCACACTTCACTGATCAGAGAATATCTCTTTTTGTCTTGGCTTTGAAGCCAAGTTGGAATACACACGTATCTCAGCTAACTATACTTCCATTGTCAGACATGTTCATCGTATCTTCCCATTTAATTCCAATAAGGATAACACATCACCATGCTCCAAGTAGTTTTGAACATTTGGATTTATTTAATCTAATCTCTAATTTTATTAAAAATGCTTTTATTAAAAGTCATTGGACTGTGAGATGTTAATATTTACCCAAAAAGCCCGTCTAGCTCAGTTGGTAGAGCGCAAGGCTCTTAACCTTGTGGTCGTGGGTTCGAGCCCCACGGTGGGCGCAATAGTTTTTTTTGTTTTTGGGGTTTAAGAAGACTTAACGGGCTATGTATAAATTGGGCCCAGAATCGTGGCGGGTGATGGGAGAGGATGCCTTAAATAGATAGGCACAAAAGAGCACAAGCGGGTCCAAGACTCCATAACGGTAAGAAAAATAGCGAATGCAATCCATCCCCATGCCCTTCGGCCTTGGTTTCTCTAATTCGGCGATTGGGGTTCCGCTCCGCAGGTCAATTGATGGGTGTGGGAGGCAAGTTCTGGGATTTGCTGAGACCTTATGGTCGGCAACAAGGCTTTGATTTTCTCACTAACAAACGCGTCGCTGTTGACCTCTCCTTCTGGATCGTTCAGCATGAAACCGCTCTTAAGGGTTTTGTCCTTAAACCTCACATCAGGCTCACTTTCTTCCGCACTATCAACCTCTTCTCCAAGGTTCCTTTTCTTCTTTTAATTCTTTGCTGCTTCTCTCTCTCTCTCTTGTCTTCTTTTGATTTTCCCAATTTCGTTCCCTTTTGTAACCATCCTTTGTTGGCTTGTCTGATAATGTTCGTTTTCTTTGTTTCTGTGAGTTATGGGGTTTTCGGATTTTAGACTTTTGCTTGATTTTTTTATCTTTGTTGGTTCTGTCGAGATAATTATAATGCGGTTTAGGGTTTTGCAGTTTGGAGCGTACCCAGTTTTTGTAGTTGATGGAACACCATCACCTTTGAAATCTCAGACGAGAATCTCCAGGTTTTTCCGGTCTTCTGGAATCGATACTCCGAATCTTCCTGCAATCAAAGAAGGCGTCTCTGTTGAGAGAAATAAGCTCTTTTCTGAATGGGTTGCGGAATGTGTGGTAAGTTGGACTTCCCTTGATTGCTTGTTTTTCTTTCACATCATCATTTTTTTTCTTATGCCTTTTTCTCGGTCGGTTGTCTAGGAGCTACTCCAATTGCTCGGTATTCCGGTGCTGAAAGCTAAAGGTGAGGCTGAAGCTCTCTGTGCACAGTTAAACAGTGAAGGTTATGTGGATGCTTGCATTACTTCTGATAGCGATGCTTTCCTCTTTGGTGCTAAGTGCGTCATCAAAGGTATCAAGCCTAATTCAAGAGTAAGTCTTCCTTTGTAACTGAGTATTAGCCTGACTCTCAACTGGGTGGCCTCTTTACCATCTTCTTTTCTTTCTCTGCAGGAACCATTTGAATGCTACCATATGTCAGATATTGAAGCTGGCCTCGGCCTCAGGCGAAAACACTTGATAGCTATCTCTCTCTTGGTTGGTAACGACTATGATTCAGGTGGTGTTCTTGGGATTGGTGTGGATAAAGCCCTTCGCATTGTTCGCGAGTTTTCCGACGACGAGATACTTGAAAGGTGTAATCATAATAAGGTTTCTGTTTCTGCTTTTTGGTGACTGGTCATTTCTTGAATGTGTTGAGATATTTTCGTGCAGACTACATGACATTGGAAAAGGGTTAAAACCTGCAGTTCTTGGTGGAACCAAACCTGTGGATGATGGTGAAGAATCCCTCTCAGAGATGAAAAAAAGATCTTCTCACTGCTCCCGTTGTGGACATCTGGGCAGCAAGAGATCTCATTTTAAGTCCTCTTGTGAGCATTGCGGTTGTGATAGTGGCTGCATTAAAAAACCATCGGGGTTTAGATGTGAATGCTCCTTATGTTCCATGGATCGAGATTTAAAGGAACAGAAGAAAACCGAGGATTGGTGGATCAAAGTCTGTGATAAGATTGCTCGAGGGCCAGAATTTCCAAACAAAGACATTATTGAACTGTATCTATCCGATGGTTTCACAGGTATGAAACGACTTAATAACTTCATGTCCGTATTACATGACCTTTGTTTTGAAGCCTAATCTTTAAGTACCTCTGAAGCAGAAGATGGATCTTCGATGTCTTGGGGAACTCCTGATACTGAAATGCTAGTGGATTTCATGGTCTTCAAACTGCATTGGGATCCGTCTTATGTTAGAAAAATGTTGCTTCCAATGTTGTCGGCCATTTATCTAAGAGAAAGGGCAAGAAACAACTCAGAAAACCCTTTGTTATGTGACAAATATGAATTCCATTCAATCAAGTGCATAAAAACTAGATATGGGCATCAGTTCTTTGTGATAAGGTGGAGAAAACCCATATATACAAGTGGTTTTACTCACGGCGAGCCAGAAATTGTTATACTGGAAGACGAACTGATCGAAGACGAAGAGTCTGGTGATCCATTAGATGGTTTGAATGAACCTCAGGTCCAAAATGAAAATGGTGACTGCTTCTTGCTAACTGATGAATCCATTAGACTAGTTCAGTCTGCTTTCCCTGATGAAACAGAGCATTTTCTACGTGAGAAGGTAATAAGTTGGCTCTCTCTCTTTCTCTGTGGGTTTCGTTGTTCCCTTTGCCTTGACTGGTTTATTGTTCAACTGTCAGAAACTACGAGAGTTGAGAAAGAAGAATGTTTCTGAAGAATTAGCGACACCAAGACCAACAACAATGGGTGTACAAAGAAGCATTACTGATTTCTACCGTTCAACGAAAGCAGCACCAGCTCAAAGTATAGACGCAGGCGAGAGCTCAAGAGTTTCTTCTTCTGCGGAAAAGAAGAGACAGGCAACTTCCACTAGTAGTAACCTTTCAAAGTCTGTAAGGCGTCGTCTTTTGTTTGGATAGAACATTCTTGATTCTGACTTTGAATTCCAAAATTTTGGTATGAAAGATCTTGGCATTTGATAAGGAAAAACAAACAAGAATAGATATGCAGCTCACGGAACCCAATTTTTGGAGTGTACGTGTGTTTTTGAAACAACAATTTTTTTAAAAAAGGAATGGTGCTGCCCAGGATCGAACTGGAGACCTTTTGCGTGTAAGGCAAACGTGATAACCACTACACCACAGCACCTGTTGCTATGATGTGTACAGAAAGTCAAAATATTCTTACTTCATTGTCTTCGGACCCGATTGCCAAAAAAAAAGAAAGAAAGAACCGGCGCATTTCAGACCTGATACATTCGCAAGCAAAGGCTTGGTCTTATCGGAAATTATGAATGTGGTAATAACATCAACCATCAACTGCAACTCTCTCTCGCCGTCATGGATAAGCGGAGACAATTCCCCGTCAAAGTTTCAGTCGGGGGAAATCTCACGGCGGGGCTCGGGTATGTTCCTGACATGCGCCAAGAGTAGCCCAGATGATTACCACTCAACCCTCAAATCTCTCAATTCTCGAGGTCGCTTTCCCAGGAAATCCCTTGGGCAGGTTCTCTCACTTGTCCTAAGACACATTACGCTTCTGCTTTGTTTTGTTGAGACAAATGGTCGAACAACTTGTGTGCGTTTAAGTGGAATGATTGAAAGTCTGTTTGTGTCACAGCATTACATGTTGAATTCTGATATCAACGACCAGCTAGCCTCTGTGGCTGGTGTGAAAGAAGGAGATTTTGTATTAGAGATTGGTCCTGGGACTGGATCTTTAACCAATGTCCTTATCAATTTAGGTGCTACAGTTCTTGCCATCGACAAGGTCTGCTACAGGCCTCCCTCCCACGCTATCTTAGCAAATTGTTGATTCTGATTTTGCAAATTCATCCTTAGGATCCTCATATGGTGGCTTTGGTGAGCGAACGATTTGCAGGTTCTGACAAGTTCAAGGTAGGTACCTTTCAACCTGTGTTGTTTCTCTCTGATGCTTGTTGAAATTCTTATCATATGGGGTTGTTCTCTAGGTTTTGCAAGAGGATTTTGTCAAGTGTCACATCCGCTCTCACATTTTAGAGAGTAGAAAGTTATTAGATACAGATTCTGCTCTTGCAAAGGTCAGCCACTTTGCTCTAACTCAGCACCACGGATCACATATATCTTTGATTACTTGTTTACACAAATACAACTGTAACACTAATTGCAGGTTGTTTCCAACTTACCTTTCAATATAAGTACTGATGTTGTCAAGCTTCTACTACCTATGGGTGATATCTTCTCAAAAGTTGTTCTCTTACTCCAGGTAAAGCAGAACAAGTTCTTCTTTTTTTTTTTTTTTTTTAAAGGATGATTCCAAATGCTATTTTCATCCTCACAAGTTTTTGCCTTACCTTAGGACGAGGCAGCTTTGCGATTGGTAGAACCGGCATTGCGAACATCTGAATACCGACCCATCAACATTTTGGTCAACTTCTATTCAGGTTCTTATTCCATGATGATCGCAATTTTAACTCGACAAATATTGCAAATTATCAATGTAGTTGACGCTGAAAAACTGTGTAACTTTTTTTTTTGGTTTCAAGAACCGGAATACAATTTCAGAGTTCCTAGAGAAAACTTCTTCCCTCAGCCCAAGGTTTTGCTCCTCCAAACTTTCATCATAACTAACAACCATTACAGAAATAAGAGCGGTATTCCTTTTCTGCTCCGTACAGGTTGACGCTGCAGTTGTAACATTCAAGCTGAAGCATCCGAGGGACTATCCTGATGTTTCCTCTAGCAAAAGTTTCTTCTCTTTGGTAGCTAAAACTCTTTTCAAACTACTAGTTAGATTTTTAACATCAAAACATCTGAAACAAATTCCAAAACAGGTGAATTCTGCATTCAATGGGAAGAGAAAAATGTTGAGAAAGTCCCTCCAGCATATATCGTCATCTCCTGATATCGAAAAAGCTCTTGGAGTTGTTGGTCTTCCAGTCACTGTGAGTAATCTCTCTGATGGATAACTTATATGAGTCTTGGGAAGCAGTTTAAATGAATCATAGATCATATCAATTAATACAAGCTCACAAGAGAGGAAATTCCTATCTTAAAACTGGCATCAATTCTCTTAATATATTGTCCTTCTACAACCTTGCAGTCAAGGCCTGAAGAGCTTACCTTGGATGACTTTGTCAAGCTGCATAATGTAATCGCCAGGGAATAAGATTAACGAGAAGGACCATAAGTATCCATGTTTTGCTGGACATGAGGAAGAGACACTAGATAATCGAGAAAGACCAATCTTTATACAATCAGGAATCAGGAAGTAGAACACAGACCTAATGTTGTTTGTTCTTGTAGAATTTTCTGTGTAGGATGATGATCTTTGTAATGTAAATTTTTGTAGATTTGTAATCCCAAAAACAATATAGTCTTTATTTACAATCACAAAAGATTAGTCATTACAGGAGAAGTGGAAAATCTACAACAAATAAAGAGAGAGAGAGAGAGATCATCATCATGCATGAAACTGGTAGATAAGATCCAAAGCTCTCAACTTGGTGCCGTGTGGGTCGAAATCAAACACAGAATCACGGGCACTCCTTTCTTCCGTCGCTGAAGTCTCCACCACGGCCGAAGACGGAGACAGGGGCCGCTTGACTCTCTTGTTCCTGATGAAACACTCTCTCATCTTCTCCCCCACCTTCTCCACGGCCGAATCTCTATCCTCTTCCGCCGCCAGCTCATTCTCTTCTTCTCCTAATTGCATGGGGTCGAGAGACTTATCGGCTCCCAGCGATGGGATGGAGGCTAGGAAGACGGAGAGGCGTTGGTGGGCTATGCGGAGAGAGGAGGAGATACGGAGGAGCTGGTTCTGTTCGGCAGTGGTTCCGATTTGCTGGGCCATCAGAGTCGCTTGCTCCAGAGAAGATATTAGCTCAGCTACTTGGTCTATGGTTCCCATCTTCTTTTACTGTGTCTGTCACTGTTTTTTTGCAGCTACATATTTTATACAATTCACAGCGAGGGGAGAGACAGAGAGGAGCGCAGCAGAGCAGAGTTTGGTCGGAGGAGAGACTGATGCGTGTTTGTGAGTACTTTTGGGCCTTTAATTTTGAAAATGGGCTTTAATTAGATAATACGCACGCACAACAGAACCCATATTTATAAACAATCTCAAAACCTAATTGGGATAACAACCAATTCATGATTATGCGCTTACGTACATGATTTGTTTTTTTTTGGGGGGGGGTATGATACATACATGATTTGCTGACAACGAAAAGATCATAATCATGATGGGTGATTCGTTATATATATAACTCCAAGGTGGAAAGGTTATAAAAATATATGGATTGGCTTGAATTGATCTAATCATTCTTAGACATTATCTTCTTTGTAAGAAGAGCAAAAGTGTCCTTTTTGTGTGTTATGAGAGTGGAAGAGTGAGAGTAGTAGTAGTGACATATATATATATTTTTGTAGGCATTGAATGTCCCATCTTGAAAATAATGATGCGAAGTGAAGAAGAGAGACGACACCACATGGCCAAATTAAAATTCGAAATTAGTTCCGATGACAAATATGACATGCAAAAACCAAAGAGCATACACGCACGTAATTCCATTCATCCTCAAAAGATTAATATTAGAAAAAACATTACTTGTTGTGTTTTGGGGATCGAAGTTAGTATATATAATTGTGATGAATGAATACAAACAAGCAAGTTGTAACTTGTAATTTACTAATCACAAAAAAATGATAGGAAGTCTGCTGCTGGTCAAATACCGACGAGAATAAGTGAATCATTGTCACGTGAAGCATCAACACTTTTTACAAAAGAATTTAACCGAAATGTTATGTTTTTATTTCTTTGGTATGCCAGCCAAAGTATATATTTTTTTAACCCTTGAAAGAAAAATAAAAATAATAATACCTATTAGTAATTTAATTAGTTAAAGTAGTTACTACTACTATACATACGATGAAAAAGAATAACAAATGTAGTCCTATATATATATTTTGTTAAAAGAAAGTGGTGGGCCAAATCATATATAAAATAAATAAAGGTCTCATCACGCGACACACACATGCTGCTAATTGCTATATAATAAATATATAGATGTATGTCTGGTAGTATTGTAATATTGGAAAAGTAGAAGCACCATATTGTAAATTGGCCAGACAGAGAGAGAGAGAGAGAGAGAGAGAGTTGTTAAGCAGGATTATTTTCAAAAATGATATAAAAATGAATGAAGAAAGAGACATGTGGTGGTGGAACATGGTCCTAATTGTCCGGTTTGGTCAGAGTTGATATGACGATTGACGACGAATGATGATGATTGGAATGGAACGGTTCTCTGTTCTTCTAACGGTAGGAAAAATCGAATTTTTGTAAAGATGAATAATAGCCGTCCGATCGGATCAGAAAAGGAAAACTATACTACTTACTGTTTGCTTTTAATAAGAGAGAGAGAAGTAGATTTATTTAGATGGTTCGTCTCGTCTCTCTCTCTCACTTTTTTTTTTTTTTTTTTTTTTTTTTTTAATTTTCTTTCTTGGGAGGGGAATCTCAGTGACAGATCGACCCCCTTGTTGTAGTAGGCTTTTTTTGTTATTTAAAAAATTTAATTTAATTTATTGTTTCTTTTTGTTTTTAGTAGTATAACATTGTATATTTTTTTTTTCGTCAACTGTTACTAAGCTAAATAAAGAAAAAGAATTATGTTTTTTTTTTTATATAAATAATAAAAATATAAAGTAAAGGAATCAGATTTGATGATCGAACTCGAACCTGTCTTTAGTTTTGTTGTACTGTCCCTTTTTTTTTTATTTTGTTTAAATAATCTTTCTCTCTCTCTCTAATAAAATCGGGTTGAGATTTGAATGTTTTCAAATATTTTAAAATCTGAGCAAAAGAGAAACTAAAAAGAGAGAGTAGGAAGAGCCGAAGAGAAGAGGACTAGGAGGAAGAGGAGGAGCAGGTGTTTCTTTCTTTGTGGGTTTTTTTTCATTAATATTTTTATTAATGGTTTGGAGAGTATTCGAGAGGAAGAGAGAAGTCGGAGCACGCCGCAGCTCCTCCGCTTGCAAAAGGTTTCCTCCTCCTTTCCTTTCAGCTCTGCTTTTGTTTTCTTTTTATTAGCTTCTTCTCTCTTCTCTCTTCTCTCTTATTATTCTCTTGTTTTAACGTTTCTATTGTCTCGCATAATTAATTATTGGGGGTTTTTTTTTTCCCTTAAGGATTACAAAATCTCTTGGCAACTTTTTCTTACTTCATTCTGATTCAAATCATAATAGATCAATAAAATTGAAATAAAAGCTCTCTAATTTCTGATTTGATTCTCATCCATCACTCACCTTTTTATTCTTTCTCCTTTCTGGGTTACAAAGATAGATAACACTCATAAACGTTTTCTTTTCGCAGCAAAAGAGTTTTTTTTTTTTTTTGAAGATTCTGAATCTTAAAAGGTTGGTTCTTTTGAGGTTGCATTGCATCCACAAGTAAAAGAAAATAAAATTAAAAAAATATAAGAGGGAGCTAAACTTATATAATTCAATTCCTTTCTCGTCGATAGAGTGACCAATCTCGTGTTTTTTTTTTTGTTTTTCTGTGATTCTTTTGTCTAATTCAGAATATCAAAACTTTCTCCTCTATCTCTCATTCTGGTCTTCTGTTTTGAATTAGAGATTCATCCATCATCGCTAGTATTTTTTTTTTGGTTTTTTACCCCTAAAGATCGATCATTACTGTATAATTCTCTAAAAAAATCTTGCTTAGCCTCTACATACATAGTTTCTGAATCTCTCTAAATTGCTCGCAACAATTTTCTCAGTCAAGTCAACTACTAAGTTGAAGGTAACATATATACACAAAGTCTTCTATTAAGAAAGATCATCATCCTAATGCTCAGTTTTGGGCTAAGTTCAACATCATTTAGTAGTAGTAGGATCACTCAGTATCTAACTTCCTTACATCGCTGCTTACGAGTTACAAGTTGTGTCTAATGAATACAGAGACAAAGACTTCCCATTGACTTCTCTTCAAAGAAAAGTCTGCAACTTAACTTCGATCCTCCGCCTGATCTTTCCCTTCTGTTACTATCAACACATTTAATCACTCTCTTCACCAATTTACAGCTTCTGCTTCCTTCCCCCATTTTTAAGGAATTTTTTTCCCCAGTCACCAATCTAACCTTTACGAGTTTTGAAAAGTTCTGCATTGACAATGATGGTTCATGGAGACTCGAGAGTATATTTCGCGGCTGTGAATGAGTTTGATGTATTTTATTTTTCATATCTATAAGGGAGAAGCATTTAATGACTATGCATCTACAAACCACTCGAAATGATATGTCGTGGGGATACTTCTTTCTTTTGCTTATGCTGTTAGATGTTGTTTTCCTCTTAACTAATAATTTATATATATATTTTTTTTGTCTTCTACTCTTGTTTGTTTGTGTTCCATTTAAGTTTTGATCTTTCTTAATCTCCAAGTGCAGATAATTAGTTTCGTGATCTAGAATTGTCTGTGAAGAACTCAGGGGAAAATTTTGCATCTTTTTCTTCAAGTGCAGTCAAGGAAACAAGGAGACAGGGTAAGGTTTTGCCTTCACTTTATGTTTCTCTCACTGAACATGTGACAATTCATTCAGAGTTTTGATTGTTCTCTTCATCTCCAACTGCAGTTGGATCGATCTGAGATAACTGGTCGATCTGCCAATATGGCTACAGTTCACTTTCAGCTGAGGTAAAGTTGTACTTTTTTTTCCCCACACACGAGGAAAATAATCGCTCAGACATGTTTAAAGTTTTGTTTTACTTCTCTTCAGGTTTCATTAGCATATAATCAAACACAGATCCAGAAGAGAGAATGAATGTTCAAATAGCCTAAGAAACTGTGACTTTTCTTTCCTTTTTTCTGCAATGGGAACAGTGGCAGAATTGGGAACCATGAGAAAGTTTGGAGCCATAGCAGAAGAGCAGCAAGTTAACCAGATGGTCATGGATAAACAATCAGCAGAAGAATGGTTATCACGCGTCCATTCACTAATACCATCAGTGCTCAGCAAGGCCAGAACGGTTAAGAATTTTGCAGGAAGATGGAAGATGATAATCTCAAAGATTGATCAGATTCCAGGTTGTCTATCAGACCTCTCAAGCCACCCTTGTTTCTCCAAGAACAAGCTCTGCAACGAGCAATTACAATCTGTGGCTAAGACGCTTAATGAAGTGATAGAGCTTGCAGAGTTGTGTTCAACTGACAAGTATGAAGGGAAGCTGCGTATGCAGAGCAATCTCGATGCTTTATCCGGAAAACTGGATTTGAATCTAAGAGACTGTATGGTTTTGATCAAGACTGGCGTTCTCGGTGAAGCTACATTACCTCTATATATCTCAAGTTCATTGGAAACACCCAAAATTTCCAGTTTAAAAGAACTTCTAGCGAGGCTTCAGATCGGTCACTTGGAATCAAAACACAATGCTCTCGAACACCTCCTCCGTGCGATGCAAGAGGATGAAAAGATGGTTATGCCTTTGATCGGACGAGCCAACGTCGCAGCTTTAGTCCAACTGTTAACAGCAACTTCGACAAGAATCAGAGAGAAAGCGGTGAATCTGATCAGCTTATTAGCGGAATCAGGACACTGCGAGGAGTGGCTTATCTCGGAAGGTGTATTGCCTCCTCTAGTGAGGCTAATCGAATCAGGAAGTCCTGAGACCAAAGAAAAAGCTGCAATTGCGATCCAGAGGCTGTCGATGGCAGAGGAAAACGCAAGGGAAATCGCAGGACACGGGGGAATCACACCGCTGATGGATCTCTGTAAGACAGGGGATTCGGTGTCACAAGCTGCGTCTGCAGCTGCTTTGAAGAACATCTCAGCAGTTTCGGAGCTCAGACAATCACTTGCGGAAGAAGGAATGGTTAGAGTCTCGATCCATCTCCTAAACCATGGGATATTGTTAGGATCAAGAGAACACATGGCGGAGTGTTTGCAGAATCTCACTGCAGCAAGCGAAGCTCTACGCGAAGCCATCGTTTCAGAAGGCGGAGTCCCGAGTCTATTGGCATACCTAGACGGTCCGTTGCCGCAAGAACCGGCGGTAATGGCGCTGAGAAATCTAATCCCGTCGGTGAATTCAGAGATGTGGGTGGCTCTGAATCTGCTCCCACGACTGACACATGTACTCAAGTCGGGATCTTCAGGAGCGCAAGAAGCAGCAGCATCGGCCATTTGCCGTTTCGGTTGCTCGGCGGAGACGAAAAAGCTGGTGGGGGAATCGGGGTGCGTTCCGGTGATCGTGAAGCTTCTGGAATCGAAATCAAACGGATGTAGAGAAGCGGCGGCTCAGGCGATCGCGGTATTGGTGACGGAAGGACGGATTAGGCGGGAACTGAAGAAAGACGGGAAGAGCGTGACGAATCTAGTCATGTTATTGGATTCAAACCCTGGAAACACGGCGAAGAAGTACGCAGTGGCGGGGCTGTTGGGGTTGTCCGGAAGCGAGAAGAGTAAGAAAATGATGGTGTCGTACGGAGCAATTGGGTATCTGAAGAAGCTGTCGGAGATGGAAGTAATCGGCGCCGATAAGCTTCTCGAGAGGCTCGAAAGAGGAAAGCTGAGAAGCTTCTTTCACCGGTAAAAAGTAAAACGATAAACTGTGTTATAGTAAGTAAAAACCGTCATGGTTTTAAATTGTAAAAGTTTTAACCCCGTCGCCGTTAGTTAACTTAAACTTTACTCCATATCAAAGAAATGTCCTTTGCTTTGGGCTGTTTCTCAGAAGCTCTTAATATGGGCTTTATATTAGATAAAGGCCCATTAATTAATTACGAGTTATTTAGTAGTTTAATAATTCCCAACAAAAAGAAAAACAAAAAAATACAATGACACAAATACCACGGGTCAATAGTGATCAACGGTCAGATTAGAAAGGGTCAACGTGATCAACGGTCAGAAATAGAAGATCACGGTGCGTGCGTTCTTCTGGCGGCTGCACTGCATCTTCCTCCATAGCTCTGAAATCGAAGTCTTTCTTGTTCTGTTATCTACTTGGTACTACTACTACTCGTACGAGAATATATTATTCGCAAAGGTAAAAGTTATATACTCTGGAACGCTCGAATTGTTGTCTCCTTAGTTGTTTGTCTTACAAATGAATCTCTGTTGTTGGCAAAGGCTGATTTATCACTTTTGGGCTCAGGCTCAGCCAGAGAGAACTCTTCTCCTCTTTTTTTTTCTTTTCCCGGTTGAAATTTTAGGGCTTCTGCTTAGACTTTGGTTATCTCCGAATTTTTCATTCCAAAAGTACGAAACTTTGCTCGACTCAGATTAGATTTTGTTGTGGATTTGATGGATAAATCTGGTTTCTTTGTTCGATTCTTGTATTCTTTTTTTTTTGGTTTTGACTTTTTGGGTATTATTTTTGGTTAAAGATGAGTACCCTTGAGACCACGAGAGCAGAGCTTGGTCTGGTTGTTCTGTATTTGAATAAAGCGGAGGCGAGAGACAAGATTTGTCGAGCTATTCAATATGGTTCTAAGAGCAAGATTATCGGGGGAATTTAAGGGGAATTTAAGGTGTATCTTAAGTAAATAACATTTAAATTTTAATCAAAAAGATTAATTTTGAGTAAGATACGTATGTTAAACAAGATACATTTGATGGGTTAAGATACCTATACGTGTCGCGTTGTGGTTGGCTGTAGAGAAAATATATAATGTTGGAAAAAAAAATTGTTTGTTTTTTATTTCTTTTTTCCTTTCTCTCTCTCTCTCTCTCTCTCTCTCGCGAAAAGACGAAACCGACGAGCCAGGATCGATTTCGTCTCGAATCGATCCAATCTCCGAGAAGAAAGAGCTCCGGCGTCGTAACACTAGTAGATTAGCATCTCCAACGCCTTCGGTTGTCGACGGCGTCGTCGGTTCAGCGTAATCAGTGACGTTGGTTGGCGCATCCGTGAGTAGTTCATGGGATGTCCTTGTTTAGAGTCGACAGCGGAGTCAACCGAAGGACATCTGCTTCATGGGAGGACCAATCGCTATTTGAAGGTATGTTAATTGATGTGAATTTGGTTTTTACAAATTAGGGTTTGTGAGATTTTGAAATTAGGGTTTGTTAATTTGGGGGAAAAGGGGTTTTCGTTGCTAGGGTCTATAATTAGGATAATTACAATCATTTACGAGTTTGTGTATGTTTGTAAGTCCTGATTGTTATAGAAACTACACCAATCTAAATCCGATTTTCTAGGGTTAGTGGAATTGGGGAAAATTTTGTTTCATCTGATTCTTAAATTCAATAATACTCTCTTGCATCATAATTGTTTGTTGAAATTGAATATGTATGAGCACGAGTGAAGATCTGGATTTTTATACAAACTAATTTTGGAGCATCTGATTCTTATTCATATGTTTCAATCCTCTTATGTGTTGTTGAATAATACTCTCTTGGATCACAATTGTTTGTTGAAATTGAATAGTGTTTGTTGTTTTCATTTTGACATATGCCATGGGAGTGTGACATGAGTAAAAAGATACTGTAAGGATCAATGGCAAAGGAGTATTCAACTGAAAACAGGTCAGAAAATTATGTACCCTCTTTCTGTTTCTTTGTTTGTTTAAATTTGTATTGAACTAGGTATAGAATTGAAAGCTGTATCTTGGTTAGTCATTAAATGCATGTTGGTAGTAAACTGTCTCATCTTATATGTGTCTATGTTTAAGTGGATAGTACATATGTGTTTATGTTTGTTGCCAACTTGTGTGATAGTACATATGTGTTTAAGTTTGATTAGAATAGCTAGTTTGCTTTTCATTTAATGGACTCCATAATTGTGAGTAACACTAACCTAACACTAACTCATAAACCTAGTCGATTCTCTTGAACTCTCTTTCATTCTCATTATCTTTTCATCCTCATCTGATTCAATGTCTATTCTGTCTCTTTCATTCTCGATTTTCCTTCTGTTTTCCATCTGTTTTTAGGCTCTTTTTCTTCTGTTTTGAGTCTCTTTTCCTTCTGTTTTCCTTCTATTTTCCTTATGTTTTGAGTCTCTTTTCCTTCTGTTTTCCTTCTATTTTCCTTCTGTTTTGAGTCTCTTTTCCTTCTGTTTTCCTTCTCTTTTCCTTCTATTTTCAGTCTCTTTCATTTACTTTTCATTCTCTTCACCAATGAATCCATTTGCTAATTCTCCTGGCTTCATGGATCTTCTAACCAGTGAAGTAGATTCCCGTAGCTTTCTACCCAATAGTGTAGAGCCAGCATCACCAAGTATTAGACTTGGTGATTCTGAAATTCCTCTCTTCAGCTCCCAATGGTCAGAAGCACCCATAGAAGGTTCAAACCCAACTGCTAACCGCACACCAAGGACAAGGAACTCATGGAGCACTGCTGAAGATCTAGTGTTGATATCTGCATGGCTAAATACTAGCAAGGACGCCATTGTAGGCAATGAGCAACGAGCAGACGCCTTCTGGAAGAGGATTGCAGTCTATTGGGCTGCAAGTCCTAATGTCTCAAGCTTGAAAAAGAGAGAGCCAGGCCATTGCAAGCAAAGATGGGCAAAGATCAACGAGGTAGTTTGTAAGTTTGCTGGAGCTTTTCAAGCTGCAACAAATCAGCAGTCAAGTGGGATGAATGATGATGATCTCATCAAGCTAGCACATGTGATTTATGAAGAAGATCAGAAGAAGAAGTTCAATTTGGACCATGCATGGAGAGCTTTGAGATATGAACAGAAATGGTGTTTATTGAACGCTAATAAAGAGAACGAGAAGAGTAAGAAGAGGAAAGTTGGTCTTGATTCCCAAACTGATGGAGCGTCTCAAGTTTCCGAGAGTCAAGCTTCCCAGAGTCAAGGAGAGTCTCAGGCTTCTCAATCACGACCAGCTGGTGTGAAGGCTGCAAAGGGTCTAGCCAAAAAGTCTGCAACAAGTTCACTGAATGCTGAAGCCGGAGTGGAGAGATTGCAAAGAATGCAAACTATGTGGGAGCTAAAGGAGAAGGATTTTGCTTTGAAGCAACAAGAGCATGATTTGAATGATAAGTTGGCAAACAAAAAATTGCTTGATTCTCTTTTAGCTAAATCTGATTCTCTGACTGAGCTTGAAGAAGAGCTTAAAGCCAAGCTAATTAGAGAGATTTTCTTTTGAATCTCTTATGATTTGAATTGGAAGTTTATGTTTCTGTTTGTGTTCTATATTGTTTGTTGTATGTGTTTATGTATGTTCTTTGAAGGATTTTGTAATGTCTTCTGTAATGTGTTGTGTAATGTCTTGTGTAATGTTTTGTGTAATGTCTTGTGTAATGTAATGACTTGTGAGTTTTATGTGTAATGTGTCCTGAAATCAATGGAAGTTTATGTTTATGTTTTGTGTTGTGTCCTTTTATGTGTTAACTTTATCTAACAAACAAGATATTATTTGTGATTCATTGACTTTCTGTTTGTGCATATGAATGTAGGTCCATTCACGGGGAAGTTTTAGAAGAAGAAAACACCACACAATTGGTTCACAGAGACAAGGCAATTGGTTCACGGACACAGCCCACACACCACACAATTGGTTCACGGATACAACACACACACCACACAATTGGTTCACGGATACAATACACACACACTTTCATAACTTGATATAACTTGATATAAATATGTATGAAGTCACTTGAACTTGTCATCGCACACTTTCTCTTTTCTCTTGACTTTTCTCTTCTACACAATTGTATTGTATTCACTTTCTTTTTCACAACAATTGTATTCACTTTCTGTTTCACAACAATTGTATTCACTTTCTATTCCCACAATTTGTATGCAATTTCTCTTCAACACCATCTTATTTTCATAACTCTCGTTCACAACGAAAAGAAAAATATTTTCACAACAAGAATATATTCAAGTCTTTCTTATTTCATTCGCTTTCTTTTTTTACATTCTACTTTTACTACCAAAGTTCTAACCAAAAAATTCTACCAAACCACAAAATTGTTATTTACTTCTTTTTTTGTTATATACAAAATGGCATCATCTTCTCATGATGAATTTTCACAATTATTGAATGAAGAATTTGATAATCTTTTTCAAGAAGAATTTGATAATCAATTTCAAGAAGAATTTGATAATTCTTTGGAAGAGCATCAACAACCCAGAAAACCGAGAAAAAAGAGAGTTCATATAGAAAGACATCGTGAAGAAGGACACATAAGGTTATGGAACGATTATTTTGGAGATTATGCAACATTCCCGCCTAATCTATTCCGACGTCGTTTTAGAATGAATAAGAATTTATTCATGCGTATCGTGGATCGACTAACTAATGAAATTCCTTTTTTTCCACAAAGAAGAGATGCGACCGGAAGGTTAGGATTCTCTCCACTACAAAAGTGTACAGCAGCAATTCGCATGCTTGCATATGGTTGTGCGGCTGATGCGGTTGACGAATATCTTCGGATTGGTGAAACCACTTCCATGAAATGCATGCAACATTTTCTTGACGGTATTATATATTGCTTTGGAGATGAGTACTTGAGAAAACCAACCGCAGAAGATCTTCAAAGGCTACTCATTATTGGAGAGATTAGAGGATTTCCCGGGATGATGGGAAGCATCGATTGTATGCATTGGGAGTGGAAAAATTGTCCAACCGCTTGGAAAGGTCAATATACACGAGCCTCGGGAAAACCAACGATTGTTTTGGAGGCTGTAGCTTCGCAAGATCTTTGGATATGGCATGCGTTTTTTGGACCTCCAGGTACTTTAAACGATATCAATATTCTTGATCGTTCTCCTGTTTTTGATGACATCTTACAAGGACGAGCGCCAAAATGCAAGTATGTAGTCAACGGAAACGAGTATAGTTTGGGTTACTATCTGACAGATGGAATTTATCCAAAATGGGCCACATTTATCCAATCAATCCCACTTCCACAAGGTGATAAACCTTCTTTATTTGCTGAAAAGCAAGAAGCTTGCCGTAAAGATGTAGAGCGTGCTTTCGGAGTTTTGCAAGCTCGATTTGCAATTATCAAAAATCCGGCTCTTATTTGGGATAAGGAAAGAATAGCAAGTATTATGCGGGCATGCATAATACTTCACAATATGATAGTAGAAGATGAAAGAGATATGTATACTCAGTTTAATGTCAGCGAATTTCAACAAGCGGAAACTGAAGGAAGTACACGAGTGGATTTCTCGTATGATACATATATGCCTTCAAATATCGTCGATCTGATGGCCGCTAGAACTCGACTTCGGGATCGAACTAAGCATGAACAATTGAAGAACGATTTGGTCGAACATATTTGGAGTAAATTTTCTTCCAATCAAGTTTAAATTTATTGTACTTTATGTTATAATTTCTATCTTATAATTTATCTCTTATGTATGTTTTCAAATTCTATATTTTGCAATAATTATAAGATTTTCTAAAAATACAAATTATAAATTTGTTTAAAAAAAAAAAAATTTCTAAGATACCCAACTTAAGATCCTACCAATAAACACATTCCAAAACTAAAAACAAAATCAAAACTCTTAAACTCTACTTTTTTAAATTTTATACTAAATTAATACTAAGATACCCTAATTAAAAGACTACCTATAATGTTGCTCTAAGTTCTTAAGCGATGGACAGCCTGGCACTGCTCAAAATGTCGACAAGTCCACCAGCTTGGCTAGGAAAGTTTTCCGTCTCTTCAAGGTTGGTTTCTTCTTATGTTTGGAGATTGAATTCTGTTAGCTTCATCTGTTTGGGATATATACTATTTGATTTAGGAACTAAGCTCTAAGCGGTGTTCTTCTTGTGGTGCAGTTTGTGAATGATCTTCATGCTCTCATTAGCCCTGTTCCCAAAGGCACTCCACTCCCGCTTCTTCTTCTCGGAAAGGTAGTGTTGTTGCTTGCTTTTTAGAGCTTGTTTCATTCCCAACAAAATGATTCATCTGAAACTGATGATTCATGCTCTGATTCTCGCAGTCTAAAAATGCGTTGCTGTCTACCTTCTTGTTCCTCGATCAAATTGTGTGGCTTGGCAGGACTGGGATTTACAAGGTGTGGTGTGGAAAAGTCTGCATTATAAGAGTCTTATATTCTCATGTTAAACTGAAACTGAGGTTTCTAGTTCTGTTTCTGTTCCGAATCTGCTGTTATAGGACAAAGAACGCGCTGAGCTTCTTGGACGTATATCCCTCTTCTGTTGGATGGGCTCATCGGTCTGTACATCCTTGGTTGAGGTTTGTTCACTGCCATTGAATTGTTTCTCAACTCTGGTTCAAATGCAGTATGGCACTGTGTAATGGCGGCTATTATTAACTTGTCGAGATGTTTAGGTTGGGGAGCTTGGTAGGCTGTCAGCATCAATTAAGAAGTTAGAAAAGGAGATAGGGAATAAGGATAAACATCAGGTAAGATGCCTCAAGCTATGATTCTCTTTCTCTATTGAGTGAAGAAGTAATTTTGCTGATCAAGATAAATGTGCAGAACGAGCAATACCATGCGAAACTAGAGAAATCAAAGGAGAGGTCGTTGGCGCTGGTGAAAGCAGGGATGGATGTAGTTGTTGCTTTTGGATTGCTTCAATTGGCTCCGAAGAAAGTCACTCCACGAGTCACAGGCGCTTTCGGATTCGCCTCCTCTCTTATCTCTTGCTACCAGGTATGTTTTCAAGAAAACAGTGTCCTTATATATATGTTTTGCAACCTTGCTTTGGGATCAGTTCAGTGACTTAAAAATCTGTCGCGTGTGCAGCTATTGCCGTCACATGCCAAGTCCAAGACGGTCTGAGAAAAGGAAAAGATAGAAAATAATGTAGTTGCATGCATGTCCAGATGTTCCATATAGTCTGGTTATCTGTGTTCCCCTTGTTTCTTTATTTTCAAGACTTGGTTGTTAAATTTGTCTTGGTTGATACGTTTTGTTTGTGTTAACTTTTGTGGTATAGTCTGATGATAAGCATTTGCAGTCCCCCGTAGAATAACAATAATTAACATTGCACACTAAAATACATTTGTAGGGCTTTGATTCGAATACTCGAATAAAAAAATTAAAAAAAAACTCTGTTGATCTCCAACATTTGTTTGAGAAATGGATAGAGCAAAAGAGTAAAAAAGAAAGAAAACCATCCCGGAAAATGTATAAAACGCTAACTTACTAATGTATATGGTATGATAGGACGTAATTATTCATCTAAAGGATTCGAGGCAGTGATTCATCGTGAAATCTGTGTTCAACTCGCAGTGCTGCAGCTGCAATGATAGTCTCGTCTGCTGCACTGATGATGATGATGATGAAAGCACTTTTACCGATTCATCCAAGTTTGAAAGCCACCTTCGTAACTTTGCCTTGGTTTTAGGCTTTGTTCCGATCGCTAGCTTCTTCTCCTTCTTCTTCGTCTTCCCCACTCTGGTTTCTCTTACTCTTTTACGCTCAGACTTGACCGTTTGCTTCTTCATCTCACGGCTAGCTGCGGATAACGCCACAGACAACGACGATAGGTTTATTGTATTTTCCTTGCGCCCTACATCTATGGCCTCGATTGCTTTCTTCATTGACCCGAGATTGAACGCAGATGCACCACCGCCTTCCTCGTCACTCCGCCGTCTTGTTCTCTTTGTTTCCGGCTTCATCCTTCATGCGGCTTGCTTGCTTACTACACTTTTTACTGGCCGACTTAGGGCATTTATATAGTATATTACCCACTCGAGCTTAACTGGGCCTTCTTTCGGCCCAATAACAATTGCGTTACAAAAACTGCAATATTATTATATTCGTTATTAAGTAAGAGATGAATATCACCAGAATGAATAAAATAAAAAGTAAAAAAAAAACAAAACAAAACAACGGTCATCAGATGGCGAGTGTGCCGCCTTCGATTATCTGGTTTTCTTCAGATGCATCCGACGGTTGTTGAGGTTTAGGCTTACTCGTCCTTGAGAAACCATAGCCCAGAGAGCTTCCGCTTGCTTCACATAGCTGCCATTAACCATACAAATCAAACCAGACTCTGATATATATAAATAAATAATAAAAGGAACTATATAAACACACCTCTGTCAGCTCAGACAAGTGACGGGTTCTGAACTCGTTAATTGTGTTTGCGATTTCCGATGTCGGTAATTTGGCCTGAAAAGCCCCAAAAAAAAAAGGATCATGATCATGATCATGCGCTGGTGAGGATTACTTCCACTTATAAGAAAATCATTATGTTTTTTACCTGAGCAAGAACAGCAGCTGCCAACTGTAGACTAGGCTCCAGAGTCTCTGGGACAACCGCAGTAGCACCCGCTTTTTCTAGATTAAGACCATGAACTACATCGTGTGCACGGACAAAGGTTTTGACATTGGGGTAATACTTGCTCAATGCCCAGACACATCTGTAGTTTGCTCCTGGTGCGTCTAAGGCTACCACAGCAGCGCATGCTCTCTCAGCTCCAATTTTGTGGAGAACCTGTTGCACAAGTGAAGTCATATTCAAATGCTGGTATAACCTGTCACTCTCTAGTGTCTCTTTTCTCTTTATTGTGATGGTGTGTACCTCTCTACTACCAGCGTCTCCGAAATAAACAGGAAGATCCAAGGAACGTCCGATAGTCACTCTATCACTGTAGATTAAATACAGGTTACCATACAATGTGGTATGTGAAACTGGTTGGTGCAATACAGGCAGTCTTGAAACTAGACTTATAAAGCAGAGAGACTTATATGTAATCTCAGCGTGTGTGTGTGTGCAAATTACTTATCGTCCCCACATTTCCAGTTTGATATGAAAACAAAACATTTGAAACCCACTTTAGCCCACAAAGATATTATTTGACAACAGAGGCAATGTTATGTTACCTGCTGACATCCAGGGCAACAAATGGGATAAGTCTTTCCGAGAGAAGCTGAGCGATTATCTACAAGCAACAAAACAAAAGATGGTCATGAGGTTAGAAACGACGAGCTATCCTGTGAAGCAGACTGTCTATAGAGAGGCTCTCATATAAGATCATAAACTAAAGAAGTGCAGATAGTGTATAAACCTGACCAACTCGACCAAAGCCGCAAATAATTATGTGATCTTGCAAATCATCAGTCTGCAATTAAAATCAGACAAGAAAATACTCATCAGTCGGCCTTATAATGATTTTCTCAACTTGAGAACTCGTGTGAGCTACACTGATGTCAGGTGGTACCAGGATTGATTGATTATTTCCTCAAAGAGTTATATGCGATAAACGCAACATCATGATTCCTACCTCACTCTCAACCGGCAATAAACTTCGAACATCATGCAACTCAAACCGAGAAGCAATTAACTGGCCGCCAGCAGCTAGCCAAGGTGTGATAGCCATTGAGATTCCCACGACAAGAAATAGCAACGAAGATAACTGGGGAGACATTATACCCTGGAAGAACCACATATTAGGCCTAAAGGGTAAAAAGTAGTTGAAAACCATTACGTTTTGAAGAACATTGCTGCTTATATACTCATGTTGATAACAAACCTGATTGACAGCTTCTCCGAAAGCAACAAATGCAAACTCACCGCCTGGGGCCAGAAGTAGCCCGACCCGAATTGCAGATATTATTGAAATGCCGAACAATTTGCCCATAATCACGACTAACATAGTCTTGCCCACTATCAAGAGTCCCAAAGTTCCAACTATGACAGGGAAATTAGAGAGAAGTAATTTTGGATCAATAGACATGCCAACCTGAAATGAGAGGAACTCTTTTTGTTAGTTTTTATGCCTGTGCTTACAGTTGATTACTAGTTTCAGGATCTTACTAAAACACAAGTATAGTTTTTCCTTTTTACCATCTATGATTCGTGATTCTTTTTAAAAATGACAAATATGGATAATTTTTTTAGGGAAGTTATATTACCGTCATGAAGAAGAGTCCCAGTAAAAGACCACGATATGGAGCAATATCTGATTCTACTTGCAAGGAAAATTCCGTCTCTGCAAGGAGTAGACCAGCCAAAAACGCTCCTAATGCCATGGAAAGTCCAGCCTGATTCATAGAAACGGAAAAATTAGGCTACGAGAACGAGCACCAGTAAAATAGTCCAATACCAACAAGGTGACGGTCATACCCTCGCTGTCAATAAACTTGTCCCAAGAATAACAAGAAGTGTGTTGGCAGAGAATATCTCAGCGTTTCTGTTTTCTGCAATTTGCTTGTAGATTGGTCGAAGAAGCTGTATGCCACAAAATGCCATAGATTAAAAGTCTATTGAACTAGATGAATTGAGTACTGGAAGTAGCAGTGACAGCACAGTAGTTCATGAAAACATGCCTCTTCCTTTTGTAGCAAATCTAAAACACTCCACTAACAACTTGGGTGGTAATTAACTTATATTAATATCCGGGATCTTAAAAGTTAAAGTATCTGAGACTTACAAGACGGCCACCAGCAATTATGGCAGTAATAGCAACTGCTGCTTTGACTGCAGCAAGCCCAAGAGCTTCAGCTATGGCTTGAAATCCAATCTGAAAACAGCAATTAGCAACTTAGCATTTTGCTTCCTTAAGTATATCTGGCATAGTAGCAATTTGAACCAGCAATAGCAACAGATGACCACAAAGTTTCTTCTTAAGAGATCAACGAAATGATCAAACCTTCTTACACAATTACCAACACATGGCATCGAACAGAAAAACAAGCCGTACCCAAAAAAAGAAACTCTAGAGATGAGCTTACCCCTCCTTTCGACGAATTAGGTGAAATAAGTGGGATGAGAATCAGTAAAACAACTACAGCTAGATCCTGTGAAGAAAAACAACAAACTGATGAGAAATGAACCAGCATAGTTGGCGTTATACAAGTACAATATTAACTCTGTTCTGAACCGACCTGGAAAAGCAAGACGGAAAATGAAGCCCTTCCATGTCTAGATGTACTCTCACCTCGTTCTTGTAGAACCTGAAAACCAGGTATCATAGCGTTATTACATAAAACATGTAAGGGATGTTACAGACTTCCTTTCATTAAGACCCCTATGTGAATACAACCGAAAATGTTACCTGAAGGACAACAGCAGTGGAAGACAGTGCCAGGCCATTTCCAATCACTATTGCCGCTGGACCAGCCAGACCAGCAACATAATGGGCAATCAATCCAACAACTGCTGCTGTCAATAGAACCTAGATTTCAACAATAGTGTGGTACAGGTTAAGCATGTACGTATTGTAGTTGATAAATGATGTGGAATGAGATACGCAGATCTACATATCACCTGAGCGGAGCCTAATCCAAAAACATATTTCTTCATGGAACTCAGTCTTTCAACAGAGAGCTGTCAAATAAAATCAAAACAAAATTTGACCGCAGTTCGAAAGCAAAAGGATACATAAACATATATCAAATAGTACCTCAAGGCCAATGTTGAAAAGCAAGAAAACAACTCCAAATTCTGCGATGGCCCTGGTCCCGTGCACATTACGGATTATCGAAAGACCAAATGGACCAATCAGAATTCCAGCTGCCAAATACCCAAGAACAGGGCTGCCTATACATTGCAGCAGATGAAGCCATCAAGATGGCACATAAATCTCTATGCAACATGATTGCGAGACCAGAACTGAAAATGTTTTTGACTGATGAGAACATGGAAATCGTAGGAGTTTGAGGGAAAAGGAAAACGAAAAGTGATGCAATAAAATAGAAATAACAAAACAAAAAAGAATCCTACTTAGTACTTACCTCCAGGAATTTTCTGAAATAGAGGCACGAATATGACGCTTGCCAGCAGTAACCACAAAAAATCAAAAAGGGAAGCTTCTTCCTCATTGACCTAATAATGGTAGAAAGTTTCAGCCTGCAAAGTAAATTTCAAACAATTTTCACTTTGAAAAAGAACAAGAAGAATCATTAATACCTCCTGGTGAGGGAGCATCTCAAGTAGTTTTTTAATTCTCTTGGGAAGTTTTTGCACTTGCCGGATGAATGGCTTTGTATTGGAAGAGCCATCTTCTGTACTAGTGCTGATAACATCTGGCTGTTGAAGCAGCTGATTGTTTCCCCCTACTCCATTGGAGTATAGTGTCAGTCTGGAAGGAATAAGAAGACCATATCAACAAAAAGACAAAAATTTAAGTACTAAAACGATCCTTTAAAATTGACGAAAGAAAAAGAGTAAATTTTCAAACTGACCCTGCTCCAAGAAGAGCCAACCCAAGAACTAGCTTGGGCCATTGCTTTTTGACAGAATCAACGAGACTCGCAAACACAGTAGCGGTCCCATCTGGATTGGAAGAGAAGAAAGATGCAGAAAAGAAACGGGAGGATTTATTAAAGGATGCCTTGGGAGAATTAAGAGAGGAACCCTCTTTTGGCAGTTCTTTCTCCTGTTTTTTCGTCTGAACATTAATCTTTGGCTTTTCAAAATCTGCTTCCACCACTTTAGAAGGCTCTATGATTGGCTTTCCATTCTCATGATCGCTTGACTCATAAGGCTGAGTTAGCTTTTGAGTCTTCTGACCAGCTACATCAGGCACAGGATCAGATGTGTTGTTTACCGCTAATAAATCTTCATCTTTAGGTGATTCTTTTTCAACCTGATGGCTTACATCTTCAATATTACTTGAAAGTACCTCCTCATCCTCGACAGGAGTTTCTTCATCCGAGAGTTGGGCCTGAGTTTCCTCAGGGGTCTGAGAAATGGAGAGAGACTTTTCTGCTCGCTGCAAAGCAATCTCTGCATCACTAACACGTTGAGTAGCCTCGAGCTCAAACGCTACAGCTTGCTCAGCCAATTTCATAATATTAGCGACATCCTCCTCGGCTTTCAACGCATCGATCTGTATAGTCTCAGCAACACCATTCAACTTGTCCACTTCCTTCTGCAGCTCGACTTTTTTGCTCTGCAAACAATTCAGCTGGGCCTCACAATTTGCTAAATTCACATGGCATTCCTTTATATCATCCTTGGCAGCTAAAAGGGCATCTTCTTTATCACCAACGTCATCTGTTTCCTCAGTGGCTTGAGACACTTGTGGAATATCATTCCCTGCAGCAGATGCTTCAAGTGATTCCACTATAACCTGGAGCCTAGCTTCAGCAAGAGACAACGCCATAGTAGCCTTCTGAACAGCTTCCTTGGCAAGACATTCCTCATCAACGGTATCTCGAATGAGATCAAGGGTTTTGTTAACGTCAAGCCAAGCAGTAGCGGCTTCATCCTTGAGTGCTATGGCTCTTTCTGAGATTCGCTGAGCCTTTTCCTCAAACATGGTACTATTAAGTCTAGCAACTTCCAAATCTTTAATTGCCTTGAGTAGTAGCTCCTTGAGTTCCTCCAAACTGGCGTCTTTCTCCTCTTTAGCATCAGTTTCATCACTGGTTTCGGAATCGGAAGATTCCCCAGTTGGATCATCACTACCTAGAGAATCATTGCCCTGGCAACTTAGCCTAAATCCAAAACCTTGGAGGGGAGTGCCAAGTAGTGATTTCTTTTTGCGAGAATGCAAATGACTATAATAAAACCTCCTAGAGACACCCGTATTCAAACACGACGGCACTTTAGAATCCCATAATTTAGTGCTGATTCGTTTCGGATTTGAGAAGCAGAAGAAGTGACTCGCACCACCTCCACCATGAAATAAAGGCGGCCGTTGAACAGTAGACGCAAATTCCATGTCAAAATGAGTATTTTAAAAGGTAGAGACAGACTTACTTTGTTCCTCGAACCTCTTATATACTAAAAACACCTGTGAACTGTGCGGAGCAGTAAGAAAGAAAAGAACAAAAAAACAAAAAAAAATCGAAAATTCGAGGAGGGACATCATTCATATATCATCATCACAATACAGAGAGACAAGCGAGAAAGATAGACACTAACCAATCATTGAAAACTGAGTACGAGCAGATAGATGGCGGAAACAAAGTGGCTCCTCTTCACTTCCGGTTTTTATTTCAAATTTCCCAGTTTAAACTTATTTTAAAAAACTCCATGAGAAACGTTTCTCGCCGACCAGACATCATCAATTTCATCATCTTCAAAGATTATTTTCCGTTTTCTAGACTTTATTTACGAAAACACCCTCGGTCACCTAGGTAGACAGAGATATAATGAATGATTCATATCACCCGATAACCAGTTGGTTTTATCCCGGTTTATAAATTTATCATAGTTTGAACCGAATAGATGATAATACGGTTGTTATCTATTTCACATATATTTTAATTACTCATAGAGTCTAACTAGCCATATACTACAATACGAATGAATCTCCATCACTATGCATATCACAATCACACTGTCGAAAATCATATTGTTGGATTGTGACAACGAACGAATCAAAAGAAAAAATCATGTCTTGATTATGGAAACAACTCATTACAATTGAAAATCAACTCTTCCCCCGCAACATTCAATCACTCAGCACTCAACAAGACATATATAATATATATATATATATATATATATTCAAGACTGTGAATCGCCGTTTTCTTCCTTAGCCTCGACTGCGATTTCTTCCGTAGCCTCTGGAGGAAGAGTGTTGCCTGAGGCCGTGCGACGGTGGTTCGCTGCTTGGAGCACGTGAGCGTAGTTTCCTTTCTCCATGAAAAGTTGGTTAAAGTGATGCCGGCAATACAGAACACCGTCTAGGGAGGCGTAAGAAGAGTGGGTGAGCGTACAGCCACCGTGAGCGCACCGGAAACATGTCTTATGGAAGCATTCTCCTTCCATTTGTACCTTTTAGCAATTAACCGAATCAAATCAATAACCAAATTCCACGTTATACCCATCAATTCAACATTTTCTTGAACCAACAACCACCAATATAACGTTCTGAATTAAAAATCTAAAGTAAACAGAGCACCTAAAATTTCTTGTTTCTACAGTACCAGTTCATTGCAATTTTGGCTAAATCTACAAAACTAAAAGTTAGGGACTTGATGGTGAGTATTCGGAAAAGAAGCAACATGTAAGGAATGCAAATACTAACCTTTTCAAGAGGGTAAACAGTTTTTTCGCAAGCGGCACACTTGTCTTGTGTTCCACAGAAGATGGAAGATATCTTACTGGGAGTCTTAGTCTGTAATGTTGAAATTATCAATACAGTCAATTTCTCATATCAAATTCGCTGAATCATAAAAGAATAAAAATGAAAGTTTGATACTAATTATCACATGGAATGATCATTGTAGAGAGAAATGATGAACGTACCAGCTCTGGCTTCTCAATTTTTCCTGACAAAAGAAAGAAATTTGTTACAATTACGATGATTTGAAAGAAAAAAAAAGATAAGAGAGATTCGACATTGGAGATATTATAATATGAACCTGGTTGAAAGTTTTTGCTGAAATTGCCAGATTCCTTGAAGAGTTGCTCAAAATGAGTCTTGCAGTACAAGACTCCGTCCATGGAGGAATAATTGCTCATCTGCCATAATGCATAAATATTGTTCCCATGTTTGGAATCATTCATTTAATAATATCACCATAGAAGATCTGGACACAAAATCTAACAAGGAAATTGACAAGTGTAAATTATATTATGTATAAGAGTAATGCAACATACCACAAGGGTTCCTTTGCAATGGGTGCACCTGAAGCAAGACTTGTGGTAAGGCATCCCTTCAATGGACAACATGTCCACCACATACACTGTCTTGTCGCAAGCATTGCATTTGTCGAGAGTTCCTGTGAAAGACATTTTTTTTGCTTTTATCTTTTTTTTTTTTTTTTTTTGTTTCCTTCTCCAAGATCCTGAATGGAACAGGTAATTTTTATGAAAAAATCAAATCAAGAGGTCATCTGAGGAATTAGTTAAAGAAGGAAACCTTTACCTCAGACAAAGGAGCAACCTGCGAAATTTCTGTCCTCTTTTATACGAAACCTTGTTGCAATTGTGAGGTTGAAACGGAGGAATTTTTTTTTTTTTCTCTCTCTCTCTTGATTGTGCAAAACCAACGAGATAAAATTGGGTGGCAAAGTGATTGGAGTTGAGCAAAAGAAGGGTTCTGGTTTGTGACGATTTCAACCCATGAAGGGATGTTACTTTAAGCCAACTGTCTCTGAGGTGGTGCAACCCATGTCAGATCCTGCAAAGGAATATAACAACCTAACATTATACAAATTTAATATTATTTTTAAATTAAAAAAATATGATTGTAATACATCTGTATGCGTATCTATCAAGTTACCCAGTTGTAAATTGAAGCAATTTTAATGAAATAGAAAGTGAAGCACCACTAAGTCGATTTCCTCTTTTTCCAATTTCTTTAGAATTATATAGTGTATTTCAAGTCTCTTTTTAGGTTAACATTACCACACAATATTTGAATAGAAAAATCTGATATGCAAAGGAAAGTAGTCTTACAACACAACATGTTGACACAAGATGAGATCTGAGATTGTCTTTCCGTGTCGATCGATTCTCCTGGAACAGTTGACTCCACCATCTAATATGTTCCGTACGACAACATTCAAAGCATGAATGCCTTTAACATCATATATCTCTACTGACACATTTTCATCAATTGGTTTTGCATCGGTTTGAAGAAGCGGAGAGGTTGATAACAGAACTGACATCACATGTTTTACCCATTGGGGAGTAATGATGAGTTTCAGACGATCAATATCAGGGTAGTAGTGTGGGATAAGTGAGAAGTTTATGTCGTTTCCTTTATCACCAGCCCTGCTATGAGCTACAGAGTATAGTGGGATCTTTTGGCCAGATGGAGCTGGAGAGTGATGAAATCCACATAAAGCCGTCCATTGATCGCCTTTCATTGTTAGGTTATTTTGATTTTCCTTAGGGATCTACAAATGGAAGCAATACCAAGGTGTTATGTTTAGTTTAGAGTTCTTTCATATTTTCATCCTTTAGTTTTGAGCAAAGATACCCAGAATTTCCATACACACTAGATTGATCGTCAAGGAATTGAATTCAGTTTATGATCATTGCGATTATCTAATTCGCCTTAGCACTTAGCGTAGTATAAAATAGCTGTCAACTAACCGGTTTGAACACGTACTTCCCCACTAACCTTTTGGATTTTCTCCTGAGCAACTGGATAATGATTTTCAGGGATCTCTGACTTTGATGTGTTGGTGTGCTGAAATCCAGTTTTCCAGATTACAGATTCACGGCTGACCTAGATAATCAAACATGTAACATCAGAAAGCCAAGATATTGATTTATGTAGGGCTATATTGGTTACAATTTCATGATAGATACGACATACCAAAAGCTTCTCAAGAACAATCTCTATCTTGTGTCCGGTACTGCATGATTGCAAATAATCAAAAGCAGTCAAGTCAAACCAAAAAGACCATCCAGAATCTCATATGCTCTATTTGAACAAATCTAAAGTTACGGTACATTGAGATTGCCAAGATAAAGATTATCAGTCTGCATAATTAGAGATAAAGACAGAACATGCTCTAACTTGTCAATAATTAAGCATTCTGTCAAGTTCATAAGATATCTGAAATCATCAAGATCTGGTACTAATGTAATGCTACAATAAGGAATTACCTAATTCCACCACCACCAGCTGGTCCATTTGTATATAAAGCAGTAAACTCTTTCGTTAAGTGGACTGCATGATCTTTCAGTTTGAATAGACCATCCATACGTAATCTAATATCTCCGCATGACTGCCAAGATGATTCAGCGTCATTGCTTGTCGCCTTCAAGCTATCAACCCCAATCACATAAGAAAGAATGCAGTGGTTAACACCAGGAATGGTTTCTTCCATCCAAGATCGAACCTGAAAAAAAAGTAAAGTATGTATACGCTTCATAAGAAATGAAGAACCCATTCCCATAGCAAGGAGTCATTTCAAACGACATTAGTGCTTAATAATGCTACTACATCATAGAGATTTTAACCGTAGGCACACCAGATTCTCTGAAGCTTTAGCACGTTGAACAGATCTATGTCCTCCATAAGATATCTCTCCCCATCCTTTCCAACCACACTCCTGCAAAGAAAGAACAGAATATAGAACTGAACCTAGGTTGTACTTTAGTATCAATCTAATTATACCAGCATTTTCTACGGAAAAAAACCTTTGGAATCAACCGCAAAAGTTTCTCAGGCACAGTAGTGTTAGCAGATGGTTTTGCTCCACTGCATTGTACTTTGCAGTCTGAAAGGGGAAGGAAAGAAACGTCTCGTATATCGATCACCTGCAAAGAAGGTTTCCAAATCAACTCTTTCCGTTGTTGTTACAGTCGTTTCTTCTAGCTTTTTTACCTCTAACTTACCACATCAGGTGTAATGTAGGCACTCGGATCAGCAATTTCATACAGAAGTTGCTGAGCGCAAGTACTGGTACTTAAAATTCCACCAGTACCTTTAGGCTTTGAGACACATACTTTCCCGTCATGGCCAATTTCTGCATAAGGAAGTGATACATCCTGGAGGAGAGGGAAAGCCAAGTCTCTATACTGGTCACCTAAAGAACATTAAAGAACGAAATGACCATACTGATAATGAAAAACAGCAGTCCATTAGTTCTTCCCTGAGCCAGTAAACTTAAAACGCACCTGGATGCATGAAGTATCCACCAGTGAGCTGACATCCGCATTCCAGAAGGTGGCCAGCAAGAGTTCCCTGAGCTAGAAGCTCCAAGTCATTCCAATTCCAACCTAGTTCATAGACCTAACCATGCAAAAAGGAAATGATCAGATTAAATCACGAAACAGAAACGCCTCTTGAATCGAATTCAAGCCAAAGGGAGACAAAACAACGAGTATATATGATTACAAAACTGAGATGATATGCAATCCGAGTGGTTATCTAGTCGAACAAGAAAATCTTCCTGGCTGTTAAAATATCAGATAAGTGGACGGATAATAAGTCCTCACCATTGGTGCTAAAAACAAGGCGGCATCAGCCACTCTTGAAGTAATTATCACGTCTGGTTGGTACTTCTCCAGGCATTCAACGATAGGGGCTGCTCCAAGGTAAGTGCTAGCACCCTTCAATAAAGAGAACAAAATTTCAGGATAACCACAAGGAGGAGCTAAATAAAACATGGTAGTCTGAAACTCTTTACTCGTGTAACATATAACCTACAGTCCGTCAATGTACACATAACCATGTGTACGCATCTATTAGTCTATCAAAATAGCAGTCAGTAGCTGATAATATCCATTGACACATACGATCAGGGTTCAGGAGTAAGAGAAATAGAATCCTACCCCGGCAAAAGATGATCCAGAGCCTAAATATGATTCAAAAGAAAATGGTTAGACACACTTATTTATGGCTTAATAGGCAGAACACTAACAATATCTCCCAGGGATGAAAGTAGCTTCCATAACCTGTTTCAAAATGCACCTCATGAGCCACAGCCACGGAAATAGTGAGCCCTAATTCACTGGCTACCTGGAGAACTTTCTTCTGAGCCCCAGAGGGATCAACTAAAAAGACAAAACAGGAGAATTCAGATTATCAGTCAGACAAAAGGCTACCAATATAGATTCTAAGCTCTTACTTGCGCCCATATTAGTGATTATACAAGTGCCTTTCTCCACAGCCATAGGTAGTAACAAATGCATCCACTCTGAAACTGTACAGAAGCAGGAAAAAATGGGAGAATTTAAATGAAGTTAAAAAACATCCATACAAGCCAATGTATATAAAGCAAGGCGATGACTGTTTTCAACAAAAAAAAAAGAAAAGAAATCAACCTGAAAAGTAAAGAAACATACCACGAGGGTCGTAACCGTAACCGCCAGATGCCATAGAGAGCCAGCGATCAGCCAAAGTTCGTTCGGCCAAGCACTCAAGGACAAGATAGTTAAGGTCTTCAACTCTCTGAAGCAGTTTGAGAGCCGCCGATGGCCTATCGCCGCCGAATCCAGCACCACATCCGACGGAAACCGTCTCCTTTCGCCTCTTCGGATTCTCCCTCTGAAATTAAATGAAATCATAACCAAAAGAAGCGGATGAATCAAAAGGGAAAAACATAATGAACAAATCTTACCAACTTTATCACACAATCGCTGAGATTTTCTTTAACCTCCATGAGAGAGCGAGAGTAGTAGAGCCCCCTAAAACAGCAGGAAGTGGATATCGTGCAATTGAACTGAGATCTCACGAATTGCTTTGAATTCTGACGTCGATCACGGGTTGAGGAATTTGAATTTGGGAGAGACGTCAAGGAAGCGGTGGGTGGAGTGAAGTGGATTTTATCGCCTTTATCCAACCACCATTAAATTAATGAAAGTTAAACATTGGTAGTAATTGTTTGCCAAAAAAAAAAAAACTTTGGTAGTAATTTACAACAACAGTCCCTAAACTTTAAACTATTTCCACGCGGGTCCCTTCTTTGCTCTTTGAAAAGGTTTTGAGTAGAAGAAGAAATAGAGAGAATCAGGGGGACTTGTTAGTTTCTTCGGACTAGACAATGGAAGGAGAAGGATTCTGCAGCGATTGGGGAGAGATAGTTTCAGAGAAGGTTGTTTCGGCTTACATGTCTCTCCCGAAGAAGGGAAAACCTCAGGGACGTGAAGTCACCGTCCTATCCGCTTTCCTTGTCTCTTCTCCTTCCCAATCCCAAAGTCTCTCTTCTCTCTCTCTCTCTCTCTGCACTAGTATTTTGCTTTACACTTTGGGGTTTCCTTCTGGTCTTTCGATTTTTAGTAGCTAATTTAGGGTTCGTGTGCAGACCCGGAAGTTATAGCGTTGGGAACGGGGACCAAGTGCGTTAGTCGGTCGCTGTTGAGTCCCCGTGGGGACATTGTGAACGATTCTCATGCCGAAGTTGTCGCCAGAAGAGCTCTCATGAGGCTCTTCTATTCCGAGATTCAGCGGATGCAACTGACTTCGGATAATGAGGCCAAGCGACAGAGACGTGAAAGCTCAATACTAGAGTCAGCGGACCCAAGCCGTCCTGGAGAAGTGAAATATAAGCTCAAATCTGGGTGTCAATTGCATTTGTACATTTCTCAATTGCCATGTAAATCACCTTCTGTTCGTTTTTCTCTTCCTTTTTTTCCGTTTCAATAACGTGTGGCGTTGATATGTTTGTCATATGTAGGTGGTTATGCTTCTACTAGTTCACCTTTGTATGCCCTGAAAAATATTCCATCAACACATATAGATGACGCATTGTTAGTTCGAGGCTCGTCTGGGCATTCTGATGTTCTAGAGATAGGTAATAGCAACAAAGGTATTGAACTCTCCTCCCTCATTGTTGCAAGATTTGTTCTCCCCGCCTGTCTTCCTCTTATATACCAGCTGGAAGATAGCCTGTTAGACTGATGTTGTTATCAATTTACTTTGATGCCTTCATTTCAGGTAATGGCTCACAAGTAACAGATATGGTGCAAAGAAAGCCTGGTCGTGGTGAAACCACACTCTCTGTTAGCTGTTCAGATAAGATAGCTCGATGGAATGTTCTTGGAGTTCAAGGTTCCTTCTCTAGTCTGTTTTGCAGCTTGTTCTAGACTTTCAATTGCATCAAGCATATATGTCAAATAATATTTGTTCAACGGTTTTATTCTTGTGGGTTTAGGCCTGAAGTTTTCCAGAGAATCCTTTTGTCATCCTACATTTGCTTATGGGAATTTTTTTTTTTCTCTTTTTTTTTTATTACTTCAGGGGCATTGCTTTGCCAAGTCCTTCAGCCTGTGTATATTTCTACCATCACTGTTGGACAATCTCTGCACTTTCCTAACAGTTTTTCTTTGGCTGATCACTTGCAAAAATCTTTGCATGAGAGGATCCTTCCATTATCAGATGAGCTTCTGACTTCCTTCCGTCTGAACAAGGTTTCATTAGCTTCTTTTGTACCATAGTATCATGTGATATTGCAGAATTTACTTGCAGTTACTGTGCTAATCCCTTTCCAGCCACTGTTTTTTGTAGCTCCAGTACCACCATCAGAATTTCAGCATTCAGAAACTGATCAAGCTACCATAACATGCGGGTTAGTTTTTCATGCTCTCAAGTCTTCATTATATGACATATTTTTCTTTTCTTTCTTGTTACCAGGTGACAATATTTGTTGTCTCTTAGGTATTCCTTGTGTTGGAACCATTATGGGTTACACGAAGTTATTCTTGGCACAACCGGTAGAAAGCAAGGTACCTCAGCTAAGGGAGCTCTGTATCCGTCTACTCAATCATGTATATGCAAGTAAGAGGAGGAGCCTTGTTATCCATGAATGACCTTGCTTATTTCTAGTTGATACCATTAGTCATCTGTTTTTTTCCTCTAGGCAGCGGTTACTCGAACTATTCTTGAAAGAAGCACATGGGCACGAAAGTGAATCTTTTAAGTCAATAAGATCTTATCGAGAACTGAAGGTGGCGTGTGATACGGGTTCTTTTCTGCTGGTTCATTTTGATTTATCATGCTTCCACTAGTACTAGTTATGATCTAAAGTGTATGAATCATAGCGAGTTTTTGACATGCATTCCCAAAAATTGTGATATTTTTCATTGGTGAATTATGAGATGATTAACTTGTTTTTGTTTTTATTCTATGTAGGACAAAGCTACGGAATATTCTTTGATGTCAAAGATTTTTAAAGGCAAGTATCCATTCAACAATTGGCTAAGAAAACCATTGAATTACGAAGATTTTCTGATAAATTAATCTTGAGGTATGTCATCCTAATTGCTCTCTCTCTCTCTATCAACCTACTTTTGTTGCATCATTAGTTAATTGTCGTCAACAAGTTGTTAAATTCGACAGCTTTGTTGAGGGAAGCAAAAAGTAATTAACTATTATTGTGATGATTACGTGTCAATAAATAAAAGAGGTGAGACCATGGATCACAGAAAATTCAAAGCGTGAAGAATGTAAAACGGAAAACCCCAGGAAAACAAAAGCAGAAAATATGAATTTGATTGATACGAATGAAGATGCAGCAAGTTCAGAGATTGACTCGTCCCTTGATGATGTCGAGGCTCATCTCGCTAGGATCTGTTGCTTGCAATTCAACTTGAATCCCATCCAATTCCCTCTTGAATCTGTCCTTGGAGCTTGCATACAACATCTTACTCCTCACTCTTGATGTGTCAGGTGACCTGAAGCAAGTAGATGTCTCAGTTATCACAAAGTCTACTTTTCCAAATCATTAAAAGAAGCAAGGGCGAGGAGTTGTGTACCATGCGATGAAAAAGATCTTGCTCTTCTGGCAATTCTCAGGAGTGGTGAAATCAAAGTCATAGACAGCATACCGGCACTCGTCCTCTGGAATGGATCTGGTAAAATCGTCGTAAGTTTCTTCTGGATTCCCAAGCTTGTCTATCATAACTTGCTGAGCCTTCTCATCGATTTTGAACACAATGAACCTATAATTCCTCTTTGCTTTCAACTCCAAGAACTTGAGCTTGCACTCATCGCTTACATGCATCCCAGAAGCTGAATTAGCCTGCACAAACAAAACACACGCATAGTGAACTTATATGATCACAACATATTACCTGATTGATTGGTGATACAATTGATTAAAAAAAAAGTAGAAACTGAAATGTAGGAACATACCATGTTTTCTGCTTGAAATTGAAGCTGATGATCTGAAAGTAGAGAAGGTAGGGGGTGGTTTTAGAGGGTGAGAAGAAGGAATAGACAAGTAGGTTCGGTTGAGTCGTTAGGCTGGTCACGTCTTAAAACCAAGAAGACTTTGATGGTGTCACGTTGTAGCCATATTTACTTCATTAGAAATATTAGAGGGAGTCTACATATTATATTCAAGCGTACACATGTATGTATGTAAAGCACATGTGGTGAAGTTTGTTTTTGTTCCGGGCATCATTGGTGAGTTGAGGAGGTTTCATGATGTACATGTTTTCTTTCTTTTTATTAAAACTTTTGGACTTTTTCTTTCCTCACAATCTGGTCGTAGACTTTGCTTATCAATTTTTTTGGGTGCGGATTTAATTACAATTTAGCGGGAAATCAATAATTAGACTGTCGAGTTCGTTGTGATTCTTTTACTTTTTCCTTTCGTTGTATTAAAGAGAAAAAAAAAAGGGATTTGGCCGAAGATAAACTTTGATGTACCATGACAACATTAATAAAAGTCATAGGTTTGGTATGTTGAGAGCCTAATTAAAGCCCATGGGCTTATCCCTCAAAAAGACAGATCACTTGCTTGCTTATTTTTTTGCTTAATTATTTTCCAAAAACAAAAAACCTGTCTTATATTGCGGCGGCGGCGGCTAGGCCTCTCTAACCATAATATTTATCAGGCTTGTCGGTACACTATTTTGACTATTTTCACTGAGAAAAAAAAAGCTCAAAATGTGGTAACGATAGAATTGGATGATGTTAATGTTATACAAAACAGACTTATGAATCCTCTGGGTATCGGTTTATTGCCGGTTACTGCTTCCGCATCGGTTTGATTGCGATACTGCTGTCTCCTTTTTTTCTTAATTTAAATCGAGAAATGTATGTGATAGGTTCGAGTAATAAGGATCCCAACGATACGAACACCGGAAACGGAAAGTGTGACTTTGATGGGGAGATAAAAAAAAAAAAAAAAAAAAAAGACTTCTGCCTTTTGTTCCAGTTGTGTTTTGGTTCTTTCTTTTAATTGAACCAAATTACTACTGCCTGTCTCACTGTCCCTAGCCGAGCTAGCTGGTCAATCACCAGAATGGTTGCGAGTTGACAAGGTACGACCTGTTTTTATACCCAATCCTGTCAGTCTAAGTTTGATCTCTGAGTGACATCTCTCTCTCTTTCTCTCTGTAATAGAGAAGATTCCTGCTTGTTTCCAGGCATTAAACGTTGCTACCTTATAACTGAAACAAAAACATCGATGGGAGGTCAAAGCTCAAAGATTGTAACATGTTGTTGGAATTCATCTCACAAGACTGCTGCTCTTGGAGCTCCATATGTTGGTGACGTCTCTGTTTGGCTCTCTCAGACTATTTCTTTTGGCTTTATTCCTGTTTTCTTATTCCTTTTTACGTTAATTACAGAAAAGGAAGAGATTGATAGTGACCTGACAGATGTGCCCTCTTTTCGTGAATACACACTAGAACAGCTTAAGATCGCCACCTCTCACTTCGCTTTGGAAAATGTTGTATCTGAACATGCAGAAACAGCCCCAAATGTTGTCTATCAAGGGAAACTGAAGACTCATAAGAAGATTGCTATCAAGCGCTTTTCTGGAACTGCCTGGCCTGATCCACGCCAATTCCTGGTATTGACATGTATCCTCTAGTTTATCTAATTGCCTATTTCTCATATCTCTTTCACTTTTTGGATATGTCTGTTTCCAGGAACAAGCAATATCGATTGGTCAGCTACGCAGCAAAAGAATGGCCAATTTACTCGGCTATTGTTGTGAAGGCGGCGAGAGGTTACTTGTGGCTGAGTTCATGCCTAATGGAACACTAGCCAAACACCTTTTCCACTGTAATATTTATGCATTTGATCAATTATCTTTTAATGCTCTTTTTAGATTGTTTGTCTTAGTATTTGCATTACCACTTTTATTATCTACCAGGGGAAAGACAGCCAATGAAATGGACGATGCGACTAAGGGTTGTCTTATACATTTCAGAAGCTCTTGAATACTGTAGTAACAAAGGACACGCGCTGTATCATGATTTCAATGCTTACAGAGTTTTATTTGACGAGGTACATCCCATAAAATAAGCTTTTTTCTGAGAGACCAATGTTTTGTTTCATGCTATAATCCTCCACTGACGCTTTTATAAGGAATGCAATCCAAGACTTTCAACATTTGGGTTAATGAAGAATAGTCGGGATGGGAAAAGTTATACCACAAATCTTGCTTTCACCCCTCCTGAGTATCTACGAACTGGTGAACTTCATTTCCCCCTCTCTCGTAAGTCATATTTTCCTAACAACTTGAGATTTAAGTGTGTGTTGATACAGGGAGAATCACAGCAGAGAGTGTAATTTACAGCTTTGGCACTCTTCTGCTTGATCTTCTCACCGGAAAGCATATTCCTCCTAGACATGTAAGTGTCTATGGTATTATTATTTTTGTTAATCATTTCTAGAATTATCTTTATTAACCATTTCACCTTTATGCTATTTTTTTGTAAGGCCCTGGATTTGATTCGAGACAGAAACCTTCAGACTCTAACTGATTCCTGCTTGGAGGGAAAATTTTCCGACAGTGATGGCATAAATTTAGTACGCCTGGCATCTCTCTGTCTGCAGCATGAAGCTCGTGAGCGGCCAAACATAAAATCATTGGTCACTGCGCTGATATCTCTCCAGAAAGACACAGAGGTTCCTTCTTATGTTCTAATGGGTCTGCCTCAGAGTGGTACTTTTGCGTTACCTCCGTCTCCTTTTGCTGAGGCTTGTTCAAGACAAAATCTGACTGCTATGCACGAGATCTTGGATAAAATTGGATACAAAGACGATGAAGATGTAAGTCTTCAGGTTTTATGGTTATCAATTTTTATATCACTTAGAAGTTAGAGCCTTTATGGTTCTCATCACATGAAGGTTTCTTCATGTTTAAGTGCAGCTTTCGTTTCTGTGGACGGAGCAAATGCAAGAGGCTATAAACTCGAAGAAAAAAGGCGACATTGCATTTAGAAGGAAAGAATTTAGTGAAGCCATTGAGTTTTACACGCAGGTTTGTCTTTCTTTCGCACTTGAATCTGTAACAAGACCTTCCTCCTTGGTTGACAATGTCCCTGTCTATAAAAATATCTCAGTTTCTTGATTTGGGAATGAGGTCTGCAACAGTCTTTGTGCGGCGCAGTTTAAGTTACCTGATGAGTAAAATGGCGAAAGAAGCTTTAGATGATGCAATGAAGGCTCAAGGCATTTCTCCTGTGTGGTATGTTGCATTGTATCTGCAGTCTGCTGCTCTTGCTATCCTGGGGATGGAGAAGGAATCACAAATCGCACTTACTGAAGGATCCAACCTTGAAGCCAAAATGATTACAGCTTCCACACAGAATTAAAGACTGGGTTTTTTAAAAGATGAAGCTTTGATTCCATAAAGGAAAAACAATTGAAAGGTAATCTGTTGTCTCAATTATACTATTTAAACCTTCAACGCAGAAGCTAATCCATTGTTTTCAATTGATACATAAGACTTCGGGGTGTGCGGACACCAAGTGAATATAATACAAACTCCATTAACAGATGAAGAAAGCAAAACAAAGCTTATAATGTGTTTTGCAACTCGACCTCTGCCTCTGCCTCCGGTTGAGTAATTGGGTGAGAGCTTCTGTATTCTTCCTTTGACATACCACAGTAAACAGGGTCTGTGCCTCCACCGGTTGTGAAGTTCCAGCCAAATGCCGACCCTCCAACCACCTTGTCGCCATCTCCATGAGTGTTCAGCTTCTCGGATTGGAGACTGTTTGTCTCAGATGAACTCAGAGCAGTAGTACTAGTAGTAGTAATTTGAGGTGTTTCATTAATGGCCTTTCCATTGGATAAAGACTCGCTCTTAGCTGTTTTCTCACGTTTGGGTGATTCTCCTCCAATCATCTCTTGGTAGAGTTGAAGCATAAGCTTCATCTCTGCAAACAGCATCAATTTTTTTTTAACTTGGAGAATCAAGCAAAGTTGGGACTTAGTATGCTAAAGTGAAAATAGGGATAACAAAAAGTATGAGCTCTCTCACTCGCTTGAATCTCAAAAGCTGCCTTACAGTTGCTGAAGTCTGGAGTTCGTATAACCTGTAGCAGCCAAACAAACAAACAAAAAAAAAAAAAAAAAAAAAAAAATCTCAGTCATCTTTCACTTGCAAATATAAAGAGTTGAAATTTCCATCACAATTTCGCCCCCAACTGCATCTAAAAAGTTAAAAAGCACCTCGAGAACGTGAGGGCGAAGATCTTTGAGAAGGAGTCGCATCTTGTAATAATTGGAGTTTTCAATCTGAAGATTCGCCTCCAGCGCTCGCTTTCTTCCCCTTGGCGACGGATCCGTGGCAACTGTCGAAGGAGGCTGAGCCTTGGCCACGGGAGGCAAATCAGCTGATCTCTGGTCTGCAGATGTAGGAAGTGGAGGATCCTTTGCTGGAAGAGATGAAGTAGCAGGAGGAGGAGGAGCCTCAGTGAGTTGAGTCGCCGGCGACGTCGGCTTCTCCATTTTCAATTTTTTTATTTTTCAAAGGTTTTCAACCGCCGAAAAAGAGATCTCCTTTAACACAACCTGGATCTTAAAGAAACCACGCCGTGAATATATTTGGGCCTCTCTCTCTCTCTAGGCCCATATTTGAAGTGAATAGATAAACGGCATGAAGTCTTACATTTTCAACTCACAATATCCGGAAATGTGTGTCGTTTCACCGAGTAACATTGTCATTTGAAATTCTTCTTGTGGTTACTTCTCTCCCTCCAAACAGACAAAGGTGGTGACTGGTGAGGGTAACGATTAACGCGACTGCTGTTGCATACTACTGCTCTAATGCTCTTTGATCCTGCGATTGCTTCCTTTTTTGTCCCATCAAAATCTTGATCAAGTTTTGATTCCGTGAAGGAGTTCATCTTTCCATCATAGAATTCTCAATTCCCTCCGACAAGTGACAGTGAGAAGTAAGATGCAGCTGACCATGATTGAGTGTAGTCTTCCAGTGTCTCGGTTTCTCGCCTAACAAAGACGGTGGTTCGTCGACTTTCTCGAGCGCTCCAGTTGTCTCCTCCGTGTCACACTCCAAGGGGGGGTTATTGGGAGGATGATTTTAAAAGAGTTTATGGATTTCTAAAGTTTAGAGATTTTAAGATTCTCAAAAATTTTTGTGGATTCTAAAATAATGTTTACCCAGATTTCTAGAGTTTAATAGATTCTTCATATGATAGATTCTATAAATACTTGTGAGAATTGCAGTATTTTGAAAGTTGTTTTTAATGACTAAATATGTAAGGAATCATTAAACCAATAACACTAGAATTTGATAGAATTGGAAAATCAATAAATACTCAATTTTTTGAATAACAAAGGATTTTAAATAGAATTACAAAATACATACACCAATAACAAGAGATTTTATTAGGAATCTAAGAATCTATAAACCAATAACAATGGAATCTTAAACTCTAAAAATCTTTAAAAATCATTCTCCCAATAACTCCCCCCAAGACTTGAGTTATGTAAACCAAATCAATTCGCTTTTCTCGGAATCAGTTAACGTTCAAGGAATCGAATACGTCAAAGTCTTTCTTTTCAGTAAAGTAACTTATGTATAAAAAACATCCGTACGGATCACTATTGATAATTAAGCTGAAAGCAATAGTATTAAATTGATTACGGCAGAGATAAATATTCGCTTTTTGACTTTTATAACCATTAAAGCGGAAACAAAAGACAAGTGGAGTGTTTTTTCGACCTAACAAGTAATACATCGAACAACAAACGACCACCGTCGGATCAGGTATTACCTGAAATCTTGACGGTCTACATTAAAACAAACGAACTACATACAAGAAAACTAAATGGCACACTCATTGACCACCATATATATAAACGGTCTCGTGTTGCCATAAAAACGCAAAAACGAGCGTTTTGCGTTTGCGTTCCGGCAGGAGCGTCAGGAGAGAGTAGGAAACTAATAAGGCTTCGGCATGTACATGAACATATCCTGCAGCGGAAACATCTGATTACTCCCTCCTCCCCCGAACGCGTTATCCACGGTGGCATCTATGTAATTAAACCCAAAATCAAGGGTATTATTATTACTTACAGCCGCCGACCAATCCTTCCACTTGGGCTCGCTCTGAACCTCGCTCGTGAACTCCGGCGACACCACCTGCTCCGAGCAACTTGACTCCGTCGTATGCAGCTTCGGCACCGAATCCGACGTGTCGAAATAAACGAACTCACTTCTCTGTTGCGGCGGCGGAGGCATCCCCATCTCCGTCACCTTGGGCTTCTCCTCCACGATATCCTCGGTGACAACAGGAAGCGGCGGTTGTCCTCGTCTCTCGATGGCCCCCTTTTTGTTGTAAATCCGGCAAAGAACCCAATCGTCCAGCTGGGAAAATGAAGACCGTGGGATCAGCTAGATGATCGAAAGAGAGAGTATGGAGAAAAATAGATCTGATTCAATAAATGATCCTAGGTAGTTTACCCTGAGGCTGTTCTTCTTCTTGCGAACGGAGCGGTCAACGTCGGCGAGACGGTACTCGTGCATAATCCAGTTGGTTTTCTCTCCCTTAGGAGCTTTGCCGGCGTAGAAAACAAGAGCTTTCTTAATCCCGACCGGTTTAGGAAGACCAATTGGTTTATCAGCTCCGGTGGCTTTCCAGTAACCAGAACCGGCAGACCGGTTAGGACGCGAACCGTTGGGATATTTTCTATCCCTGGGAGAGAAGAAATACCATTCCTTTTCACCGTACAAGGCTAAACCTGTAATTAATAAATTTATGATGTTATTATTAGCAGAGTATCTCAGATTTCGAAATCAACGTATATAGTGAAAAAGATTCAAAGAGAGTAAAATCACCGGGAAGCTCCCAAGGATCGTATTTGTAGAGATCGATCTCAGCGATGATGGGAACGGCGATGGACTGAGAAGCGCATTTGCGGCAGAGATAGTGCATGACGAGCTCTTCATCGGTAGGGTGAAATCGGAATCCTGGGGGCAGCTGTAACTCTGACATAGTTGTTCCTTGTCCAATTTAGAGAGAGATTAGGATAGTGGTGGTTGGGGGCTGATCCTAATCCTAAATCTTAAATCTTTTCTAAAATGCTCTGGAAACTTGGCGTTTGAGAAACTTTGGAAAGGAAGAGAGAAAAGTCAAATATATAAGGAGAGGGATAGGACACGTGTCGACACATAGGGATAGAGGAGAAGAGCTTCTAGAACACACGTGGGTGGGATGACGCTGCCGAGACACGTTTCGCTCGGAGAAGTCAGTTGCTGACGTGGCCATGAGTTGATGTTGTCACTGCTTACGTCTGGTCCTTTCCGGGGTCCACACTCTTCACTCTTCTTCACTTTGTTCGTAAAAATCCAAATCCGACCGGTCCGATACGACCGAACCACCACCCCACCCCCCCTTTTATGTATGTATTCATTCTTTTCTTCGTTTCCGGTCGGTGGATCTGTGGTCCCACTTTTCCTCCGCAAACAAAATTTTTTGTCTTTTTGCAAAAGGTTCATATCCGACGATTAAACGGTGGGAAAGTGGTCTCTAGTAATCTCCATTTTTTTTTACGGTGAATTATAAGGGTTTAATGGCAACTGGTTCAGGGTTCCACGTTTCTTTCTTCTTACACTGATGAAGCTTGGATTTGGGTTTTTGGTTCATGATATTGATAACATTCCAAAACAGAGGGTAATCTCGGCCATTATTCTTCTAGAGTTCATGTTTCCTTCAAATCAGCGAAAAAACCCATTTCATTGTCGAACAAGATTAAACAGAGGCTATTGTACTATATTATACTACTCTTTTAAGGTAATAAAGGCGAGGGATGTTTAAACTAATAAAAATTATGTATAATAGAAAGAAATATCCGACCGACCGGTCCCATAAAGATAGATAGATACCCCGCGGATTAGATATACAAATTATTTTGATACTCAGGCGGCCCATCATGAGAACGCCGGAATCAAACAGTGCGTGAGTGATACATTCCACAGGATTGATTTATTTATTACCAGACGGTTTTTTGTCATCTTTTATTCGCGGCACGTCCTACTCGTAATCATGTATGTATATATTATTACCAGACGGTGGGCCATTCAGAGCTTCGCCGTGACGGAGGGTTTCGGAGGTCTTGCCTCTCTTAATAGGGCCTCTTGCGTTAACGATACAACCAGCTGTTTCACAATTTCAAAACAAAACCAGAGTCAATTCAAAATATTTTTTTGTATCCTATCCAATTTGAGAAAGATGTGCTAACTTTTATCATCTTTAGCGTCCAAATATCTATTTTTTTTCTTTAACAAGGAAGCATAAGAGTAGAGAGTACCTCTCCTTTTCTGTTGAACATTTCACCAGTGACAAAACCACGGGTCTCATGTGCGGTAGGACTGACAATCTGCAAGCAGTATCATCGTTGTGTTGTAAGTGGCTGACCCTCATATACCAAACAGGTTTATAAACAACTCTAAACCAATACTCATTTTGCTCTTAAACAAGTTTAACTCATTCTTTTAAACATGTATATGATTTATATGTTTCTTCTCATTCATTAAAAAAGAGCACCCTAATGTTCACAGAGAAGCAAGGATAGAAAAAACTACCACAAAAAGCAACCAGTCATCAGCTCTTAGAGGTCGGTGAAACCACATCCTGCAAACCAAATGAGCAAAAGTGAGTAGTGATAATTACTTACAACTTTTATTTGGAATAATGTCTCAATGTAAATTAAAAATTAACACAAACATATGAAACTCATATGCCACCAAGAGGAAATAAAAACTTACGCATGGTCCAGGCTGAGTGCAGCGGATCTCAGGCCCTTTCTGCGGTGAGGGTTCAAACCAACACCAGAAAATATTAAATCCGAGGCAAATGCAACGACACATCTGCATAACAACATAGTTTGCCAGATTATTAGTTTGCTAAGAATGATAAATCAAATTTCAGAAAGATCGGCATACCATCAGATTTTGAATGCTATTAAGAAAGTTTGGCCTTTAAGAGTCCCAACCATACTTCAAATCTATCAATTGGGGATACTAAATCTAAAATACCTTCGATTCACTTGTCTCCAATCATTATTGCTTTAAAAGTCGAAAGCATTGTTACCACATGAATCATTTCAAATTTTATATGGCTACCCTGATTTACATTAATGGAGGTACCTACCGGTGCAAAGCTTGGTCATCAGAAAGCTTTCCCTTTGCTCTAAACCAATAGTTCAATCTGCAAGAAGATTTTGTAAGAATATATACAGTATATATATATTTAGAACCACTTAATGGAGGTAAGTGATGAGTTTCATGTGTAATCACATGAGCAATGCAGTTTATCAGTTCTGCTTGCTTTCCTGGTATAATGTACAAGTACATCGATAGGAATGTTTTATTTAAGTGAGTTCTTAACCTCGGAGGAGACTTTGTCTGATTTGTTGAATTGCTGGGCTCACAAAATCGAATCTCTATAGGCCATGGAACAAAGTTTGCAGTGGCAACTTTGTTCCGGTAACTCCTGAAAAGAAAGAAACAATTGGGAGACTGGTCCAACTTGAGCTTCTGAAATAAGTTTTCAACTTTTCATACATTTTAAAACATTATCACTTACCTAGGTAAATGAGGATCAGTTATACGACGTTCACGCAACTCCTCCAGCGATAGAAGCTACAGTAGATAATGGTGAAAAAAGAAACGCTTACAATTTATTGAAAGCCTTAGATCTAGAGAAATGACTTACCGTATCAGGATCTGGCACAGAGGGTATGGTTGACTCCTGATGATCAAATCCTTGTTGCTCTTTCTATCAAATTAATGAAAGAGACGATTTCAAAACCAGTTTTCAGAGTTTTGTGAAAGGTGATCCTCTCTTGGTGGCAAATGGATGTAGATATTCATGTACTAAACTGAAAGGATTTAAAACGGAATACCTGAAATGATGCCAACAAGATGAATACGATATTTCCTTTCTGTACTGCATCTACTCTTCGGGTGGCAAAGTTGTTCCCATCACGTATGCGGTGAACTTGATATATAATGGGGACTGCAAGAGGAACAAACTATGATAATTAGACGAATATAATAGCAAGCTGGGTTTCAATAAGGAAGAAAAGTATCATAGGTGGCTGGTAAGGGCACAATGAAAATTATGTTCATACTATCAATATCTCCAACGAGAAGAAAATAGGAGTGTAAACTGTGGACTATCTTCAGAAAATCAACAGTTTTTGATGCCGCAGCAAGTGCCTGTAAAATGATGGTAAAAAGTGAGTTCGTAGTGGTTATGGTTATCACTGCCTAAAAATGACACATAACATAACAAGCTATATACGCACATGAATACAGATCAGCAAGGTTTATAGAGAAATAATGTAACCTTCCTAGAGAAAATGGCACACCTGTCCGACAAATTGTCCTCCGAAAACCTTTCCAAATTTGGGAGCATCAGGTAGTGTGACCCCCCTGAAGATATTCAACTACAGGAGAATAGGAGGGGATCAACAGCATATCAATTCCCAACAATACTATGAAAGTGACATAGAGCTGTACAAGTGGTGAAAAAGAAGAGCAGTGGGATGTGCGTACTTCTAAAGGGTCCAGTTGCAATATGCGTTCCACTAAAGGGCATTTGTCAACAGCGGTATCCGATTGCCAGATGGAATTTGTCTGAAGGAAATGACAATGATCACGCAGCAACACCAAACATGTAAGCTGCAATGGAAAAGGTACGAAAGGAATATATTCAGCTTAAGGACACAGAAGCGAATAATGAAAAGTCAGATAACTCTGAAGCAGGCACCTGGGACATAGCAACAATGTCTGCTGAATGAACGTTGCCAGAAATACCTGTAGGGAAAAGAAAAAGAGAGAGATGGAAGCTGAATATATGATGACCCAACAAAACCATGAACAGAGATCAAAGTGGAAAAATGAAGTGTTTGTTTAGAATGTCTCTCACCAAGGCCGAAGTAATCATATTGTTTCAAGAGAAATTCGGAACGGTTATCTTCTTCAGCTGGTCCTGAAACCTGAGCCTGCAAGAAAAGTTGGATGGAAATGGGGAAGGAAGGAAGCAAAGACAAAGATACAAATGAAAAGGAGGAAACAAAACCTCTCCTTGAAAAATAAAGTAACATCCATCCCAGGTTTGATCTTCACGAACCACATAATCCCCTTTACCTGCAAATAAATACTTAATACCCTTGAGCTTGAAATCGTTTCTATAGAATAGAGAGCGAGATTAAAACCGTGGAAGCGGATAAAAGCAGATACCAAAGACTAAAGAGCGAGAAGAAATTGAGAGAGAGAGATGACGGACCGTAACGTTTCAAGACAACAACTTGAGCGATTTTCTTGAGAGAAGAACTGGGCAATTTCTGGAGTAAAGGGACGTTTCCAAGGAACTCGACAACTGCCAGAAAAGACATGGATTAGGGCCTTGGATCGGGGAGGTCACGCCTCAGATTTCAATATACAAATCTCTTACCTGATTCGGTGTTCATGGCGGATTCGGGTAGTCCGAAGAAGACGAAGAAGAAGAAGATTGGTGGATTCGATTCGTCCACCGCCACACCTGAGAAAACTAGTCATTTATCAGCTGCCCTCCGGTTTATGGAACACTACGTGGACTCGCTTCGATTTTGATTTTCGTCACGTGATACAATATATTATTTTTAAAAATAAAAAATGTAGTGCATACAGGGATGATTAATAATTTAATAGAATGGTTTTTTTTTGTCACTTAAATATAAACAAAATACTACTACTAGTACTAGACTACTAGCGCAGATAATATAATAGTATACCAGTAGAGTAGTAATACAGTATGATATGTATTTTCATTGAAAATCAATGCTTTCTCTTTTACCCTTTATTTTATTGTTTAAATACAACTGTATAACTGATTGCTCGGAGATGAATGTCAGAAACCCGAAGCTCGTTAAACTAAAAGATGGGAACCTTCACATTTTTTTGTCTGAATCTGATGAAGGCTTGCAATACAAGAAAACGTTATCTTATCTGCTGTTCTAAGATTTGCTACAAATAGACCAAATATGAAGGATCTGGCTTCATCTGGTTTTTGGCTCTAGTTTCTTGCGTTGGAAGTCCTCATCAGTTACTTCAGGACCGAATTATCATCAGAAGCAGAGTAATGTGTTGTGGAAGATATTTGCACGATGTCCCTCTGATGCACTCTTCAGATGAGAAGAAAATGTTTCAGGCAGAAACAACTGGTCTGAATCAGTGTGTTTCCATGGAGTACGATGATGATGATCCTTCACATGATAAAACCAAAGAGAACGACAAGTTAAATGTTCTTAAATCTATGGTTCCCACGGTTAATGAGGTCAGTAAGCCTTATAAATATTTTATCGAACAATGAGATCCCCAGATCACCGGACATAAAACTCTGTTTCTGAACGCAGGTAGACAAAGAGTCAGTCAGTCTTGAACAAAACGATCAAGTACTTGCATGAACTCGAAGCAAGAGTTGAAGAGTTAGAATCTCAACATGGATGTGTTTCTCGATTGCGTCTCACAATCACGATGGAGTGTTCGTATTGAATCTTAAAGCGAAGGTAAATTAGGTAATAAAATACGAAAACGAATCTTCTCCGTAGGTTTTGTGCTTTCTTGAATAACACGGTGCCTTTGGGTTAATAGTTTCGTGGTCGTGGCCCGTGGGGATGCGGTTACCTCAGTTGGAATGATCAAACGAGAGCTGAAGAGACTAGTACGCGAAAGCTAATTCAGAAACATCGACTTTTTGGTCAAGAAAACCTAGTATTTTTTTTATATACCACAATAATTGGTAAACTCTGTAACATAATTTTATTATTTATCATTATTAGAATTACAACACATGCTTTTGGATATCTATATAGCTTCCAGTTAATGGTACGCACGTCTGTATCATGAACCATGCAAAATACATAACATATCCTTCTCCATTGCATTTGATCTGATCATGCATATGCTGTATAGAGTATATAAAAATCTGATGTATTTAGATTTGTCAATAAAATGGAAATAAAATAATTAGATGAGTTAAATCGTGAAAGCTACATGGGTCCAAAAGCTGACCATGTGAATATGTGATAATTCCATAATACTCTTAATTTATTTATGAACCGTTGACACACAAAAAAAAGAGTTTAAAATATATTCTATATACGGTGTTCCTAATTTATTTAGAGACGTTTGGTCAAAGTCAACAAGTGAAAAAACGTATACAGCTCCATAGAACCAAAATAAAAAAATCAAAGAAAAATCTGATATATTTTCGCACATTTGAAATTAATTACGATCTTTATAAAATATGTACTAATTATTGTTGGTTATGGTATAAATAATTTAACTTAATTTTAATTTGTTAAGCGAATACCCAAGTAAAATAAACGTTATATTGCGTAGAAAAAAATAACTTCGTAGCTCCAGAGAGAGAGGTTTTATAAACGTTATAAAAAAATATTCAAATTTTAAAGATCAAATCTGCAGAAGATTTAAAGGTAAATTAAATAAAGACCGTTGCTTTTTCTTGTTTTCTTCTTCTTCTTCTTAAGTTACAATTTATTTATTTTATTTTTTAAAGAAAATTCATATACTTTCATCGATAAATATTGTTGTCATATATTAATCTGTTTGTTTTTTGTTTCTCTTTTTGCTTTTTGATTTTTGATTTAGGCACGCCTAACCTTAACGGTCTCTCAGCTTTTTTTTGTTTCTTGTTGTTGTGTGTGTAATAAAACATTTGTTTGCTAGTTTGTTCTTACTTTACTAGCTGGTCCAAGAATCGGAAAATTATTCGCTGTTCAAATTTTCAGATTTGAGTAGATTCATATTCTTATGCTTTTTACCTTTTTTTTTTATTTTTTTTTATTCTTCTGATGAATTTTAACGCATGTCCAAAGCTTCTTCTTCCTTTACATTATTTTTTTCTCACTGTTTTTATTTTCTTTCTTTCTCTGAAACTAAGAGAGACCAACAAAAGCAGAGGAATTTTCAAAAAACAAATCTTTGATAGACATGGAGAATTTTTTAAGTCCTGAAGAAAACGACGATGTAGGAGGATCCATCGACCCGAATGATCAGTCAGCATCTGAAACTCCGGTTTACTCGACGATGAGCACAGATCCCTTTTCTGACCAAATCGATGACACCAGTAGCGTCTGTAGTGAGGCTTCTCCTAGTGATTGGCCTGTCTTAACCGAATCCAATTCTTCCGTGAGCTCTATTTTTATAACTGCCTTTAAAACGAAAAAGACTCACAACGAACCTGAGGAGAATCTTGCTGTCCAAGAACCAGGTTTTGTGTGTTTCCCTCTATCTCTATCTCTGCCTGTGTGTCAGAGTCTTGGAAGTTGAAGCTGTTCTCCATATTTGTGCAGAGTTGGAGACGATGAAGGAAAGATTCTCGAAGCTTCTGCTTGGGGAAGATATGTCTGGAAGCGGCAAAGGCGTTTGCACCGCAGTTACAATCTCAAACGCTATAACCAATCTTTATGGTAACTAAAACTCTAAGCCGCCTCACCGTACTTTGTGACTCTCAAACCTAAGCCGTCTAGATGAGAGAAACTGTAATTAATCATCTTTGTGATTTCGAGATTGCAGCTACTGTTTTTGGACAGAATCTAAGGTTAGAGCCATTGGAGATTGAGAAGAAGACAATGTGGAAGAGAGAAATGAATTGCCTTCTCTCTGTATGTGACTATATTTTCGAGTTTATCCCAAAGTCACAGAATCTAAGCAATGGAGCCACTGTTGAGGTAAACAAGATTTGCTTACAATCACTTTTGCTTAAGACCTGAAATAAACAATCAAGTTGAAAAAATGTTCTTGCGCTTTTTGTTTGTTTGTAAGGTAATGGAGAGTAGAGCAAGAGCAGATATCTACATCAATCTGCCTGCGCTCAGGAAACTAGATTCCATGCTTATGGTAATTGCTCTAGAAAATGAAGATATTGATACGTATTCCTCGTAAAGCTCATACTCCTTGTTTTTTTTGTAGGAGGCGTTGGATAGTTTCCAAAAGACAGAGTTTTGGTATGCAGAAGAAGGAAGCATGTCAATGAAGTCATCAACACGTTCTGCAACTGGATCATTCAGGAAAGTGATTGTACAAAGGAAAGAAGAGAAATGGTGGTTACCAATTCCTCTGGTTCCATCAGAAGGTTTATCAGAGAAAGCAAGGAAACAACTTAAGAGCAAGAGAGACAGTACTAATCAAATCCATAAAGCTGCTATGGCCATCAATAGCAGCATCCTCGGTGAAATGGATATACCAGATTCTTACATGGCAAATCTTCCAAAGGTGTAAACAAACAAATGGTCATTTTCAGTTCGGTTTCCTTCATTTGGGATCTTCTGCTGATCTTTGCATTTGCAGAGCGGAAAAGCGAGCACAGGAGATTCACTCTATCGACACATGACGAGTTCAGGGAGGTTTTCACCAGAAAAGCTACTAGATGGTCTCAAGATCGTATCAGAACATGAAGCCCTTCAGTTGGCAGACAGAGTAGAAGCTTCAATGTACACATGGAGACGCAAAGCTTGTCTCAACAATTCCAAGTCTTCATGGAATATGGTGAAAGCTTTAATGTCAAATACAGAGAGATCAGACAAGAACTATGTTTTGGGTGAGAGAGCAGAGTCTTTGATTTTCTGTCTGAAACAACGGTACCCAGAGCTGTCTCAGACATCATTGGATATATGCAAGATTCATTACAACATGGTAAGAATGTACAAACAGTGGCTTGAATCATGGTTTTATGTGGTTAGAACAATTTCTGGGATTTTGATATTTATCTTTTGTGATTTGCAGGATGTTGGGAAAGCTGTGTTAGAGAGTTATTCGAGAGTGCTTGAAGGTTTAGCTTTTAACATAGTTGCTTGGATTGATGATGTTCTTTATGTAGACAAAACCCTAGGAGGAGAAGAAGAAGAAGCATAACTACTTTTATAATTTCTTCTGTCTCCCTTGTAAATTAGGTAAAATCGAAAGAAAATTCTATCCCATGCTTTGTTCTTTCACATGTAAGAAGAAGAACCAAGATTAGATTGAACGAACATGCATACTCCAAAAGCTCGATCCAAGCATAAATATAATTAATAGGATTGGTCGCACAAGGCCCATTCACATAAAATGCTGGCCCATCAAGACGAAACCCATTCTCAACACTATCTAGCCCCCCAGGGAAGATCAGGAATTTCTTTCGAAGCCCTAGCAAGCTTGCTTATCTCCCAAGTAAATATCTAGCTCCTGATCTCACTGTCTCTTTCGGAAACGATTACGGCCGTGTTCCAATCTCTCCATCTCTTTGAATAGTGCTCTCTCTGATGATGTCTGATTTCCGTACTGTCTTTCCTAGTTTTGATGATAATTTCTCGATTTCCTTCGTTAGGTTTTTAGAATAGTCGTCTAGAACGATGGCTGTAACATCTGTCTTTTGGGACATCAAGAAGTGTCCGGTTCCCGATGGCTTTAATCAAAGGATTGATATCATTCAAGTTCCGGGAATAATAGCAGTCCCGTCATAACAACATTTATGCGGGCTTATAATAGCTCTTTCTACAATAGTAATTCTCAAAAACTGATTACATTGGAACATAGATCAAACATTAACATTCATGCAATAGTAGTAGGCTGGGATGCAGCACATACTTCCAACATGAGTGTTTGGTTTCGAATTTTGCCAACATACCCATTCTGTTCCCAAAATTTCTGTCTAGTACTTTATTTAAAGAATCTTGAATACTACTAGTTTCTACATATCTCTTTTATGCAATAACCATTTTTGATCATCCCCTCTTCCCAAGTCTCACTCATGACTTCTTCCACTAGTTCATCTAGAATCAATTCGCTAGTCTCAAAGCCAATGCACTCGAGGTCACATCTAGTGTCTAACCAGCTCCTGGGTGTAGCCATCTCTTCTCTAACTATTTGGTCCAACGGTCTAGGGATTTGCATTGGCAAGAGATGATGATAAACCTTTTCTTGAACCTCGCTAACAATGCTTTCAATGCTAAATGCCAAGACTTGGCTTCTGGGTTTTACAAAGGAAACCCATTGAGGATACCTGCAGAAATCGAAGAGAACTTCATTGATGCCGTCAAAGAGGAGCTCGTGGTCTGAACAAAGCTTATTTGGATAGAATGGTATGTTGCTGATCAATGCTGGATAAAGAAGCTGGTCAGAGGATTCCGTTTTCAGATACAGCTCTTCCCAGTTCGAGTCTATTGCATCCAACACCGCTTTTATGTACTTAAACACAGATTCTTTGTCATCCATCCCACCGGTATCTTCTTGCAATTGGCTACACTGAGGTTTTTGTATCTTTGCTTCACCTGAGAGTATTGTCAAAGATGAGTCAATGCCTGTTCATAAATTGAAGAGTTCTAAAATCTAAGCCCCTGTAAGCATTGGATCTTCTTTCCATACCTCTTGCTGGATTTTCAATGAATAGCGGCTGATATGGTGAGGCCACAGAGAAACATGAGACAGTGTCAGTTAGAAAGAACGAAAGCAACCAAATAAGTTAATAGTAGTTCTTCTCTGTTTTGTTTTTGCATAACCAAAATTTGCATAGAGTCAAAAATGAACTTGCCTCTTCCAAGATTCCACCCTCATTCTCTCCACCATGAGCTTCAACTTTTGATATCTCAGCAGCAATCTGATTGCTTTTGGATATGAAAGGGCTAATAGCTTCGAGTGGTGAAGCAGAATCTATCTCTTTGATAGTTAAGAAATCATCTACAGCAGAGTCGCAAAGAATCCTTGGATAAATAATAATAATGTTATTGTGTATTTCTCAGAATGGGATATAATAGAAACTACCTGCAACTGTTTCAGAGTTCATGAAATCATCTGAAGAAGATCTCGAAAGCACGGTTGAATTCTGGTCCCATATTCTTCCCGGGCTGCAGAAAGGAGACGAATACTCGGGAAGCCATACGGTCGTCCTTTGATTTCTTAACATCTCAGAGAGATGTTTCTCGCTGTCGTAGTGTTCTCGATGAGATCTCTTCCGAGATATTGAAGTCATGCGCTCGAGAAAGAAATGATCTTTAGTTGACAAACTCTTCTGAAAGCTTTTCTTCTTCTCCAACAATCTATGGGCGTGCTGCAGTTTCTCTTTTCTGATTGCATGTTTCAGCTTCCTCATGATCTCAGAAAGAGAAAAATGCAGATTCTTGGCTTTGTGTCTTCTCACCAAACGAGAATCTTCAGATATGTGATGTTCACTATCACCATCTTCTTGTGATGGTATCTTCTTCTTCCTTCTGAAAATCCCAGATATCCAGCCTGACTGATGACCTCTCTCTGCTCTATTTGAGCAAAGCTTTTCTTCGACTTGACTTTCCATTGACATCTCAGATATTGGCACTGAGGAACCAATTCCGATATGCAATACTCATATGATTTATAAAGCTCTACAATCTCAGATCTTTTGAAAACAAAACAACTCAATATTTAAAACCCAAAAGCTTCGAGACTTTACTAAGAAACAGAGTATATTATTCAGCAAGAAATTGATTGATCATTGTATCATCGTTTTTGTTTATAGAACAAATCTAAATACAAAATCTACTGTTATTTAATATTTGCTTTTACCTATCTAATATTCTACCAAAAAACGTATTATTGATTTTTGTTTTAATCAAATTTGGTTGAAAGTGTTTATAATTTAGCATCAGTTATCTTGAGTAATCTTTTCTAAACTCCAATATATATATAATCTGTTCAATAACCATATAATTTTGTTTCAAGAGAACTAAGGCTTTTTGGTAGTTAATTGAGCTACTATGGTATGACTTGATTTTTATTATTTTTTTGTATTATTGTGAAAAAAAACTTGGAAAGAATCTAGTTTAGATTAGATAATGATGAACTTCTGATTATGGCCTATTTTGAATATATATATTTTTTGGGTTTTAATTTAAAAAACACCATATTTTGGCTATCTTAACTTTTTGTTGGATATTTTTTTCTTAATTACAAATTGATGAACCTGTCATACCTTTCTGGTCCAATTTATATTAACATTTTGACAACTCATGAGAGAAAGTCTTTTATACATAGAAATAATAATAATAACTATAGAGAACAAATTAGTTGTGAAATATGACCCAATTATCTGTTTGCATGTCATTTTTTCCCCCATCTCATAACTTATAAGAGTAAATTTTAAGAAATATATCATTCACTAAATTTTTAAGAAATATATCATTCACTAAATTTTTAAGAAATATAGAACTCACTAAATTTTACAAAATAATAACATACTGAGATAGATTATGCCATAATGAAAATTCAATAACATATTAGAGTCACAACTGTGAAAATCTATCCAATTAAAATCACCTTAAACATGCTTTAGCTTTCAGGTATAGAAATGTAAAAAAGAGAAGCGTAGCTCTTACTCCTAACTTACCTCGATTTCAGTTAATAATTATGGGGTTACCGAACTTTCTCTTTGTCCTCCTCGCTGTCCTCAGAATTCTTTCAGTTTCCTTCTCTGCGTCCCATTCGAAGTTCGCTCCTGAAGTAATCGTACATAGTTCCAAAAATACAGCTTTGTAATTTAACATATGAACATCTTCTTACTTTATTCTACCACATGATAGAATTTTGAGTTCTCCATTGGTTCGAGAAGAATCATGTTTAAAATTTTTCATACCTTTGGTGTTCCCGTCAATCAAGCACGAAAAGCCCCCATCGATATCTTCATCTGAATCTATGATAACACTGCAATGTTCAAACTGCATGAAATAAATTGCACATTGCTTAGATTTTGAGGAAGTTCAAACGCTTGTTCTATGATAGCTGACCAATGGAAAAAATCCAAAGAATACCTGTGTTCCAGTGCCTTCTGACTTTACTGACTTTCCTGCTGCTCTTTTCTTGAAAATTCTCTGTTTTGGTTTCACCGTCTTCCAAGATCCCACTTGTATCTCAGGGGATAAATATGTTTTCACAGCTCTGGCTGGTGCGTTAGATGGACTGTGAATGCAAGATACGCATTTCTATAACTATTTTTTGGTATAAAATAGGGTACAAGTAGCATAGCTTGTTTGACATACTTTCTGGGAAGCTGTGGTTGTTTTGTTTTCAGTGCAGTATTACAATAGGGATTGCTCTGCAATTTTTTTCATGTGTTAGTGACAGCTGAGCAGGTAAACAAAATGGAATTCTGAAGAGTGCAATTGTTCACTGCAATAGAGTTTGTTACCTTGGTTGCTGGGACGCATTGCTTTGGCAAGTTTTCCTTAACCTGTTGTTTTAACAAAGCCATATTAATTGCTGAAATTTTCAGCTTAAATAGCAAAGACATGGAAAGCAAAAGAGTCTCACTTGTGGTGCTGTTGGAACCTGAACTCTTGGCTCAGGCATCTTTAAGCTCGCCAAAACCTATAAGAGATTTGGTGGTGGGAATCAAAGCATACATGTGTTTTAATAAAAGGTCGAGAAGTTAGAGTTACCTTGGCTGCTGGACTGCACTGCTCAGGCAGGTTTTCCTTAGTCTGACATTTAACAAAGGCTACATTAATGGCTGGAATTTATAGCTTAGAGAGAAAAGACATGGAAAGCATGAGAAAAGACCTGCACTTGTGGTGCTGTTGGAACCTGAACCCTTGGCTCAGACATCTTCAAACTAGTCAAGACCTATAAAAAGTGTTGGTAGTGAGAATTAAAGCATTAGATATACACAAGTCTAAAGATTTATGAAAATCCGATATGACACACAGGCTCTGCTAATATTGATAAAAATGCATACAAATGTTCTTTAAAACACTGATATTGTTAATGACAAAAAAAAAACACTGATATTGTTACCTGAATCTCTCTGGTAAACGTGTGACAGATTTCCCTTTGTATTCTCTGCAGAGCAGATTCTACTTGCTCTGGGATAGCTGTTAGCATCAGAAAGATTTTCTGTAGCTTTTCCTGATTGGGATCTTTGCTGAATTCCTCCAAAATAGATTTAACACCTCCATCAAGACTAGCTTTAGCATCTGCTTGTTCCTTCATCTGCTTGCCAATTAATTATGTATTTTAATAAGTTAAATCCATTTGCACAAGGTCGATAAAGAAACAAGTAAAAACTGCAAATATTGGCTTTTACCAGCTGCTGTAGTGAAGTGTCTTGAAGAATCAACTTTTGCTGTATGCGTTCAGCTGCAGTAAACAGAAGAAACTATAAAGACCTCCATATTGAGTATTGAGAAATTAAGAGTCATTCTTCAAATCAATGGTTAAGTGAAATGGTCTTCAACAAACTGATAAATCTATTGGAGCAAACAATGTCAATCTGTGAATTGCTCCAGTCAGTATCACGTTCCTAAAGAAGTAAAATCAGCTTTGAACGGCTCTACTAACACATCCTGTTTGGCTAAGCAAATGAGATTCCTAGGAAATACACTTTCCTAGACCCGCTGGTCCGCTGCTAGCCTATGTGGTTGCTTCATACTTTGAGAACAGAGCGAATTTGGCATATTCAAATATGTGTGTCTGGTGTAGTTAAAAATGAGACAATCATAGAACTCACTTTCAAGAAATACTTCTTTAGTTCCTCTGTTGGCTTGCATGATGTCGCTCTGAATTGAATCTAACATCATTCCAAACCTGCTCAAAGAAGTTTCCATCATCCCAAACCGTTGCTCAAGTTCATCACTGATCTGACCTACAAAGTGACAAAAGAAGAGAAGTTGAAGCAAAATAAGAGCCAAGCCACCAGTGAACATACTAAACCCAGGCTAATTAGTGAATTCAGAAAGAGCAAGCTCACATTTAGATTCCCCAACTGAAGCAGAACTCCACCTTCTCGTAAGACCGCTGGAAGATCTAGATGCAACCAACTGAGTCTCATCTCGTTTATGATTGATTGGGGGTAAACAGCTAACCTTCTTCAAAGAATAATCTCGTTCCTGAGAACTAAATCTCTGGGCAGAAGGGAAAGCAGCACAAGTGTCAACATTAACTTCTTCTTCTTCAGAAGAAGATAACTCTCAAGTCCCATGAAGTTTGGAATGAGTAGCTAACCTGATCGTTGATGAGGAGGTCTTCGACAGAACTCTGAGTCATCTGAGAAAAACCACAACCACGCTGAGACGAAGGTCCCTGAGAGAAGGACTGCTGCGACGGCTGTGATCGAAGCTGCTGAGATGCTTGTGGTTCAGCTGATCTCCTACTAAATAGATGATACAAAAATTCGAAAGAGAAAACATAATCAGTAGCCAAAACATATAATATACCGATCACTGAACCTCGTCGCCAACCGCAAATCAGATCCGATACAACAAAAGCGGAAAACCCCAACATTAAAAGAAAAAAACCCTAAAACATGAAAATCGCTCAAATCAAGTTCGCTCGCTAATGTGAAATTATTCGCGTGAAAGAGAGAGAGAGAGAAGCGAAATCGAACCTTAAATTAGGAGGAAACACAGATATAGATTTCAGATCGCAGGCTTTGTTGATGTTCATCTTCATCGTAGGATCTCACCCAGCAGACGAGGACGCAGCTCTTCTTCAAATTCACGATAGTGTGTGATCAATCGATAACGAACTTTAGGCTAGAGAGAAAGAAGAGAGTGAGAGAACCCAATTTTGAATTTTAAAAAAGATCGATAAAGAAAGAGAGAGAGAGAGATTGTTATTTTTTAACTTTTCTTGGTGAACTGAGAATAAACGGCTAACGTTAGGCATGAATGCATGTGGCGGTAAAAGAGACGAATTTAGAGATGATGAAGCCCATGGACTGTGTGTATAAACAGCCCATATCAAAGACTTGTATAAAACAAACAAACGTTATATATAACAAATTCGAAAGTGACAATGCCAAAATAACAAAAACCCTTAATTGAACGCTGCCAATCACTATTTTGTTAATGGATCATGGATGTTACCACTTAACACACACCACTCAAAATATTTCCATATTCAGTTTTCTACTATATTATACATACCAATTACGAATTTTTTTTTTTTTTTTTTTTGGTGTGAAAACGGGAGGAAACCTCACGAAAAATAAAACTAATAATTCATACAATATGAATCAATCGAGTAGTTTATACCCCAAACTTTTTGTTTTGTGTTTTTTTTTTTAAATTGACTTGTTAAATTTCTTAAGTCGTCGTCATCTTGACTTGGATATTCTAGGAAAATCCTGTTTTTAATTATAGAGCAAACTTCTTGAATAAGTAGGTAGTAGTGTACACCGAAATTTCTCCCCAAGAACTTTATGATTTCCGACACTGATCACACAGAAACTTAACGTCCAAGGGTGAAGGAATTTTAATTAACACAAGTAATATATTCCTGGAAACTTAAGGATATAAAATAAGCGTAAATAAAAGCTCAACTGCTCGACAGAATTAATTAAAATAATATGACCCAAAGGCATTGACCGAGAAGCACGTCAATGGTCAGAAACCTCCTTGCAAGTTTCTTGCAAAAGGGATAGAAGAGAGAATACATATACCTTTAGATATGTCCCTCTCTGATCGCCTCGGGCATTATATATACATCATGCATTACTACTAGTCATTTCCATTCTCACATACCCTCCTTCTATATTAGAATTAAGAAGCAAAGAAACAAAACAAAAACCCTAGCTAGCTTAGCTAGAAACCATGGGAGGAGACAATATTTATGTTGCCGTGAATCAAGATGTTCGAGAAAGTAAATCAACTCTGTTATGGACTTTGAAGACTCTTCAAGTCAACAAGATCTTCCTTCTTCACGTTCATCTCCCATTTTCGCTGACTACTTCTTGTAAGTAGTTTTTTTTCTTCTTTCTTTTCTTAAATACATTTTGCAGTTTGTTTTCTTGGGGCTGCCGGGAAACTTTGATAAAGGATTGTATAGCTTCAAGTTTGTTTTAGATACAGTAATTGATCTTCTTTTGTTACAAATATTAGATGAGATTCGGGATGATGCTGATTTTTATTTTAATATATACACATATGTCTGCAGATGTATAGAAATACTAATCATCATGTGTCAGAATATTAAAAAAATTTGTTTTTCTTACCAACATTTTTCTAGATGTGCTGATGATATCACAGTTCCCTATTAACATACAAGTAGTTTAATAAAGTCATGAGACACAATCAACATCCTAAATTTTTTAACTTAAAACTACAACAAAAACAAATTAGACCAAATTTGGTCTCCCGTAACCAATTCGATTTTTGGGCGTATGCGGATGTACCCATTTGTAGCTAATAAGTCACACATCATCAGTTCTGCTCTGTTTTTCAACGATCTTTTTGTTTGTGCACTTTCAGCATGTGGGCTTACACAAGGTGAGATCGATGCAATCCAAGATTCAGAACTCAAGACTTCATATCGTAGCCTCTACACGTACCGTGATCTCTGCATAAAAGAAGGGGTGAGTTCTTTTTTCGGTAGAGATGACGGTGTTAATCCAAGCAAAGAATCAACAACACTAGAGTTTGAGGCTTAAGAATCACAGTATGACTAATCTGCTAATCGTCAATTGGTTTTCTTTGTTTAGATATCACTTTAGAGCGAAAAAACGGAATAGTCCAAACGCATAATCGACCCTCGATTGACGGAGATAAAAGGAAACATAACCTTGAAAACTAATTAACAGAATTCTACATGGATGCAGGTTAATGAAGAAGACGTGGACATATCATTGATCTCAGGATATGGTGTGGGTGAAGGTATTGTGGAACTCATCTACGAAAACAGCATCAAGAAGCTCGTTATGGGAGCAGCAGCTGATCCTCACTACTCCAGGCAAGGATAGCTCCAAAAATCAATCAATAACTAAAAGTTTAAAGATTCTTCTAATGAATCAGCCCATGTAATGAAAACTAGAAAGATCAGTGGATAAAACAAGTACGCTAAGCTCTCTTTGATGATGCAGGCGGATGGGTATCACATCTAGAAAAGCAGAGTATGTGCTTCAACATGCACCTCATAGCTGTAAAATGTGGTTCATCTGCAAGGGGAAACTCATCCAGACAAGGTAAGCTTGATGATCACACTTGTGTAGTTTGATTTTATAGGAAGTGTAGAGTTTAACAGAGAGTTTTATATGCTTAATAGAGAAGGAAGTTTCGACCTTGGGACCCCATCAGACTCATTCTCAGAATTCTCTAGTTCAGCAGAGAAACCAAGCAAAGGAAGAAGAAGGGACGAAGATGAAGCCGAGTCACCTAAAGAACAACCAGTAAGTAAAACAAAAGATTGAATAAAAAGCCTTTATAAATAAATAATCTTAAATAGAACATCCACTTTTTTAGTGTCAAGATTGCGAATTGAGATTCATGTGAAACAGGGTTGCATACTAGAAAACGAGGAAGCAGCAAAGAAAGTAAGAATAAGGAAAGAACCTGTGACAGTGAAGTCAAAAAGCAATGGAAGCGAAGCAGGCTCAAGTCCATGTTCTCCTCCCCATGATTATAAATGTCCTATAACATTGGTAAGGAGGATTGAAACCCTGCAACTTTGAACTTTTACATCCTTTTGAATCATTACAAGAATGGTTGCTTCCAGATTAAGCTGCAGGCTAGTTGTTGAATGCATATTCGAATTTCATATGATGTAGGAGATAATGGAAGATCCCCATGTAGCTGCTGATGGTTTCACCTACGAGAAAGAGGCATTCAGAGAGTATCTACGGACACAAGCTGGTAAAAAGAAGTCGCCAAAGACAGGCGAGCAGCTTGAGAATGACAGGCTCACTCCAAATCACACTCTTCGTATAATCATTAGGGAGTGGCTTGAGAAGCACCCAAATTATACTAGCGATTAAAACCACCGCTTATCTATGAGAATAAAATAACAAGTGGAGATAGTGTTGTGTAAAGTTCTTTGTGAAAATGAAAAACGAATATAAGCTATATAGTTACTGTTATATTCATGGAGTCTCTCAATACGATTCTCTATGCTAATCAAATCTGTGTATTTTATCTATGTTTCGACTCTTTATTGTGTTTTTTTTTTTGTTTTTTCTGGTCTCTGGAGACATTTAAAAGAAATTAATGAAGTCGAATTTCTTTTTTCGTCGGCCGGCCTTACGGAAAAGAAAAAAAACACACATTAAAACTAAACCATAGTGCAAACAAAATTGCAAATCACATCAATGAATATTACTAATCCAAGTTTCGTAAAAGAGAGAGAAGCAAGAGATTGAACCTTGAATTAAGAAGTTGGAAGCAGCGACATTAAAGCAAGCTTGGACAGTTTTGTCGTAGGATCCATCCATGACGAAGCGATTCAAGCGAGAGAGAGATCAAACAGTTTTAAAAAGTGAACTTTTAACGGAGGGCGAGCGAGTGGCGGGAGAGAAGAAACGATCCCGCGATTAAAAGTTAAAACCCTAGATTGATTGCTATGGCTTAATGGGCCTTCATCAATGTGACGTTTATTCAGCAAGCTACATAATTAATAACTTAATTAATGGGCCTTGGATTGGATGTCTCTGATCTTTTTTTTGGAGAACATACAGTATCATCATCTAGTCTAAGAAGAAGATCTGACCGTTCACACTAAAACCTCCGTGACGTGTCCTAACCAAACCCCCCCCCCCCCCCCGGATTATTCCCAAAACATTAACCACTTTTTTCATTTTTAGAAGATGTTGACAGGCTCCACTTTTTCCATTCTTCTTGACTTCTTCAGCTCACTGTAGTCGGTTTCAGGCTAATTTAGCGGCGGTCGATAGGTCACATTATTTTGGAAATATAAAAAAAGGTAACCAATCCGAAACGATACTGTCTCACTAGCAAAGCCAAGCTTTCTTTGTTTCTTTTCCCCCTAATTCTCCAACGACTTCGTCAAAGCTTTCCCCGTCACTAATAATCCTAATATTATCTCCCTTCGATTTTTTCGGGTTCTTATATCATATATATACATATTTTAATCTTCTTTGAGTTGACATTTTATTTTATCTTCTTTGTTTTGGATTATATGCGTTATTTTTTTTTTTTTTTTTTTTTTTGGACAAACATATGCGTTATTTTTTAAAAAATATTAATTATAGGAAATGTGTCTCTTACGGTAAGAAAACTTCGTGGGAATGTAGAGTGTAGACAATATACATCTAAGAAAGTCATGGATACTAACCTAAGTTGCATTTAATTAAAGTGAGCATTGGCTCGCTCTCATGTTATTATCTCTTTAGATCTTATCTTTCCTTCTAATCACCTTTCAACCCATTTTTATCTGAATTTAAATATAATTGACTTAGAAATTGGTCGGAAACATCTTCGTAATTAGTTGGTAATGCGACCAATCTACATACAGTATATATTAATGTCTCTGTAGTCTTGTTTGTTTTTTTTTGTATTATCTTGTTTGTTTTGGAAAAGAGAGAATTTTAATCAATCTATAGAGAAAAGTGGAGAACACACCATGGCAAAGGCTTTGAATGACGATCCCGTATATGTTGCAGTAAGCCAAGACGTTGGTGAAAGTAGATCGACTTTGCTATGGGCATTGAGTACTCTCCGAGTCAAAAAGCTCCACCTTCTTCACGTTCACCACCTGATTTCCATGACCCCTTCATGTAAATCATCGCTTCTCCTTTTCTTTTCTCATTTGGTGCCAAGAAACTTCTTTGATCAGGAACGTATTAATCGACCATGTTATATTTTGTTATATATCTCTCTGGTTTGATAGAACTCATCAAGTATCTTGATTAGTTATGGATCACGCACATAAAAGGGAAACTTTGATCAAATGAGGCAAATGATTGCAGCTAATATAATAAATTATTGTTTCTTCAACCTTGTTCTGTATCTTGTTTCATTGGTGATCAAGTTATACTTTGGTGATTCCTAAGATTCTTAATTTTTCATAGGAAGTAAGTTAGGGATTCAAATGGTTGCAGCTCGGTCTCTGTATGTGTGTTTATGTGTCTGTGTGATGTTTTACCAAGCCACTGATGATTCCTGCTTATTGAGGAAGGTCAAGCTTGTGTTCTTAAATGAAGTCATACATGCTATGTGAGTTTCCTTCTTTTCTTTTCCTAATAGTGTTTGGTCTTTTGTTTCATTGTTTGTGTCCAGCAAGTGGGCTGGAACAAAGTGAGATCGATGCAATCCAGGAGTCCGAACAGACAAGTATAAATGAGAGCCTTCTCAAGTACCATGATATCTGCATAGATGAAGGAGTGAGTGCTCCCAAATGACTAGCTTCATTTGTTTTACAGCAAAAAAAATTCGATTAGAATTGAATCTATAAGAGTTGAGAACGCGTACTATGTATTCATCTGCAATATTATAAAAATTGCAGGTTATTGAACAAGATGTGGAAATGTCATATTTTTCAGCAAATAATGTGGGGGAATGGATAGTGGAACTTATCTATCAAAACAATATTAAGAAGCTTATCATGGGAGCAACCGCTGATTCCCATTACTCTGAGTACGTATCTTGAGAATCATTCTGTGTCAATGCAGTTAAACAATTACCTCTGTTCTGCAATAATCTGTGTGATGCTAGCAAAGATGACTCTGTGAATAAGTAAATGTTCACTCTAGTTACTTGTCTTTAATGATGCAGGGGCATGGTTCAAATCACATCTACGAATACTGAGTATGTGATTCGACACGCACCTCATTGCTGTAAAATATGGCTTGTATGTAATGGCAACCTCATCCAAACGAGGTGAGATGGAGGATTATATACTTCAGCATGTTTTGAATAATTGTACGGTTTATAGAAAATATTCTTTGTTAATCAGGGAAGGAAGGTTTGAGCTTGCGGGATCATCGTACTACTCCTACTCTGAATCCTCAAGCAGCATTCATAGCCTTGATACTGATATGTTACCATATGGGGGCACAAGAAGAGCTGAACGTGTCACTGAGCCACATCCCTTTTCCTCATCTGAAGAACGATCGGTACGTAAACCCCACTTTGGCTAGCATATAGCATTTTGAAGGATTTTTTTCTTATGAATTTGGAATTTTGAAAATTGCGGAAAACCTCTTAAAACCATTGGAGAAGATATAAAGAAATGAAATTGTGATTGATTGATATAGATCTAACACCTCTCCTTGTTATCCCAAATTTGTTTATCTCCTGCGCCGCATGTCTTAAACCGCCATTGTAATGTCAAGTTAACCATGTTAGATCCTTGTGCTGGTGTATTATATCTGCAGTGTAGGCGATACTTATTTGTTCAAAAATTGTGACGGTTCAATTAAACAGGCTAGTGGGTTTGAGACGACGTATTACGAGGAGCAGAGACGGAGATTAGAAATTGAAGAACTAAAGAGAGAAAAGGAGCAACGCGATAAGATGAGGAATGAAAGGGAGGGGGCTCTCTCAAATTCTTTTGGTGTCACTCAGATATTGTACAATGAAGAAGTAATCCGTAGAAGAGAAGCGGAGGCGGAACTAAACAGAGCGAAAGATGAAATTGAAGATATGAAAAGGGTCCAAAAAGAACACGAAGAACAGCATTATACTGACTGTCGTCTGTTAGAATTGATCCAGAAAGAGCGAGACGAAGCTATCAAGACAACTGAAGAGCTTTTGATACATCTAAACCTGGAGAACGCCGTATCATCACTTTCACCATCATCCCCGTTGCAGTGGTCTCTTTCCGACGAGCCTCCCCAATGCTTCCTCTGTCCCATTTCAAAGGTACTTATACCCTCCATGACTCCATCTAGAAACCATATTTATATTGACTTGGCTTCTGCTCAATATCTCAACATTAGTTTTCTAAGATACATACATGTTGTTTAAAACTAGTTTTCCATTTAAGATTTGTTGTCCAAAGTTAATTCATTGCCATTGCTCTTTTATGTAGGAGATTATGCGTAATCCTCATGTTGCAGCCGATGGTCACACCTACGAAGTAGAGGAGTTCAGAAGGTGGCTCCGTCACGGAGGTGAAAAATCACCAATGACAAACCTTAGGCTCGAGAATGACAATCTCACCCCGAATCTTGTTCTTCGTTCAGCTATTAGAGACTGGTTGCAACAGCATCCATATATCGATGAGTCGTCTTAGGATGTATATGATGTTGACCGTATTGTGATTCATTGAATGTGTTTATGAAAAAGTAAATAAAAATGTCTTTTATTCACTGAAAGTGCCGTTTCTCGTTTTGGTATTTTTTTTATGCACTGACTTCTGTTCTGATTGCCACCGTTGACTTTACTGTGGTCACTTTACAGAACCTGAAACGGTCAACAAAAAGAACATTGAGGGTCGCCACTAACCACTGTTAGTTTCTTTCTGTTAGATTCTTCTCTGTTTCGACCTTTTCATTTATTTAGGAGAGAAGAAAGATAGAATACAAAGACGAAAGAAAGAACATCAATGGCGGAACTCATGGCCATGGGCAGTGATGTTGTTCATGTTGCAGTGAAGAATGATGTCAGGGAGAGTAGATCAACTCTGCTTTGGGCTTTGAAGAACTTAGGGGCTAAGAAAGTCTGCATTCTCCATGTTTATCAGCCAAAAACTGCTTCTCCTGCTGGTAATCGTCATTATTTCAATCCCCAACCGACTAAAGATTGAGATATATCTAATTTCTCATGGTGCGATGTATGCCATTTGTTAATGTTTGTTTAAGCCTAGGAAGATGATTCAGAATTTTTGTTGTTGCTTTTGATATGTTAGCTCGCAAGCTTGAAGAATTGGAGGCTATCATGTACGAGACATTACATGACTATTTTGATCTTTGTCAACAAGAAGGGGTATTAATCTGTTGCACTCTTATATTGTTAAGTTCTTTTAGTTCTTGCTTTGAGATGGACGATGGTTGTGATTGCCCTGATTCTTGATTTCTAATTAGGATGATTGTTATGCAAAAGATTTCCCATTGATACACTATATTGGATTCATTATAATCATAGGTGAATGAGGACGATATTTACATATCATGTATAGAGATGAACGATGTGAAGCAAGGGATATTAGAACTCATCCATGAGAGCAAAATCAAAAAGCTTGTCATGGGAGCTGCATCAGATCATCATTATTCTGAGTACGTATAGGAAATCTGTGAAAACTTTGAATCTCACCAAAACGTTCACTCGTATTGACTTGCTGAAAATGGCAGGAAGATGTTCGATCTCAAATCCAGAAAAGCAAAGTACGTGTACCAACACGCGCCTAGCTCATGCGAGGTTATGTTTATGTGCAATGGACATCTCATCTACACAAAGTAAGAGTTTTCACTCTCCTTACTTATATCCCATATATAAGTTATATGTTCTGTGGCTTGTCTTTGAGGAAATTTCCTGATTGTCTCTGAATATTTATTACTCAGGGAAGCTAATCTTGAAGACCAGGTCCAGGTGGATGAAACAGCAGCCGAAGTTGGACAATTGAAACTGAAGCTTTCTTCCTCTGCTTCACCGAAATGCTCTGCAGAATTGGTATCTGCAATTGTAGCTTACATTGACACAAGGAGAGACAGAGACATGTTAGAGCCAACCGCATCAGAGGATCAATCTGTACGGTCTATACATTGTTGGTATTGTTTATTAAGATGCATAAACGATTTGTTTACGCAAAAGACGTACAACCAATATATCATGTTGTGTTTCTGTGTCTATTACTGAGTGAATGAAAGCTCTATGTTATGTTGCAGGAAAGCGACAGGAATGATCAACTGTATAGACAGCTTAAGCAAGCACTTATGGAAGTTGAGGAATCGAAAAGAGAAGCATATGAAGAATGTGTCAGGCGATTTAAAGCTGAAAATGCTGCGGTTGAGGCCATTCGGAGTGTAAAAAACCTGCACAAATCCATAATCTAAGACATTGAAAATGTGTCTTTTTGCTTAGACTTGCTTCTTTTTACTTTATAGGCAAGAGAATACGAGGCCATGTACAATGAAGAGGTGAAGCTAAGAAAAGATGGTAAAGAAGCCTTAGCAAAACAGAGGAAAATGGTGGAAAAGACTAAACAAGAGAGGGATGATGCGCTTATCATCATTCTGAATGGAAGAAAGCTATACAATGAGGAACTGAGACGCAGAGTTGAAGCTGAAGAGATGTTGGGAAAAGAGAAAGACGAACACGAGAAAACTAAGAAGGAGATCGAAGAAGTGAGAGTCATTGTTCAAGACGGTACTGTCAGAAACAGAACTGAATGTTTTCTTTTAGACAATTAGAGATTTCACTGGATTTTTTTGCAAATTAGGTATGCAGCTGTACAACGAACAGCTGAGACAGAGGAAAGAGATGGAGGAGTCTATAAAGAGACAAGAGGAAGAGCTCGAGAAGATAAAGAAGGAGAAGGAAGAAGCGTGCTCGATAAGCAAGAACTTGATGCAGCTATATGAAGACGAGGTGATCAATCTTCTTAGACTTAATGCAGAAAGTAGAAGTTATATAATCACCATATTAAAAAGTTGTTTTGACAGGTGAGGCAGAGGAAAGAAACAGAGGAGATGGGAAAGAGAAGAAGGGAGGAGCTAGAGAAAGTGAAGAAGGAGAAGGAAGAAGCTTGCTCTGTAGGACAAAACTTCATGAGGTTATATGAAGAAGAAGCAAGACGTAGAAAAGGAACAGAGGAAGAACTCAGCAAGGTCTCGGCTGAGAAAGATGCAGCGAGCTCAGTCTGTTCGGAGATTCTATTGCTTCTGCAGAGTTACACTCGTCGCCATGGAATTCCTTCTGGATTCTCCAATGAAGAATCCGTTGCACGCCAGCCTCCCTCATATTTCATTTGTCCTATCTCACAGGTACGTCGACCAGGACACATGTAAATCATAGTTCATACATATTAAGAGCATTTTAACAGAACAACCAGAACTGAACCCGAAACGAAACCAAACCAAAAGTCAAAAGTGAACAGGTGTGAAACAAATCGGAATGAAAAAAAAAATAACAAACCGAAACCAAATGGGAGTTGAAACCCCCAAAATGTCTATTTCCAAATATGTTTTTTATGTTATCATCTGCATTATTGCTCTTGAGTATGTCTAGAACTTATCTAAAGCACATTTGGTTTTGTTTCTGATTGATTTTTAGACAATATTGGGTTCGATATATTTGGCTACCGCTGGTGAAAATGTTCAGAAGTCAATGCTCGTTTTTTTTTTTTTAATTGGGTTTTGTCAGGAAGTAATGCGAGAGCCTCGTGTTGCGGCGGATGGCTTCACCTATGAAGCTGAATCCTTAAGAGAATGGCTCGACAATGGTCACGAGACCTCACCAATGACGAACCTTAGGCTCGCCCACAATAACCTTGTCCCTAACCACGCCCTTCGTTCGGCCATTCAAGAGTGGCTCCAACGAAACTCTTGAGTGTGTTTTGAATCTCGAGTATATGTATTTGTGTTTACCAAAAGTTTGTTATTTGGTGTGACTGGAGTGGAATTCACAACATTCTCTGTTTGGTTAGGTGCAAAACACCCATTAAAAAAAAAAACAAAATGCTTGCTGTTTTGCTCTATCACGAGGAACCTGTCTGCCGGTAACACATTCGGAAAACGCCCAGTAGTGTTACTTTTTGGCGTTGTCTTAATTAATGAACGCGTCACTATCTATGGGCCTGTCTTACTAGAGATGGCCCAACAAAGGCCCCACGATTTTTGCGTACGTGACAATTAGATCAGTAGCGCGACGCGTGTACAAAATGACCAAATGTGATGCTAATCATCGTGGGAGACAGTCATTGGCCAATACATGGATCATAGTATGAGGTCGACCACATTGGATCGTTAAGATTAGTATAAAGGGTTATGTAATGGTTGTATTACTGTAACATGCGGTCTTGTCGGTACGGTTCATACGGATTCAATTGTTTTAATTTGTGATATCTAAAATAATTAAAAATTTGGGTAGCCGGTGATCGGTGGATTTGAAGTACAAATATGCATGTTCCACGCGCAGCTTGTCTGTTAGATGTTCCACGCACATGCCAGTTTTAATATAACCGATATTTTATCTTTGTTAATCAAATGTCCCATTCGATTCATATCATTTTTTGATTAGTTTTTTAAATTATTTATTGAGTAAGACCCACTTTATATTATAGTGTATAACTGTATATTAACCTTATTCGAACCTGAAATCATCAATAATCATAACATATATATATACATATATCGATCAACATGGCATCATCAAATACTTTTTAATGGCATATGTACGAGACGCAGTGCAACCGTCCCGTATGTCTCTTTAATATTTATTATCTTGAATTTTGTCTTGTGTCGTGTGTATTTGATAGAATATCATATCACTTGATGGAGATATTTACAACCTGACAATCATTAGATATATTTAACTTTCTTATTAAAAAATGTCACAAAACGCAGATAAAAATAAAGTGTTTGACATATTTATAAATTAGGATTCCCACAAAAAAAAAAATCATATGCGATTTTAGTTTTTTAAAAGTAAACCATTGTGCTATGTCGAGTTAATAATGTTTGTTTTGTGTCATTTCCATTAATTACTCCACATGTTTTTGTTCTACACGCTTGTTCCGTTCCGTTATCACTATCAGCAGAGCAGATAACACTTTGATTTTTAAATAGAAAAAAAAAATCGTACGGACAAAGAATTCAAATAAAATAATAAAGGTCTAAAAAAAATTTGTATGTAAACACTGTAGACACCAAAACATCAAACACGCGTCCCACGCGCCAAAGGACGAGAGAGTCGCACCCCAAAATAAAAGTCAAAACCAGCGTTTTAAGCTTTACTTGTCTCTAAAACGACACCCACCTTTTTTCATCTCTCTCTCTCTCTTTCCCACGAGAGTTTTTTTTTCCCTCTCTCTCTCTCTTGTTCCTTGTACCTTCCTCCATTTTTTTTTCTCCATCTTTCCTCTCTAATCTTTTTATCTTCTTCATCTTCTTCCTCCTATTTACGATTGTCTGTGGAGCCAGTTATGATCTTGTGGAAATCTCTCAGCTGTTTCTCGTTTGTTTTCGGGTTGTTGCTGTACAGTGCTAGTTTCGTTTCTGCTGGAGACATAGTTCACCACGATGATTCCCTCCCCCAGAGACCTGGCTGCAACAATAATTTCGTACTGGTAAAGATTAATAACAACTGATCCTCTTCACTTTTGATCTGTGTTATATATTAGCTGAGTCTTTTTTTTTTTTCTTTTTAGCTCCTCCCCTTTGAACTATCTCTTTGTGACTTTCTGGAAATTTGGAATTACTTTAGGTTTTGGATTGTTTAATAGGGTTTAATGGTCGATTTCTTCATTTTTATGTATCCTATTTCTAAGGTTTCCTGGTCCTCTATATCTATTACTATTGCCACCAGCATATAAGTGAAATTTTGGTATTTTTTTGCAAACTCTAGAGGAACTTTTGTGAGATTTGATAGTCATTCAGATTTTTCGACACTTGAGAACTGGGAGAGTAGCTATACCCAAACTCCATCGCTTTTAGTCGCATGGACTCTTAGTATTATATGCTGCTAGCTTCTTGTTAAGATATAATTATGGAGCGAATTGCGTGTGTGAAGAAATTGGATATGATAGATCTGGTGGAACACTTATCTTTTGCATTGAGCCTATAGAGTCTCCCTGTCATGCCATCTTCCAACTTAACTAGAGCCCAATTTCATGGACAGGTGAAAGTCCCAACTCGAGTTAATGGGACGGAATCCATGGAGTTTGTTGGTGTTGGTGCTAGGTTTGGCCCAACATTGGAATCAAAGGAGAAGCATGCTACTCTCATCAAACTTGCTATTGCAGACCCTCCTGATTGTTGCACCACACCCAAAAACAAGGTTGCCATTTTTTACTTTGCCTTTTTTTTTTTACTCGTCCTTCTTCTTGGTCACCTGTGTAATTCCGGGTTCATTTTCTTTCTGTAGCTTACAGGAGAGGTCATTCTTGTTCACCGTGGTAAATGCAGTTTTACCGCCAAAACTAAGATAGCTGAAGCAGCTGGTGCCTCAGCCATCCTTATAATAAACAACAGTACTGGTAACTCACTGAAGCCTTTTCTTGTAAATATTACTCCTCTAGTAGTCTCTGCAGAGGTGATACTATTTATTTCCCAAACAAACAGAACTCTGGTTATTTTCTTTGCAGATCTTTTCAAGATGGTCTGCGAGAAGGGCGAAAATGTTTTAGATATAACTATTCCTGTTGTTATGCTGCCCGTTGATGCTGGTAGAAGTCTGGAGACCGTAGTCAAAACTAGTACAGGTAATTCTTTGTATGCATCCAATTGTACTTGAGCAGACATTCTTCTTTCTTGTATTTTACCATATCTTAACATAGTTTGGCATCTCTCGCTCTCTTTCTTTAAGTTGGTGTTGACTATATTTGTTCAGTCACTCTGCAGCTCTACTCGCCGAAACGTCCAGCAGTTGATGTGGCTGAGGTCTTTCTATGGCTTATGGCTGTCGGTACCATTTTATGTGCTTCTTATTGGTCTGCGTGGACCGTCAAGGAAGAAGCTATTGAGCAAGACAAGCTGCTAAAGGTGCTTGCTGGCTCAGAATTTCGTACAACTTTATACTTTGGGCATCCACCATGTTGTTTGAAAATTTTGGTAGCTAAGGAAAAGTGCCCTCATCCGTTTGTTATTGTTTTGAAACTGCAGGACGGATCAGATGAACTTTTGCAGTTATCAACCACCAGTTCTAGAGGTGTTGTTGAGGTCACCGTGATATCAGCAATTTTGTTTGTAGTGGTTGCTTCTTGTTTCCTAATCATGCTCTACAAGCTTATGTCATTCTGGTTTATAGAGGTGTTGGTGGTACTCTTTTGCATAGGTGGCGTAGAGGTCAGAATCTTTATCTTGTGACCAATTGAAATCATACAAATACGTAACTGAATCATCCTGTTACTGATTTTGAAGTTTCGTTGGTACTATCAGGGGCTGCAAACCTGTCTGGTCGCTTTACTCTCATGGTATGTTTATTTTGTCTCATTAACATTTCTCCGTCAGGAGCATGTTTCACCTCTTTTTGCTTTTCAAAGAGCAATGGAAACATTAAGATGGACAACATCCCCTGATGAATTGAATACTATAAGAAACACTCCTTATTCCAAAAACTGATACTGACGTTGGATTTATTATAGTTTCAGATGTTTCCGCCGCTTTGGAGAATCATATGTCAAAGTTCCTTTCCTGGGTGCTGTCTCATACTTGACGCTGGCTGTTTGTCCCTTTTGCCTAGCATTTGCTGTACTTTGGGCAGTTAAACGACAATACTCTTTTGCTTGGATAGGGCAAGATATACTTGTAAGCACAACTTTCTTCTTTTTAAATTCATGTTTTTCTATGCCACTTACTATTAAATTTCCATATAAGACTACCATACACATACCTAGTCTAACAGATAACAGAAGGTAACACAGCTTAATTTGCTTTTTCTTCTGACAGGGAATCTCACTAATAATCACGGTTCTTCAAATTGTTCGTGTACCAAATCTTAAGGTAATAGCCATTTCCTTACCAAAAATGTCACATAGACTTTCCATCACTTTTCCAGTGTATACATTCTTACTATGTGCTTACGAAGTTGGCACCTAATAAATTTGTTTTAATGAATATTTAACAATCTGAACCACTGAATTGAAGACTGAAAATTTGATTGCTGCCGGTAGACGGGACAATCATTACTGCCAATGTGTAGAAGACCAATCTGTAAAATTAGTATCAGTTATCATGACTCATTGAACTCTAATGTTAACAGGTCGGGTTTGTTCTTCTCAGCTGTGCCTTCATGTATGACATCTTCTGGGTTTTTGTTTCGAAATGGTGGTTCCGTGAAAGCGTGATGATTGTTGTAAGTTCCTCCTGAATTTTCTTTTTGCTGCAGAAAACCATTTTCATTCATACAAGACTATGCAAGTTGTTCCAACTACACATACATATCTGTCTGCTCGACACTGATATTTTCGGGAAATTGTACGTCCTTCCCCATTTTCCCACCTATAGGTAGCACGTGGTGACAGAAGCGGAGAGGATGGAATCCCAATGCTACTAAAGATCCCACGTATGTTTGATCCCTGGGGTGGCTACAGCATCATTGGATTTGGTGATATAATCTTACCAGGACTGCTTGTAACTTTTGCACTGAGGTTTGTACTGTTACAATCCCCTTCCGCTATTTCGTCTTATTAGTATATATCAAGATCTCAACTAAACTGTGTCACTAGAGGTATACAATAGCTTGAAGTGATGTGTACTTGCGGATATCGATGTAAGTCAGGACAACAAACCAATAGAGGTGCTCAGAAAGAAAAGCAAAAACAAAATGCATACGGGTAGGACATAAGACATTACAAAGTCTAGTAAATAGATGAGTGTGAAAGAATCAAATTCACTCAGAGAAATCAGCTTAAGAGTGCACTAGGTAGACAAATGGAGACAAGATCTTGTTTAAAAAAGGAATAGATACTGTAGGGATATGTTTTCAGGTAGTCCATCTTATCATTTTTTGCAATAAAAGGGATTCATGATCAGTACCTTAATCTAATGTTGAATGCGGTTTAACGGTAATCCATTCTACAGATACGACTGGCTGGCGAACAAGAGGCTGAAATCAGGATACTTCCTTGGGACAATGTCTGCTTATGGTCTAGGTATGATCCCTCAAGCAGGGAAGAAATGAAAAAGGAATTCCAGCTATAGGTTTTTAATAGCTATTCTTGTAATCACAGGTCTTCTCATAACATACATAGCTCTAAACTTGATGGACGGACATGGGCAACCGGCTTTGCTTTACATTGTGCCATTCATACTCGGTAAGTAGCCATATATAAGATGTTTAGGGTAAGCTAAAGCTAGCTGTCTGAAAAAAGTGTGAACAATGTAAGAATTAATGGGTTGGGGACAATATCTGTCAGGTACTTTGTTCGTGTTGGGTCACAAGAGAGGTGACCTGAAGACGCTATGGACAACAGGGGAACCAGAGAGGCCATGCCCTCACGTTCGCTTGCAACCTCAAGCGTCTTAAAACAACATATGTATCAGATGATCGTCTAGTTTTTATTGTTAATACACACACCCCCCATCTTAGGTCTATATATATATATATCTCTTATGTACGCTTTTACACAACCAAGACCAGGAGAGCACATACACACCCTTCGCCTTAAAAAATACTTTTTAACCTCTCTTGCTACTTTACTTTCGCACAGTTTTATAATAGATAGATTTGGGTTCTTTTCCTGAGTCGTCATGATCATATTTTCTTTTACATATCCAATACATCATACTAGTATTTATCAACTATTATTATAAGGAAAGGTCACAAATTTTTATAGAGGAACTTATTATTGCTTAATTTCTAGACTATGCCATATTACTTTATTTCAGGTTTTTGCGGAAGAAAACAAACAATTATTTCATATTTTATTATATACAAAAATAATAATATTACAGAACTGTATTTGATATTTTAAGATCAGATAAAAAGAGTTTGTTAAGATATTCAACGAATATAACGACACTTTCGCTTTAACAGAATTCCTAATATATCTTTACTTTTGAGAATTGATGGATTATATTGAATATTATTTTCCTCTACACCATATAACTAAAAAAACATATATTAATTGGCGACGACACAAGTCAAGTAAGACCAACATTAATGGTAGTATTTAAAGGGTATTTTAGGAGAAGATACCCTTCACAAAGTATATTGCTACTTTGTGAAGATACCCTTTAAATACTACAATTAATGTTGCCCTAAAAAAGTAAAGAAGAAACAAAGTACTAAAGAAAAAGAAAAAAAAGAAAAAAAAAAGGTAATAAAGAGTCTCACAGAGTATCTCCGATCATCATCGTAGTGAAGAAGCCTGAGATCTTACACCTACAAGGCTACAACGGCTCTTGAGTGAAGACAATCTCGCTTGTCGCTACTCAGTAAGATCATCATCCTCCGTTTCCTTATCTCTTGTGTGATAATGGCTTTAGAAATCCTTTGAAATTGGAATCGCCGCCTCTACTTTATTTTATTTTATTTGGTGGAATCGTTTCCTCTGTCTTTGTTTCCGACAGTAAGTAAAAGGATCTTCACCGATCCGCGGCTTTGATTGAATTTTGTGTTTTAAGTTGTGAAATTGCGGAAGCTTTTTAAGTTTTAAGATTTGAAAGATGATGCCTTCCTTGGATAGTTGTGTCGTGTGAGTAAGATAACCTCTCTCTCTCTCACTCTCTGAAAACGCTTACGGTTTGTAGATCAATCTGAACCCTTTCAATGCAATTGACAACCCAGCCATGTATGGTTGAGTTTTGATCTTTGTATTCAATCTCAATCAATATAGTAATATACTTTAGCTTTTGATTGTGACAGGCTGAATAAAGCAAATGGCAGAAGCAGCGGAAAAGGCAGCTTTCCTCGGTGGTCTTGTTGTCACGTTCAAGGAGCAAATGCACACTGATGTTCTTGTTAATCCTGGTGACCAAGGTTCACCCTTACCAGCTCACAAAGCCGTTCTCGTATGTTTTCCTTTCTTATCACTTTTTTATTATACCTTTTTGTTTCATCTTTCTGCCCAAACTTGTTCTTCTTGTCTCAACAAAGAATGACCCTCTTCTCAGTGATTGTTGAGTTGCTGATACCAAATTTCAAAGTTTTGTGAAATTCACTTTGCAGTCTTTGTGCAATGGGACAAATGTTTTACCATCCATTTACTTACTTACTTGCATGGACTGGTTTAGAAAAAAATATGCTTGGATCAAGTAACATCCCTAGATATATTTGTTTTCTTTCTCTAGGCGGCAAGATCAAAGGTCTTCAGGAACATGTTAGATTCTGATGAATGCAAGACCTCAGCCGAGGAATCAATCACTCTCCCTGATTTGACCCACGACGAACTCAAATCTCTTCTCGAGTTCCTCTACAGCGGAAACTTAAAAGCTCCATACAGCCAATACAGAGCGCTCTATCTGGCTGCTGATAAATACGACATTTCATATCTGCAAGAGGTATGCAGAAACCATTTCATTGCATCTCTGAGCTCGAGGAACGTCCTAGACACCTTAGAGCTCGCCAGTGTGCCTTGTGATACACTCTTGAAAGAAGCGGCCATCAACCATATTGTAAAACATATGGAAGAAGTGGTTGTTCCCATGAAATACGAGACATTTGTGCAGAGGAACCCGGATCTAAGCGTGGAGATCACTAGGGCTTATCTAAGAGAGACCAAAGCCAAACTCAAAGATCATGGAGCTCCTTCCCTTGGTTATAATCGCCCACGCATGTTCTGATGAACAAACACCTTGTGTAAGTGGATCGATGAGTGCTTTTTTTCTTCTTGTAAGATTGAAAATTGTTAGTAAAGACTTGTTTTATGGATTATCTCAACGTGTTAAAATGATTCATGTAGCAGCCTTTTTTTTATATTGTTTCGGTTAGTTGAACAAATTGGTATTAGATTGGCAGGGAAGAGCAAGAGCAAGCTTATAGTGTAGTAATTTTATATATAGAAAGATATTGGGATTACATGAAATTTAAAGTTTGTTTTCGATATTTATATATCTTTAGTTTTTTTTCTGACAGTAAATATAAATGTTGGCATTTGGCAACACTCGATAAGTTTGTTTTGTTTTTTTTCATTTTATATCAAATGAAAAAAGAATAGTGAATAAATTGGGAGGGGATAGAGGTGGGCCGCGTGGGAACCAAAAGAACTAGGTCTCCTGGATAGGAACAAGTGGTAATTTGCCTCCGTAGATGTCGGGGAGTTGGCTTTCGTCTATGTCTTGAAGCAGAGTTGGGGTGAGTTTCTTGTTCTCCACGAAAACAATCTGTCGGGATTACAAAATACAAACAACAACAGAGTAACAAATTAAATCTCTTCCCCCAACAAAAAAAAAAAGAAAAACAGAGTAGTGTAACAATTTTAAAGTTACCTTTTTCTTTGTGTTGGCGTCAATAAAGGGGTAAATGACCTTCCATGCAGTCATGAAAACGTAGGGGGCATGAACTATATAGAGTTTCCCTAGTCTCTCTGGGTAACAATCCTGGAACAAACCATGTTTTAATTTATTTATTAAATTTTCAATTTGTTAAAAATTATAATGTAGCTTTCCACTGTATATATGATTTGTGGGGGTTACTCATTGTCAGAACCATGAGCACAATTATAAAGTTCCTTTCTTTTTTAAAAAAAAAAAAATCCATAAAGAGAATCAAAATTCAATAGAAACAAAATAAAAAAGAGCAGATTGTGGCCACAAGGACCAAAATAACAAAACCTGATCACCTACTCCAAAAATAACAAAATAACCTTTTAAACCAAGTCTTAACAGAAAGACTGATCACCAACTCTAAACCTAGTAAATAACAAATCTAATGGTTTATTAATTATTTAGTCAGAAGCCAAATTCTATTCTCTGTTTTTGGAGTTAAGTGAATTAGTAGCAATATTGATGATAGATGCTAAAACCATTATGTTTGTTTGTTATTTTTTTTTTTAAATAAAAATAGATGAAAGGCAAAGGAAGTTACTACTAGAATATAACCTGCAGAGTGGAAAGAGCAGCAAGGTAGCCGCGGATGTCACAATGAGAATATCCCCATCCTTGCAGATCTCCGATGGTTACGAACTTCTCTTCACCTCTCGGCATTCTAACATTCAATTACCAACAATTATTATTAGGATCTTTAGCATAAAATAAAATCCCCACTAACTTAAGTTACAACTGATCATCGGTGGAGAATGTGATTTGACCTTGCGCATATCTTCTCGAGGGTGTAGACAACAAAACGCTTGAACTCCTCAGGGTTACCTTTGGAAGGGTTATGTCTGTTCCCAATGGCAACAACGATGGGTCGACCCTTCTTGTCATGGCCCTGCATACACACCTTCTTGTGCGACAGATCATTCGCAATCTCTGATTCAGCTATGTGCCCTTTCGGGAGCATGCTTCTCTTCCAAGTCAGGTACTTGAGAAACAGCGTTGAAGCCTTTTCAATGTCGAGGTCACGCGCTCTCAGAAACCGCCTTATCATCAGATCATCCACCTCCTGCCAAACTCAGACAAAAATAATTCTTAGCTATCAAATAAGACTTTCTTAGGTAGTTGACTTTCTTGAAAACAATAGAAAGGGACCTTAGTTGCGGGATCTTGTCGGTCGCAAAGAGCTCTCATGATCCCGACTTTGCTCCTCTCGATCTCATCTTCGATCAGCGGGCCATTGTCTTTCTCAGCAGCTGCTGCTGCTGGTTCTTTGGTCTCTTTGTTATCCATTGCGTTTATCTCCTCCGGTGAGCGAGGAGGACCAGATCTTGAAATTGGTAGAGAGAAGAAGAAAGAGGTTGGGAAAGATCATAAATGAAGACAGATGATGAGGGGGAAGATAAAGTATATCATTGAATGCAAGTTGGGCTTCTCTCCCCTTCAATGGCGACACTCACCTACCAATACTACTCTTCCTTACAATTCCGACTCATTTATTGACTAATCCCAGTTCTTTTGTCGGGACTCTACAGGAAGAAGACGATCTCATGCTCCAGTTATTTGGGCCTAAATTAAGGCCCATTGGTCCAAACGCAGCCTTTTTCCGTCGTAATCAAAATTGCTAAAGACTTTTTGTGTAGTTTAGGCCGGTGAATTGGACTATTCAGAGGCCCCTTTACAGTTAGTCAGTCAGTTAGTAGCCCATGACAGAAGCTGGTCTCCTAGTGCGTGTTGTCAAATAAAACATACTACAGTACAGTATTATACTTGATGGATTTTTGCAAAACGAATTCGTATTTTTTTTGAAATATTATTCCCTCATGTAGGAGCAATGAAAGGGGGGGGGGAGGATCTGCTTCGTTGCAAAAAGATATTGATTTGATTTGTTTTGATTGAACGTACCAACCAAGACAAGAGTACAGCTAGACACATTCATACAAATTCAGTTAAAAATTCCTAATCATAGCTAATGATGTTAGATAACAACGCGAATGTCATGTCATAAGCATTTGTTTTATATATACGGTCCACGCCTCATCTATAGACTATAATGGGCTCTCTGGTCGGGAACGCCCCAATAAGAAAGAAAACACGAAACAACAACACATATAATAAGCTTAGGGATCATCCCATCCCATATTTTACTTGTACTGTACATGATTTATATAGTAGCATTTGATAAAAAGAAAAGTATTTGTCTTGTTTGGTTGCTGTATGGATTGAGAATACAAAATAAGGAAGTGGGAGCAGCAAAGGGAAGCGAACATGTGAATGGTGATCACAGAAAAGCAAAGATGAGCTGTTGTTCAGTGCCCCGCAAATGGAAACTAATCTCCAATTATATAATATACTAGCATTTAACCCGTGGTAAACCACGGATCCATAATTTAATAAATTTGTTTGGTTGATCATTTTTGTATTTGGTTTATATAGTCTAGTTTTATACGTGTTTATTTCATTTAATTTTACATACTTTTATGATTTTTTTGTAAAACTCGCAGTACACCACGTAATAATTTTGTTGTAAAAAAAATTATATTTTAACTTAACTCGTAAAAAATATTTTATTATAGACAACCCGTAAGAAAAATATAATCCTATTTATGTAAACTCAAATCCATCCAATCATATTTATTTACAATATTATTATATTTTTAAAAATTAGAGTTAAAATATTAATAATACTTTCAATTAAATGTTAGAAAAATTACGGCATTAGTAAGAGTTTATATAATATTTTAAACCATTCTAAGAAATTAAAATTTATAATATTTTGAAACTTTTTAAAAAATTTAATTTTCTTAAATATATAAACAGATTAAACAGAATAAATTTTTTAATTTGGATGCCTAAGAAACCAAATTGCATGCTCATTTGTACTTGGAAACATATTAGTCATATTTATAATGATTTTGAACTCTTATATAAACATTTTCCCTTTATCAATTGAGTTATATACGTTCTTTTTCAAAAATTTAAATTTCAAAATGTGTGAATTTTTTTTTGTATTTTTATTATAAATATTTTTTATGTAATAATATAAATGGAAAATAAATAAGATTATATAAATATATTGGAGAGAGATTCAAATTATTAGAGAGATATTTTAGGAATTTTTTTTGATGTAATAAATATTTATTTCCAATTTTGAGATTTGCTTGTAGTTTAATTACAAAATTTACTTTAAGTTTTGTTATTTATTCAAATGGCAAGAGTTTGATTATGCAAATATTACAAAATAAAAAGTTATAATCTAAATTAGATTTTAGTATAAAATGTACTTCAAAAATGTTAAGATAGATATATATATATATATATATATATATATATATATATGTGTGTAATGCATGCTTTCGACTTTTGAACTTTAAATACTTTATAGTAGTCACTATTTTTATTATGTTAGTCACTATGTAGATATGTTGTACAGGTAATAATAATAGACCAGGCACACAGTATTCCAGACGAGAGAGTGAATACGAGTTTTTATAATAAAGCGAGAGTCGCTTTCCACCCACACACTTGTTCACCTTTTTTCTTTTTTCCCTCCAACGGTCGGAAGTAACTTTTGTTTTTATTCGTCGGCTAGTCAAAAAGCAATTAACCCTTTTTTTTAACCAAGTTTCCAACTTTTTTTTCTTTTTTGTCGTCCAAAAAAAGTCGAAACTTGGTTTAAAAAAGAGTTAATTGGTTTTTATTTTTTTTGTCTTGGTAACGGTATCTAAAACTTTAAACTGGCTTCGGCCTTTAGGAATGTGACACCTATACTGTCCAAAGGCAAACAGGGACCCTTTTATTCTTTGTTGGCAAAGAAAAAAATACCTCAAGAGATAAGACAACTCAGAGAAAATAAAGTAAAGAACATTGCTATAATTATTTCTAAAGAAATAAAGTAGCTCAAACATGTTAGTATTAGTAGCCAAGAGAATTATTAGCGTGGGGGTTTGTTTACATGATTATAAATCATCAAGTCCTCCATTATACTATTAATAAGTATATATCATCGTTATCCATTATTGCTTGATTCTCTGTTTTTCTCTTTTAATATTTTTAACAGATAAATTCATATTTTCGAGACGTTAGACTTTGCTTTTTCTCAATTATTATCTCTCCTCTATAAAAAAAAGAAACCCACTCTTTCTCCTTCCGAGCCACTCACTATCCATTCTAGAAAGAAAGAAAGAAAGCTGAGAGAGAGATGGAAGGGAAAGAAGAGGATGTTCGAGTTGGAGCGAACAAGTTCCCAGAGAGGCAACCCATTGGCACGTCGGCTCAGACCGACAAGGACTACAAGGAGCCACCTCCAGCGCCATTTTTCGAGCCAGGCGAGCTGAGTTCTTGGTCCTTCTACAGAGCCGGAATCGCCGAGTTCATAGCCACCTTCCTGTTTCTTTACATCACAGTGTTGACGGTGATGGGAGTGAAGAGAGCTCCAAACATGTGCGCCTCTGTTGGGATCCAAGGCATTGCTTGGGCTTTCGGTGGAATGATCTTTGCCCTCGTCTACTGTACTGCTGGAATCTCTGGTATCATACCCTTCCTTTAACACACACAAGTATTATTGGTCTTTTCATGCATGCTCTGCTTTCAATATTCCATTCACAGTAAAAAACAAACAAAGAGATTAGGATTTTAAGAGTTGATTCTAAGATATGTGTGTAATTCAGGTGGGCACATAAACCCAGCGGTGACGTTCGGTCTGTTCTTAGCTCGTAAACTGTCATTGACGAGAGCAGTCTTCTACATCGTGATGCAATGTCTGGGAGCCATCTGCGGCGCTGGAGTTGTCAAAGGCTTCCAGCCAAACCCTTACCAAACCCTCGGCGGCGGAGCCAACACCGTCGCTCACGGCTACACCAAGGGCTCTGGACTCGGCGCTGAGATCATCGGCACCTTCGTCCTTGTCTACACCGTCTTCTCCGCCACTGACGCCAAGAGAAGCGCGCGTGACTCCCACGTTCCTGTAAATTTCCCGAATACCCTTACCGTTTTACTGTAATTGAATGAATATTCTCTTTTGGAGGGGGAGGGTTGAGAATGAGATTACTATTTTGTAGATTTTGGCACCACTGCCAATAGGGTTCGCTGTGTTCTTGGTTCACTTGGCGACGATTCCAATCACCGGAACTGGTATTAACCCAGCTAGGAGTCTTGGAGCTGCAATCATCTACAACAAGGACCACGCTTGGGACGACCACGTGAGTCTCTCCCCACGCACCACATACATACATGATCTGTTTTAATATTTTATTTCCCGATTTTGGTTGATTTTGATATATTTTTTTGTTGTTGTTTGGTTTATTGCAGTGGATCTTCTGGGTTGGACCATTCATCGGAGCAGCTCTTGCGGCTCTTTACCACCAACTTGTCATCAGAGCCATTCCATTCAAGACCAGAAGCTGATTAATTAATTTATTTTTCTATTATAATTTCACCGTTGCTTTATTATTATTACTCTTCGTTTGGTGTATTATTTGAGATCTGGTCCTGTGTTTATTTTTAAAAAAATGGATTTGTCTTTTTGCGTCTTCTTTCTCGGTTATTTGCTGTGGTTGATCTTTGCAAAATTAATTTGATCTCGGTTATTTGCTGTGTTTGTTCCCGTTTAACGAAAAGCTATGGTTCGGGCTTCGGCTTAACCAAATTTAGACGGGTGACTGAATTTAGCCCAATAACAAATAGCCCATACGTATAGGTCCTCTTTTGCATTCATCAAATTGTGCTATCTATTATCGAGCGGAGCGTAGTGTGGCAAAAGGTTTCTTATTAGTTTGTTACGATAGATAGCCAACCCAAAGTCGAGAGAAAACATTCCTACTTTTTAAATTTAATTCTAGAAAGAAACTCGTCAAAGTGGATTACCCACTGCCACACTTTCTACTTTATGTTATGATGATTCATAAACTAATTGTTATCTGCTTGTAAATACTGTAAAAAAATCTCTATATAACTGAAGTAAGAAGTAATTGCGTGCATGTGCTTATCGGTATATAGTATATCTCAAGCACGTATCGTATGAGTGTGCGTACGTTACGATTACAAACCCATAAAAACTGTTACCATTCATGTCTAGTGGGGATAGACATACATACATGCTAGTGAATAAAATGTCATTTTGAGCTATGAACTTGGTCAGGCGGCCGTCGACTTTAATGTTTCACGTATAGTTGGGACTTGGGATACATATGAACGTCATAGCCAACTATTCCTAATAACTCGCTCAATTAAATTATACAGCCTTCCATTTAGGTGAGCTACTAAACTACTTTTCTTTCATGTCAAATTCAACCCCAACAACAACTAAATAATAAATAATCCAAACCGCGTATATTTATTTATGTTTTTACACACATATATATTCACCAAATTTTATCATCTAATAAATACTAACATTTAAAATTAAATATATGAATTATATCACTCATATGAAATATAATATATCAGAAAAGAGGTGTAAATTGAAACCTTTTAATTTCTTGAATATTTTATGCCATTAGAAACCTTTTTCTTGATGGTGATGTGGTATTTTCTACTTGTCATGGAGATAAATAATACTCAGATATAAGGTTAGTTTTGTTAAAAATAAAAGCTTAATGGACAAATCCGTAAAAAGAAAAAAGAAAAGAAAAGGCAGTATTAATTGGAACGATAAGTTATATCAGTTGAGCGACTGGGAAAGAAGGCGCATTTAAAACCCCCAAAGACCCCTTCCCTCTCTTTCTTCCCTAATAATTCCTCTGTTTTACTTACTACTCTCAACCGCCATTATCAGAGCGAGGGAGAAGGACTCGGCGCAAGAAACATGTCTCCGGCGAAGAAGAGCCGAAGCTTTCCTCCGATAAGTGAGTGTAGAGGTGGAGAGTATGACTCGGTCGCCGCGGATCTTGACGGGACTCTGCTTCTCTCAAGAAGCTCCTTCCCTTACTTCATGCTCGTCGCCATTGAAGCTGGTAGTCTCTTCCGTGGCCTGATCCTTCTTCTGTCCCTCCCATTCGTCATCATCGCTTACCTCTTCGTCTCCGAATCTCTCGGAATCCAAATCCTCATCTACATCTCCTTCGCCGGTATCAAGATCAAGACCATCGAACTCGTCTCTCGCGCCGTTCTTCCACGGTACCACCATCTTCTGAATTCGTCTATCTTTGTATTTGGAGTATCAGATTTTGACGTTTTTGATTGTTTTTAGGTTTTACGCGGCGGATGTGAGGAAGGACAGTTTCGAGGTGTTTGATAAATGTAAGAGGAAAGTGGTGGTCACTGCGAATCCCATAGTGATGGTTGAGCCATTCATCAAGGATTTTTTGGGAGCAGATCGAGTTTTGGGAACTGAGATCGAAGTTAACCCCAAAACGATGAAAGCCACAGGGTTTGTGAAGAAGCCTGGCGTTCTTGTTGCTGATTTGAAGAGATTAGCCATCTTGAAAGAGTTCGGCCAAGAATCGCCGGATCTTGGCCTCGGTGACCGGACCTCCGATCACGATTTCATGTCCATCTGCAAGGTATCTCTCTCTCTCTCTCTGGTTTGATTAGCATATCCAAATGCTTTAAAATTTTTCGTTTTCTTGAATCTTTTTAAACATGATTTAGGTGGTGGTTATTATTAATTTAGTAAAGAAGAGAGCATAAAACGTACTGATGTATACTATTCATAGACAAATAAATGCAGTAAGGTTTATAAATGCGGTGGAGAGGTTTCACATGATCAAAGGGAAAATATAGTATTGAATTTTCCATACAGCCTTCACATGATTTATTTACTTTGTATGCATTGTCTAGTATCATAAAACGCATCAACAAAATCTTGAACAATTAGTCTTATAAATTAGAATACAATATGATGTTTTAGTAGAACAGTAATTTGTAAGTTATAAAACTCATATAATATATGCATATTTGAATTCACTGGCAGTGACAAAAAGTAGATAATAGAATAGAATAGAATAATATTCAAGCATAGTAGTTTTCATAAATGCTTCCAACCTATCACCAGCTAACATCCCACATAAGTTGGACTGTCCATTTAATGAATCAATCTACCAATCCATATCTCAACAACATGTAATTTCTCTCAATTTTTTCTGTGAACCCTGCAATTTTCAATTACAAAATGATTAATAATAATATCTTAACAGGAAGGTTACATGGTGCACGAGACCAAATCAGCCACAACAGTCCCCATTGAGCGTCTCAAGAACCGCATAATCTTCCACGATGGCCGTCTAGTCCAACGTCCGACGCCGTTGAACGCAATAATCATCTACCTTTGGCTTCCTTTTGGCTTCCTTCTCTCAATCTTCCGCGTCTACTTTAACCTCCCTTTACCTGAACGCTTTGTCCGGTACACCTACGAGATCCTTGGCATTCACCTCACGATCCGTGGCAACCGTCCTCCACCTCCTTCTCCTGGCAAACCTGGAAACCTCTACGTCCTCAACCACCGCACCGCCCTTGACCCCATAATCGTTGCCATTGCTCTCGGCCGTAAGATCACATGTGTCACTTACAGTGTCTCTCGACTCTCCCTGATGCTCTCACCCATTCCTGCCGTTGCTCTGACCCGAGACCGTGTCGCTGATGCAGCCCGCATGAGACAACTCCTCGAGAAAGGTATGTTCCATTCCATGCTCTCACTTACCATTGTAGCTAGAAAAGCAGAGTGTCTCTGTTTTGCTACTTATGATTGGTTTCATATTATCTCACGGACCCTAAAATCTGAAATGAAGAGAGGACCTAGACTCCATATATTGGTCACACATGTGGAAACAAATAAATACCTTTGGTTTCGAATATTGGTAAATCAGAAACAGAGCATCTCTGGTTTCATTATTATCTCTGTTCTGAAAGGAAAATAGATATTTCTCTCTTATTCTACGCACACAATTATCATTGTAACTCTTTTTAACTTCTTGCAACAGGTGATTTGGTGATCTGTCCCGAAGGAACGACGTGTAGAGAACCATATTTACTAAGATTCAGTGCTCTATTCGCGGAGCTGAGCGACCGGATCGTGCCTGTGGCCATGAACTGCAAGCAAGGGATGTTCAACGGGACGACAGTGAGAGGTGTGAAATTCTGGGATCCCTACTTCTTCTTTATGAACCCTCGACCTAGCTACGAGGCCACTTTCTTGGACCGTTTGCCCCAAGAAATGACGGTAAACGGGGGCGGCAAGACTCCTTTTGAAGTGGCCAATTACGTTCAGAAGGTGATAAGTGGAGTTTTGGGATTCGAATGCACTGAACTTACAAGGAAAGATAAGTATCTGTTGCTTGGAGGCAACGACGGGAAGGTTGAGTCTATCAATAAGACCAAGTCCATGCAATAATAATCCAGCTAATTACTAGTCGCTGCTATTTTGCTTGGGACTGAAGCTAGGTATTTCTGGTTTTCACAATTACTCTTTATTTTTATTTATTTTTTGTAATGGATTGTTGAACATGAGCTGGATAATGAAATTACAGTTGAATCAACTTATATACATGCTGTTTTATAACTAATTTTTCTTATTGATTATGACGTTAGATTATATACCAACAACTACATACCATACCCTAGTTTTTCTCTTGTCTTTTAGCAATCTGCTATTTGTTGTGGGTCTTAAAGTGAGCCCAATAACAACAAGTTCGCCGATATAGCCAATAAAGACCCAAAGAGACCTGAACCACAATACTCAACGACCTGCTTTATTCACCTGGTTATAGTATGGCGTTGACATCAGATGAACATGACACACGTTACTTGGACTCTTCCACCAGTCCAACAATTTTTTCGATTTTACTATTTTTACAACATTGCAGTCTCCATTTTTTTTTTTTTTTTTTTGTCTCTCTTATTTCTTGGAATCTGGTTAGAAGAAATGAATAGAAAAGTGATTGAGAAGGTGACTATTAAACTCTTGATGTTGGTGATTTTGATGGGAACTATGGTTATTTGGATTATGATGCCAACTTCGACCTATAAGAAAATCTGGTTAACCTCCATTCGTGCCAAGCTCGGTAAATCCATTTACTGTGGGAAACCAGGTAATCCAATATATTCGATATATATATATTAATCTTTAAATTTTGTTTATACGAGTATATATGATCACTTAATTACAGTGAACATACCGAGTGTTTCGAAGCTTCAGTGGCATCCATTTACGATAATTTCAAGTAGCAAACTCGAACCAGAGACGTTAAGTGTTATGATCAAGAAACATGGAAAATGGTCCAGTAAGCTTTACGAGATGCTTTCTTCATCTTCTTCTGATCAGATAGACCGACTCGCTGTTTCAGTCGAGGGACCCTACGGCCCTAGTTCCACTGATTTCCTACGGTACTATTCATTTAAATCCAAAGTTCAGCATTCAGTTTCTTGCGTCTCAAGTAACGTTAATGCTCTGTTTTTTTTTAATTTGTTTGTTTGAGAACAGACATGAATCTCTGGTGATGGTGAGTGGAGGCAGTAACATCACACCGTTTATCTCCATAATCCGCGACCTATTCTACATGAGTTCAACGCACAAATGTAAAATTCCCCCCCTCATCTGTGCGTTCAAAAACTCTTCCTACCTCTCCATGCTCGACATAACCTCCTATTTAGATATCCAGATCAAAGCCTATGTAATGTCACCCGAGAGGATGAAGAAACAGTGAGAGAGTCAAGCAATACCATCAAACCCTATGTTTCAAACCAAACGTATCAGACAAACCCATCTCACAATACCATCAAAACCCTATGTTACAAACTCTAATTCATTAGTTGGTAAAAGGGAGTCAATTTTCAATTAATTGTCTTTTTTTTTTTTTTTGTAAAATTAATTGATGAATTGGTAAAAGGGAGTCAATTTTAACGCTAAACTTAAAATTAATTGTCCTTTTCTTCCGTATGCCTTAGCTCTTGACCGGTTTCATGATTGAACTCTCAGGTCTTGAAGAATTTGGATCATTTTGGTGTGTACAAAGAATGCAAGAAGAAAGAGGTTATTGTGAAATCACATTTTGGCTTTGCTAGTTTGCTGTTTCCAAATTCTCTGCTTACATGTGTTTTGTTTTTCAGAGCGAAGCTCGATTGGAACGCAATAAGACACGTTCGTTGTTCTCGTGAATGCCGATGATGTCTTAGAACGTCAACTTCTAGTATCCTGTTTTTTTTCATTTGCAATGACACCTCTGAAAAGTGGTGCTCTGTATTTAATTACTTGTTTGTATGGTCTTGAATAAATCAGTATCAAGTGCAAATGTGTTTGTTAATGTTATTTTACTCCCCAGTGCCCATTAGTGATGGATATGTTACGTTGAGAACAAGTTTGATATCCAATCGTTTAACTAGAAGAGAGCGAGGACAATAAATCATAGATCTCTCAAATGAAATTATTATTAACAATGATGTAGAGCCGGCATAAGTCATCGGCACACAACAAAGTGATATTTAATTCTAGTATATATAGTACTAATTATATATGTTTTTTCTAATTCAATTTATTAAAGCATGCGAGATGTATTCACCGATTGCAGCGAACCCCAGAGCTGCAATCATCTTCCAGTGGGGATTATTAGTTAAACATGTATCCAGCAAACCACCGATGACCGAGAAGAGAACCTCCAATGCTCCAGGAACTTCAATGCACATTAGTGAGAGAGTAAGGCTGAAAAGATATAAGTTGACAAATGCTAGCACTAGCCACCAATCAGCATTCGTCGAGAGCTGGTTTTCCAAAAGATAAGCCACCACCGAACGTATCCCCCACATAAACCAAACCGACATGTGGGGGAGATTGGCCGGAGCTCCGCCGGGGAGTGCCAAGTAATGGTTGTCAATCTCCTTCACCATGAATTTCTTTCTCCCCAAGAGAACAAATATGCACATCAATAGAATGGTGGCAAAACACAGATGTATAATAGATATATATATATATTATACATCAAGATCGGCCCGGACACTGTCGACAAGCAAAAAACCGATGTTAGTCCCCAACCAAAATAGGAACAGTTCGCCTAGGAGAAGTACTGGCTGCTCCCTGTGTACGTGATAAAGCTTAGAAAACTTGCTGTCTAACCATAGCTTGGTGTTGGCTGGGAGAGCGACGGTGTTGGCTGGGAGAGCGACGATCCATGCGACGATCCAGGCGACAATCATGGTTACGAAATTCGAGAAGAGACAATGTAGGCTTGAAGCTAATGAACCGTGGGTTAGATAGAGCTCTTTTCTTATTGACAATATGGGTTTTTTTCTTTGCTCTTCTTCTCTTTTATGTTCTTCTTAATGTTTTGATCCTCTGGTTTATATAGAAAATTATAGATGTAGCGTGTATCAAGTCATCAAGTTGATGACTTGATGTTGTTTCTTCCATGCACAGAGAAGTCTTTGATATTTTACCATTTCTGTTTTGCTTTTTGATTGAGTCCAAAACTTTTTCAACTAGGAAACTCTTATTTACTAAGTTTATTAGTAACTTTGTATGCACATGTCTTCTTTTTCTACATTCATCGACCGACTCAAATTCTCATAAACTTTATTCTGAAAATGTAATGTTAGTAGACATATACACATATATACAAGTTTGACGTTTCTGAACTTTCTATAAATACATAATACTCAGAATTCAACATTTTGAATACACGCAATGCTTTAACAAACCATATAACCTTTACTTTAGTTGAAATTATATTTCATATTTTGAAAACATAATTTCGTTAAAAATCAGTTTACTTATAATATTTCTAACGAGTTTTAACATTTCTATTTTGGGGTATGGCTGTGATAGTGAAGACGAACGTCTATATACATTCTTTAATTTTTAACTTTTTTTGTATTGACATCAGATTTTCCATTTTTTTAGATTATATATAATACAATTTTCTTGAAACTGTGAATCTGTTATTTTATTGATAAATAATTATTCGAAAAATAAATAATTTGCAACATACCTAATCTAAGAATGTAAACTAGTCAGTGGTGAAATGCAATTCTGTGGTAGATAGACAAAAGTAAAAAGAAGATTTCAAAGAAAAATACATAAACAGTTTATGTTAAAACAAAAAAAAATTGCTATTATAGTAAAATTTGGCTTCACAAAATTCGATAGGGACTTCACAAAATTCAAAAGTTAATATGTTCATTGTATGTGTTCTGCTTCTTCAGATTTTTTTTTTTTTTTTAACATTTTTTTCGCTTTATGGATTAGCATTTACATTTTGTTGACTCCATAATTTTATCTTGTTTTTTTCTTGTTTTTGTGTAAGAAATAAAATATTTGAACAACTAATCATGCA